CTGCCCGACCCCGAGTACGTCGTCCTCCGCGGCGTCGATTTTCAAAACGCAGGACGGGGAGCAGATGTACTTGGGGCTCGTTTTGAGTCCGGATTTGGACACAGGCCTCAAGTCGCCGCCTTACCTCCTCGGTCGCACGTGGCGTCGCTTCGACATGTTGCAAGCTGCGCCGGTGTGGCGGTCCGTGTTCCCGAAAACGGTGCCGTCGGTAGCGGGGTCTGGCTTTTCGCTTACCTTCTTTGGGACCGGGTTTCCGCACGACCGCGAGGCAGCCGCTTTGAACGCCCGGTGCGTGCTTTGGGACGCGGAAGAAGGACTGCGGACGTATGACGCGCTTCTCGTTTCAGACGAGCAAATGGTGTGCTTTTTCCCGCTAGGTCTTCCGAAGGTGGACTTGTACGCCCATTTGTCGCAGCTGCAGTTTACTTTCCACGCACGAAATGAGTTCCGGAAGCAGCAGTATGATGTGGCGGGAGCGCAGCAGCAGGTTAGCAACAACTCGTCGCCGCTGGACGTCCGCCCGCTGCGGCCCTTTGAGATCACGGCATGGTCGCCCCCCTTCCTGATGCTTGGCGATGAGTCTCGAGAGGTCCGCAGGTCTCGCTTCTTGAAATTCAACAACGATACTCCGATGGCGACGGTGACCGAGCCCGCGGATGTGGAGCTCTATCCTGAGAAGGACGAGGAGCTGGTTTTTATGAAGGTCGCGGGACTCCCGGAGGATTGGCAAGCTCAGTCCAAAGCGTGGTACTGCGCGTGGGCGCCGCCTCACGTATCGCTTGAAGAAGCGCACGCCGCCCGGGAGGACGAGCTCTCTTCTGAGGCCAGTCCGGCAGCGAAACGACGACAGCACATGACCCAGCCGCGCCCCTTCTTCAACTACAACAGCACGGATTTTGCTTGCGGCGTGCCCATCGACGCCGTTGCCACCCAGCAAACCCTACGGATGTTCCTACAACTCGGGGGTCCCCCCGTCGACGAGACGACTGGCGAGAAGCAAGCGTCCGGCCTGGAGGACCGCTATGCGAGTCGGTTTTTTGCGACCCGTGTTTCGGTCACGGTGCTGCCCCGAATCCGCGTACGCGAGGCGCAGAGGTCGCCGGTTCAAATTCCAAGCTCTGACCAGGGCGATTTGCTCGTCCGTTTTTTTGGGTCTGGGTTTGCCGCGAACGGCACAATTTATACTCGAGTCAAGTTGGATCCACATGCGGAAGTAGAAGCGCTGGAGCCTAGTACTGGTGTCTCCGAAAGCAGCAGTGCGGCGTCGCAGAATCGACCAGCGTTGACGCCGTACGGAAACGTTTTCTACCCCTGCTACGCCGAAACTTATACGAGTCTTGCTTGCGTGCTGCTCGCGGCGGACCTTCCGCCGGAAGCTGACGGCCTCAAAATGCCGCTGGAGTTGTGGTTGTACCCACAGGCTTTGACAGAGGAAGTAGAAAAGGCTCCGGCGGGTCGCTTGGGGTACGGACCCCAGAGCGAAGCGGCGTCAAGAATTGAGGGGCTCGGAATTTTTCTCGGAAACTTCGAGGCGACCGCCGTAAGGGGCGCTTTAGGACCGTTCAGCACAACTCCGCGTTCCGGAAGTTTTCTGCCCCTCGGAAGTCAAGTTGACTTTTTTGTTTCCGGAAGCTTCAAAACTTCATGCCAGCACTTCTGCCATCTGCGCTATGAGGGTCTGCCGTGGTCAAAGTATCGTCAGGCCTTTACGCATCCTGGGCGGGCGGTTCGAGTGAATGCGACGCACTTGTATTGCACAGTGACCACGGTTGGCGCCGAGCTGCTTCGTGGCGGGTCGGATCGCGTCACCTTACATATGTGTTCAGGGAAGGAGACTTGCCTAGATCTGAACAACCCGCGCACTACTCCAGAAGGTGTGCTCTTGGGACGCTTTCGCGTGTTTACGCTTGGAACACTTTCCGCTGAACTCTCAACGCGGGTGCTGATTTTTCAGCAAGATCTTTCGTCAGAGGCGCAGGTCCGATTCGCAGACCGAAATACCGAAGTGGCGCCGCGGAGCACGAAATCGATCCCGTCGAAGGTGACGCTGATCCACGTCGAGGTCTCCGAGGGAGTCGTGCCACGAGATTCGTTGCCGTGCTACTGCCAGATTGGTCCGGACTCTTATTTGGCGGCGCCAGTAGAGGAGGGCGCTGGCGCAAAAACTGGAATCTCGCCGAGCGACGAGCAGGAGACCTTGTTCGTAAAGGCCTTCCAGTGCGCCGTCCCGCCCTTTTCCGCGTCGGAGGGAGGACGAGCAGGAAACATTTACTACCAATCCGAGAAGAGGCTTCAGCTTAATTGCCGCACGCACCAAGGGTACGGCCTCGCGGCCGAGGGGTCGACGCCTCTGTTTCCGCTTGCGCGTCCGCGATTCTGGGCGCAGAGTATCGGCGCAGTGCATTTGCCGATCCCGAAATTACAGGAGTTGACGTTCACGAATCGCACCGTTTCCCCACTGTTGATACCGCAAGGATCGTATCCCAAACAAAAAGACAGGTAGGGCATATTTTTGAAAGTAATGCAAAAAAAATGATAAGCAAACGAACAAGCACTGCCTAAGCAGCAGGCTATGGGCTCGCTCATGACAGATATTTAGTTTCGTGGGAATTATTATTTGTGCCCAGCCTGTCTTTTTCTGCGGGATAGATCGGGTACGGCAGAGGAAGCAACGTACTACGGTACGAAGACGAAAGCGACGGAGAACCAATCCTACAGTGATCCTCCGCGTCGTTCATCGTCCTCGCAAGCTGTGGAAACGCCTCTGTTCAGTCTGCGCATGTACTACTCGGGTTGGGAGAATGCGAAGACCGGCGAGGTGGCGGCTAGTTTGTCACGGTCCTACCTGGTAGGAGCACCTGATAACGAGGTGCTGGAACGGATCATGTACATGCGATCCCGAAAGACCGAGAGCAAGGCTGCCACTATCTTTTCTCCTGGCAGCGGGGGGGACGCCCCCGCGCGCTTTACGCAGGACAACACAACGAGTAACCGCACAAGCGTGACAATGGTGAACTCAGTCTCGTATTTGGACACACCGATCTCACCCGCCGAGTTGGAAGGACTGGGCCTTCTTGTTGTGCCATCGAGCGGATGCTGGATTGAAAGGCCACCGCGCACGGAGTCGTGGCCGCAGACGCTCGCTTGTCACTGGCGGGAGTCTGCGGATGTGCAAGGGCTCCTTTACGACCTTGACAACGCTAAGGATTCCAGGGTGAAGTTTCTGCAGACGAATTTCGCACAAGAGTATGTGAACAGAACGCGAGTACCGACGCGGAGCTTCCTGCAGGAAAGCCGCCCGGTATCGGTGTGGGTTCAGATCGCTGAAGAACTGGTGAGTACGCAGCAGCAGCTTGTTTTCAGTCGTATGCCAAGCGGGGCGTTTACGCGCGATCGCGTCTGCGTAGAGCAGGAGCCGTGCTTGGTGACGGTGGAAATCAGTGCGGACTCGCCGGCGGGATTCCTCCACGACGCGGTGTACTCCTGCCTGTTCAGCAGCAGTGGGGGTGGCTGCGCGGCAGATTCGATGGAAGCCGGGCCGCTGCTCGTGGAAAGTAACGCGGGGCTGACGGAGACCTACGCACTCGACCGGTCGGCCAGCCAAGGCAAGTGCAGCTTCGTGTCCCGGGCGCGGTACGTCAGCGCAGACAAGTTGCTGTGCACGTCCGAGATCGGATTGACCTCGGCTTTGTCCGGTGCTGACGTAACTCACGTGTCCGTGTTCCATGGCCCAGTGCCGGCGAGCCGAAGTTTCAAGGACGCTGCGGACATAGCCTCAAGTGGCTACTTCGCCGGGGACTCCTCGGCGGCCACCTTATCCTGAGTAAAAACGTACCCACCCCAGAGTTGTCATGCAGATTTGCCATGACAGGAACATTTGTGACGCGCAACCCCATGACAGGCATTTTCAATCGTGTTTGGGAACTTGTAATGCTGCAAACAGGATCAGAAGGTCGATTTGTGATGCTGCTTTCCTTGCTAACTTGCACTACCTTACGGACTGAAACTTGTCATGCGTGACTCACAAAGCTCCTAGGTTTGTGTTGCAAAATCCCCAGCCTGACTCTGGTGTGGGTACGTTTTTACTCAGGATACACCTCGCTCGCGATTCTAGCCCAGCACCGCATAACCGTGCTGGGCATCCTTCACCTGGACCAGGTGGTGCCGGCTGTACTCGCCACCGTGCCAGCTGTCGAGATCAGCGTGAAGATCACAAAACAGAGCAGCGTATCAAATGCGAATAATGTCTGGGCCGGGAAAAATGCAACGTTTGCCATGCACATTTTACATGGCTTTGACTCCTGATGTCTGTGATGCATGCCTCAGCATCACAGATTTTGTGAGGGGGGCTTCCTGAAGATGCCTACACCGCATGAGCAATGCCCTTTCGTCGCAGTAGTAAAAACTGGACCCCTTTTGCTGTTCCACCTACAACAGCGCAGATTTTCTCAGAATCCCAATGCAGCATCACAGGATGCATCCTTCCAGACCAAGACATGTTTGCAATGCATACAGCGAGTTGTCGGAGGCCTGGCAGAACCCGGCATTCGTGGAGAGCACCGTGGCGTGCCGGTTCCGCAAGAAAATTCCGAACAGCAACGCGGATGTGGGCAAGGATGCGAACCTGATCACGACACAAGTAAAGCTGGTTTCCTTTGAGGAGATTCTGTGCGTGGACGCCTACCACCGTTTGTTCGACTACGTTCTCAAGCAGGATGAGCTGAACGCCTCGGATGGCTTCAACGAGCACAAGGACCTGTTCTTAGATTTGGTCACTGTCGGGACCGTGCCGCAGCGGCTGTCGAACGTGTTGCAGTTGCCACTCGTCGCCTACCCGCGGCTTCATCAGGTTGAGCCGTCCATCATTGGCGTGAACGACATCTCGGAGGCCGGGTTGAGGCCGTTGAGTGCATTTCCCTATCGACTGATTGTCACCGGTGTTGGGGTGCCGAACACGCCGGATGCGTGCTGCCGCTTCGTGGTCTCCAACCGTCCTCAGGGTAGCAACCAGGGCCCGGTGGCGCCCATCTTCACACCCGCGGTCTGGCGCTCCACCACACAGATCGCCTGCGACAAACCCGTGTTTCCGCTAGCGGGGGCACGGCTGCAGCTCGAGATTTCGCCCAACTGCAAGCAGTTCGTGACGGCGATAGCCGCCGGCGAGCCAAATTACGACAAGCTATTGCCCCTCTCCGAGAAGCCGTCTGCTTCCGCGGTTTTGAATTCCGTGCTGGAGCTTCAAGTGGTGCAGATTCCCTTCCTGAAGTCGGTGTATCCAACGCAAATTGTGAGCGTGAGCGCAGGCGCGCCACTGCGTCTGGAGGGCGAGGGGCTCAGCAACAGCGCCATCCGCCTGCGGGTGGGCGGAAAGATGCTGTCGGGCATCCGGATTCACAATGACACGGTGATAACCGCGCTCGCACCCGCGCCGCCCATGCGGAGCCCCGAGGTTTCGCAGGCACACTACCACCTCGATCTGTCGTTCGACTCCGGCATCAGCTTCTACAAGACCAGTTTTTTGCTCTCTTTCCAACAGAACCACGCGGTCTGGGGGATCGAGCCGCGCATCGGCGTTGCAGGAAGCGCGAGCGGTGGCCAGATTACGATCAGTCTGGTCGGGCACTTCAACTTTGACACCTTCGCTACCTCGCTCGGTCCGGAAGAAGGTGCTGTCGCGCTGCGTCGGTCCTTCGACTCGCTGATTGACGCGTCGGCGACGAAGCGGATCATGGTTGACGGAAAATTGTTTGTGATTCACGTACCCAACATTTTGCTCGGGGAACGTATTCAGGGCTTTACTCTGGAAGGTCTTCGCGTCTTTGATCAGATTCCGGAGGCGGTGCCGACCGTAGATATCGCCGGGGACAAGGGCTTGCTGATGTCAATCACAACGGGCGACCAGCTGCAGCTGTACGACATAGCTTCGACTGTGCGTCTCTCACAGTTGCACTTTTCTGTTGCCGAGAGCCCAGGGCAGATGTCAAACACGACATACGGTAGTAGCTCATCTGGCGATGCTGGCAGCAGCGATACCGAGGGCAACAACAGTTCTGCAAATGCAACAGAAACCGCGGCGCAGAACGCGGCAGCAGCTGAGCCGGAAATAATCAGCTACACGTCGGAATGGAGTGTATCGGGTGTGATGATGAATTCCCTGCAACAGGCAAAAGAACCGTTGCAGCGAGAGGTTCTGGAGGCGAGTGGGAATAAAACTCGCTTGTACGTCCGAACCTACGCGGCAGTTTTCTACCGTGAGTACAACGAAACGGATGCCTTGACCAACATCTCGTACCAGACGAAGTCTCTCGACCTGTATCACATAGAGTGGAAATTAAATCAGACCGCCTTGGAGCTAGCGCAGCAGGTGCAGCAGCGCGCCGGCAGCCAGCAAAGCCTCGAAGCGCACTGCGATGAAGGAAACACGACGGCGAGTGTTTTTTGTGGGAACGAGACAAACGCAACTGGCGCAGCAGAAGCGGCCGCGGGAGCAGGGACGACAGACGGCTCCGCGTCGCAAGCGGGGACCAACCTTCACGTTGTGGAGATCATTTTCCAGCAGCAGCTGAATCTGACGGACGAACTAGGGGAGCAGCGTCCGAGCTATGTGGCACTGGTGCCCAACCTGACCCACGTCGTTGCGTACCGAGTCGGCGGGGAGCTGCGGGTATACAATTTCGACCGGCCCGCACGCGTTGCAACTATAGAGCAGGTCGGGATGCGGGCTGTGGATGTGGAGTACTACGAGGGTAGCCGCTTTCGCGCCGCGTTTTCCTTTGGTCGGAAAGCCGAAAGCTGGATCGTGGAAAGTGACCCCGCGTTGGGCACCGACGCCACCTCGCAGTACGCGTACTTCTACGGGGGGCACGCAGACGATATCACTGCGATTGCACTCGGGCCAGGCTATTGCCTCACCGGCTCGAAAGACACGACCACGAAGCTCTGGCGCGACACGGGGTCCATCACTGCTTCGTTGTTCGGGCTGCACCGCACAGCGATCACCGCCGTTGGGTTCGTGCAGATCGGCCGGGACTTGGAGTTTGTCACGAACGACGCCACACAGATCGCCTTCTGGGGGTTCCCCCAGAAAGTCCGCGACAGTGCGGCCGCGGACCTGAGTACGGCCGCCTGCCGCTTCTTGGCGCCTCCCATCGACGCCGCCTCGGGCACAACCACCCTGGTGTCTGCCGTGCAGAGTGCGGTCGTCACGAGAACGAAGGTGTATTGCTACACCGACCCAAACACCCTTACCTTCAGCGACGGGATCGCCCGCCACGACTACCAGGTCATGCTTGGGCGACCTCTGCAGATTGAAGTTGCCTACTACTACAAGCAGGCTGACCGAAAGTACTTGTCGCAGTTCGTGCCGGTAGCCAAGGACTTGGGTTTCCGTTTTGTGTTGCCGCCAAAAATCATGGACATGACTCCCGATTGGGTGATGATCAATCGCCACCCGAAAACGAACTACGTAATTCTGCCGGACGTGGCGTTTCGGGTGCGCGTTATGCTCAGCGATAGCATGGCCGTTTGGCCGAGCAGCAACACCACGTGCAAGATTACGAGCACCGGCGCCGATGGCACAACCTACTATCTTCCCACTAGGTGGCCATCGCGGAGCGTGTGTCTCTGCGGACCCCTGCGCGACATCCACCAGTTTCCTTCAGCTAACGCCCTTCGCCTGGAGTTGTCTCCGGATTACCAAAACCTGTTCGCGGTGCCGTTCTTGGTGAAGATGTTTGAACGCCCCACCTTCGACACAATGACCACATCCGCGGGCCGGCTCCTAGCCGACGGCAATGGAGTGATAGCAGGGGTTTCCCTGCATACGCCGGACTGGATAACCATCCGGGGGAGCAACTTTCCGCTCACGAAGTCTCCGATAACCGTCACGTTTCCGCCCGGGTACTGGGCGAACGCATACTGGCGGAACTCGACCACGCTCGAGTTTTTGAGCCCCGTGACGAAGAAGCCGGAGTACCGGTTACCCGTGTGGATCGCTTTCGGGGAAGCGAAAGCCATGAAGACGCCGTTTCTTCTGGATCTGATTGAGACGCCAACCGTCCGCGCGTTCGAACCGGCTTACTTGTTTCCAATCATGTCACCCACAGGCGGCGACAGCGACTTGACCCACGCCGTCGCCGCGCGGCTCGGTACAGCGGAGGCCAACCGGCGGCAGCTGACCATCTACGGAAACTTTTTTGACCACCACAGCTACTGCGCGTTTCAAACAACCTCGCGAAAGCACAATGTGAAGGCGGTCTTGGTCTCCAAGAGACAGATCACCTGCGAAGTTCCACCGCTTCCTGTGTCCGACGTGGGTGCAGACGCAGCCGACCGCGGAACGAGCTCGCCGACGACAATCGAAGACGGAGCCGCGAGTTCGTTGACCGGCGAACAGTACTGTCTCGCCGAGCAGCAGGGGCGGGTGCAGCTGCAGCAGGCCCTGAACTTACGAAACTTGCTTTTCTTTTCCCCGTACCCCGAAAGCCTGCTTGCGACCTATCCGCGCCAGCGAATGGAATCGCAAGAGAAAAAGTTCACCGTCCTGGAAGGACAGAACTGCGCCGAGATTCTGCAAAACCACGCAGATCTGGTTGAGGGAAATGCCGGGAACGACACGGTGGCTGAGGCGCTGGGCAACAACGGGTCGTCGAATGACACGGGCCTGCTGCAGCTTCATCTTGCGACGAATCACACCCTTAATTTGACCGCCACCGTTGCGGCACTACTCGGCTCGGCAGATGCGATAGCCGCAGTGTTGAGTAGCACGGAGCAACTTGCCGCTCTGTGCCTGCGGGCCAGTGACTTGGCGCGTAACATGAGTAATTATCGACTTGAAACTCAGTACTACGATGCACTAATGTACCAACTGCAGCGCGGTGTGAACGACGCGGAGACCGGCTGCCGACAGGCGACGGAAGCTCGTGCACAGGCGGCGCTGAGTGACTTCACGAATGGGCGGCTCTTCTTCGAGGTGCGGAGTGAGCGCTTGCTGCCACTGTCGAAGCATGTGCACATCAGTGCAAGCGCCAAGTCGCTCAAGCTGCACCTGCCTATTCTGGTCGAATCGGTGACGCCGGGTGCCGCGCCGGTAACCGGCGGGACGCGGCTCGTGGTAAAGGGTCGCAATTTCGTGCAGATTGCACCGACGTACTGCGTGTTTCAGTACGCCATCTTCACTCAAGCCCGCGTCCTGAATACGACACACTTGACGTGCCAGAGTCCCTTTTCGAACCGATTCGGTAACTTGCAGCTGCACATATCCCTGAACCGACTCCAGATGAGCGAGAGCTTCACGTGGTTCACAGTTCTGCCCGAGGTGCAGGTCAGCGTGGCGGCCGTCTCGCGGGGGTGTTTTGCGGAGAGTCCAGGAGACGTCATCCGTGTGGACGTGCTGCTGAAGGAGCAGAGTGCCCGGACGTGGGCCAAGTACCGAGACCGGGGCGTTCTTTGCCGGTTTGTCAACGAGGACACCGGATATTTGGATGACCAGGAGGCAGTGTCGGCGGCACCCGGAAAAATTGACGAAGTGCATATTTTCTGCCGGTGTCCTGTGTACCGCGGGCACCAGATTGGGCAGCGGCTCTCCCTGCAACTGCAGGATACGGAGGGCGTGTGGCAGGATGCGTTGGGGGAGATGCAAGTCCTCGCGCGACCCTTGGTGACCAGCGTGAGTCCGCGATTGTGGATCGCCAACAGCACCTACCCCCTGTCAATAGAGGTTCGGGGTACCAATTTCCCACCCGACGTGGAGCTCAAGTGCACATTGGAAGACAGCGAGAAGCACCCGGACGCGACGCCTCTGGAGGCGGTAAAGAAGATGGAAGCGAGCCTCTGGGAGGAAGTACAGAGGCTCTCACTCCGCTGCCGCAATCAGCGGGATGAGCGGCAGGAGGCCTCCGGGGCGGCGCCGCCTTTGGCCCGGTTCGGGCTCTCCGAGGGAATGCGCGGGACCGCAATGCCGTACGATCGATACCGGCTACCGAGCGGGGTTCTGAAGAACGAAAGCGCGAACGTCTCGCAACTGATTGAGTTTGGGGGGAGTGTGGATTTGGATTTCTGTCAAGCGTACTTGGACGCCGAGAAGGAGTATCTCGCGTTTGTGCATCGGACGGACCTCTGGTCCGCCCACGGCTACTATCAGGACAACAGCACGGGCGACGGATTTGCGTTGCAGGACCAAAACGTGCACCACACGCGGAATTTCTTCGCCGCGTCCGGCTACGCGGCGCAGCGGCCGCCGCTCCGCGAGTACGCCAGCCGCGTGATGCACGTCAAGGCCGAGTGGCACTCCGCCTCGATGTTGAAGTGTGTGGTCCCTCCCGACCACGCGGAGAAACTGCGCACGGCGGGACTTGTGAATCGCTATGTAGAGCTGGCTGTGCACCGCCATTTTTCCGATGTGCGCCCCCCTCGGCAGACGTTCGGGCAGATCGCGGCGCTTCACAAGATTCGAATTGGCGACAACATTCGGATTTTGGAAGTCTCCCCGCGTGCGTTCACGCGCCAGAGTTTCGACTTGGTGAACGAGCAAAGTCGAGAAGATCAGATTTCGCTGCGTGCGACCTTGTCCAAGTCGGCCATCAGGTCCCTGCGCTTAGCTACCGCGTTAAACTGTCGCGTCCGATGGGAGGTGGACACGCTTGCGCCGGCGGTGTTCCCCGGCGTAGTTTCGAGCGACACCACGGTGACCTGCCTGTTGTCCAGCTCTGCGCTGGAGGTCAATCTCCGAGGGTATTTCTCGCTGCAGATCGACAGCAGCGAAACGCTTTCGAATGAATTGGAACTCCACTTCGTGGAGCAGGTGTTCTCCCCCTCGATCTCGCCGACGTCTGTGCCCTCCTTCACGCCCGGCCGAGGCTTCATCATCTCAGCCATGTTCCTCTCTATCCGGCACCTGCGCGTTCTGCGGGATCTTCCGATCTTCTGCGACTACGGTCCGGAGTATGAGGCTCGGGAGGCAGTAATGCTAGATTACGAATCTGTCTTGGGAAGCAAGTTTAGGCAGGTTGTTGGGCGGCCAATTCGAAACTCCACGCACGGCTCTGACCGGAGCTTCCGCATCACCGGGCACGACGAAATCTTAGTGGATACAGCCGTCGACCGTGTGCGATGGCAGTGCCTTGGTCCAGTTTCAGGGTTTCTACCTCGTATAAGCGGCGCGGAGGCCCTGGAAGTGAAGCTCGTACTGGACGCGTCTGCGCAGCGAGGGCTCAATCCCGCACTCACCAACAGGCCCACTCAGATTCACGTCACGGGTCTGCCTGAGATCGCTACCCAGGAGCCTTTCCTGGCGGCACGGGACACCAGCGTCCTGTTGGAGGCAGTGGTGCCGGACGGTTACAATCCTTTCGTCACTACGACTGCGATCGGCAGCACCGAACGGCGGGTTGAGGTGTACTGCGCATTTTTGCCCTGCGGAACTACGTTCGTAAAACGCACCGTGACCGCAGGGATCCGGATTCCGAGCAAGAACACCGCGGATTCGGGCTCGCGACGGATGCTGGTGTCTTGTCCGGTTGCAAGCCTGAGTTTCACACACGTGCGGGCGGGGCTGTACGGTGAGGAGCAGTGCGCTCTGGAGATCTCGTTTAACAACTTGGACTTCTCCAGCCGGTTTGAGTACACGCTTGCCGCGCATCCGGTGGTGCGGAAGTTTGGGACGTCGCGCGGCGTCGTGAGCCTCGGCGGGGTGCTGCAGAGTGGTGGCCCCGTCATTTTGCGCGGGTCCTACTTCGGCAACCGGGCCGCACTCGCATGCACATTCGCGGGAAGCGACGGCTCCGATATTCCGGGGCAGGTGGTGGCGCGCGGCCATACGCACGTGGAGTGCTTGGCGCCCAGCAGCAAACCGCTTGGATATTACAGCCTGAACCCCCTCAAGCAGGAAAATGCTCTCATTACCTATCGCCACAGTCAGTTTGACAGCCTTTCCGCTCTCCCGAGTGCGTCTGACGCAACGGGGGCACCTCGGTACCGAAGGCAGGTCGCGGTGTTCTTAGCTGCGCAGTCATCTGGACTAAGCGCACAGTTGGTAGAATATGAACAGCCGCACGCCCGGTTGGCGAGAAACGGTACCTTCGGGGCGCAGGTCTTGTCCCAGGAGGCCCGCGATAAGTTTTATGAGCAATACTTTCACGCTGCGGACACGGAGTACGAGAAGAGACTGAAGCAAGCGCTACGCACCGCTCGCGTAGGGGATGCGAACTCCTTTGTGTACGTGGACGTGTTCGACGCGCCGTCCATCGCGCGCCTCTCGCCAGATCGGCGGAACAGCGAGCAACGCGTCCTCATGCTGCACGGAAGTAATTTCCCCGAAGATGTTGTGCGCACTTGCAATTTCTACTCCGCCGCGGTTGGCGCCAAGAGCTTGCATTACCTGGGGCAGAGTGGCGGTTTGCGCTTGTCCGCAGCCGACATTTCCTGCCAGTTTCCCGCCGGAATGTCGCACGTTGCGGCGGATTACCGCGTAAGCGTCGCCTTTGACAGTGGCGTGGTTGCGCAGCCGTCGCCTTTCCTCTCCTCCTCGACCTTTCGCATGCAGTCGACGCTTGCGTTTTATAAGGTAACGCCGTCCGTGCTAACCCCAAAAAAGCCGAGCTGGGTGCATGTGGTGGATTCCACAGTGCGCGCTCCCGCGGGCACAAAAATACTTTGTCGGTGGAACGTGAATGGTTACGAAAAGGCGGCTGCGGGCGGGCGCATGCGAATGACCCTCGTGAACTCTATCTTGGACGGCTACGTCTCCCACGTCGCCGCGGGGACAGATTCGGTCATGGGGCGGCTTGTTCCTGATAGAAACACCGTCGCGGGGGGGCTTACCTCCGGGTCTGCGAATGGGACGCACGGACTCCAGTCGGACGACCCTCTCGGAAGTCACGTAAGCGATGCCTTGGAAGACCGCAGACAGGTAAACTTGAACTGTCCTTCGCCGTACATAAACGAGGGACGCATGCGTTTTCGCGAATTTGCGTACCGGGGCCTCTTAGAGGTTGCCCTGGACACCGAAGTTGTCAACTTTCTGCCTATCCACTGGCTCCGTTTCGAAAGGGCGGTCCGGACGCTGCAGTTGTCACCAACGTACTCCAAGTATTTCCCAGGCTCGGCGGTGCGGCTCGATGGAAAGTTTGTGCGGGCAGAGACAGTGAAGTGCGTTCTGTTCGCCAAGCGTCAGACACGCCAGGTAGTGACACCAACTTCGGTAAAGGCAGTGGAGAATGAGGGGACTGCTGCTCAGGATGTACGTATGCTGGTGACCTGCGTCCTTCCCAAAGATCTGCAGCCCGGCACCTGGCGGATAGAACTGGATAACGCGGCAGCCGGGGCGGAAGCAGGTGCGCCTTCGCTTGCCGCATTCGGCGATACGCGGGACGCTCTTGCGCTGATTGTGGTACCGATTCCGGAGGTGTCAGCCGCAAGCCCGCTGGTGTATCCGGTAGGAAGCTCCGCGTCCCTGGTCCTAGGGGGCAACCGGCTCGGTCTCACACTGACGAAGACGTTTGACCCGCGCTGCGTATACACCAGTATCCCAGGCGCGAGTCGCGCGGTGCATTTCCGTTCGACTGTGATGATTGCGGACGATTCACATGTCCTCTGCTTGCCGCCTCCCGTGGATTTCCTTGGGAAGATGCACGTCTCTGTTGCTGTGCACGGTATGCAGTTTGCGAGCACGGTTGTTGTGGATTTTGTCTCCTCCTATCTGCTGGACTACAACGGGCGGGCCGTCTCGCTGATCCAGGCGAACACGCAGAACGAAACCGTGGCACACCCGCTCGGTGCCCGAGTGTCCACAAATTTAAGAGTAAGGTTCCCACCACGATTCGAAAGTGACGCCTCCACGGCCCGCCACGAGACAACGCTGCAGCCGTGTCTGCGAGTCCAGAACCAGTTGTACGCAGGGGTGGCGTATCAAATGTAAAAATGTCTGGGTCTGGAAAAATCCGACTTGTCATGCTGATTTTGGATTCTAAAAAAATCTGTATTGCATGAGCAGCAAAGAGAGTCCAAATTTTGCAGCGCGGAAAGAGCATTTGTCATGCGGAATAGGCATCAGGAAGCCCTCTAAAAATCTGTGATGCTAGGGCATGCGTCACAGACTTGAGGAGTCATGCGAAATGTGCATGACAAACCCGGCAATCTTCCAGACCCAGACATTTTTACATTTGATATGGCGACTCCGAAAGCGGTGCTGTGCCTGGAAGAGAGCGGCGCGCTGGCCTGGTCAAAGATTCAGGAGGCTGTGCTCTTGAGTCCTGATCGGAATGTGTACAGTTTTTCGTCTCAGCTCCTTGCCCTGTTAACCAGGGTGGAATTCCGGGACACGTCTGAGATCGGAAAAATGGCTGTCGCCGTCGCGGGCCGACAGCTGGTCTCCTCTGTCACCTCTTTGTTCGTCCAAGTGCCCACCCGACCAGCCATAGAGTTGCTTATCCCCAACGCCATCAGTTGGCCGGCGGCTGACGCGGTGACAGAAAGTCTGGTGCAGGTTATCGGAACCAAGTTCGAGCGATCGACTGCGGGCGGTCCTTGGTGCCGGTTTCGGACAGACGTGGAACGCAGTATCCTTCAGACGCCCTTCGCCCCCGGGCGGTCCCGCCTGCTAAAGCATGGGTCGCTTCTCGCGCCTTTTCTCATGGTTCGAAAAGCCGCCCGTATGGTGTCGGAAAATGAAATTCACTGCGCCTTGCCACCGGGCAAGTATGCGAGCTATCCGGAGGTTTACGTCGAAGTTTCGAACGACAACTTTTATTGGAGCAAACAGGCGCTCCCATTGCAGATCGTGGCGGAAGTAACGTTGGGCCAGGTTGCCAGCGCGGCCGTTCCTGGGCTGCAGAAGCCCGATTTCCTTGTGAAACTTCATCAAGCGGCAATTCCACTGGTGAGTGGCATCCGGTGCAAGTTCGATACGGGTGTGGAGACAGGTCTCGTGCGCGTTGCTTCGCAGTTGCGGGGCAACAGTTTCATCTGCCTTGAAGAAGACAACCTTTTCAGTTACACTGCCGCCGTGAGAGAGGAAATTCGTACTAGTAGTGGAGCGCTATCGGGAGTGCGGCAGTTGCGGGTGGGAGTAGAGACGTTTTCCGAAACGAAAGGTGCTTATGATTTGGTGTATGCCCCGCAGCCGCAGTTCTTCTCACGGCTGCTGCCGAGGTTGGCCACTGCTGACACCATTGTCTTGGTCCGCGGCCGCAATTTTCCGACCGGGCCACAGATCGCAATCTTTTGTTTGTGGGGCAGCCCACGAACCGCTACCACTTCGGGTGAAGCAATCTCGGCGACCCAATTCCGCTGCACCATCCCCGCACGGCTGAACCAGATTTACTCCGCGGCGGATGGAGGAGTAACTCTTTTTTTGCGAGCCGTGTCCTTCGACGGTGGATTGAACTACCTTGCCACATCGACCACCCAGGGGCTGCCGCTCCTGGTGTTTCCCCACGGTGTTGTCCCGGTTATTTTGAAGGTGTCGCCCGCGGTTGTGTTGGAGGGACACAACACTGAGCTGAAGTTCACGGGAAACGATTTCTTGCAGTGGAAGCACCTGGCGGTATCTCGTCTGCGCTGCGAGTTCCGCAGCACTCCTGATGAGGTGCCTGTGGTATCTTACGTGACGGACATCACCGCCGCGGCGATTCATTGCCCGACTCCGATCGACGGCATCACTGTGGGCCGTGCGCGTGTTCGGGTGACTTTCACGGACGGCGGCAACGAATTTGAGCTGCCAACACGCGTCCCTCTAATGATGCAAATTTTACCCTCCTATCAAGTTCGTGGCACCCTCCCGCCCTTTGCCACAACCAGCCTTCAAACCATCTTGGACGTGCAGGGAGGGAACTTCCACGACCTGGGCGATCCCTTCATAGTATCACGAAACAGCAGCGGTCGCAGCGAGAGCCCGTACTTCTGCCGGTATGGCGATGGCGCGGAGCCGCTGAAGGCCTTGCGCGTTTCGACGGGGAGGCTGCTGTGCGTCTCGCCACGCCATAAAGGCGGCCTTACAAACCTGGACGTGGTCCTTCCGTGGCAGCGGCAAAGCCGGCATGACGCGTCGGCGTTTGCTTTTCTGTTCTTAGATGTTCCCTTCATTCGCCGGGTGGAACCGCTCGTGGTTCCGGCGGATGCAGCGTTGCAGACCGAAACCATGCTGCGAATATTCGGATCGGATTTTCGTGCAATGGAGACACGATTAATGCGTATGTCGGCCACGCCGCGCATTTTGCAGTGTCGGTTTTACAAGCTCGGGGATGAGTCACTTTCTGCTCCGCTCGATAGGACGTCGCAGAGTCTCGGCCCGTACGTGGAGGGGGCCTCTTCATCCGGCGCCGACAGCAATTTATTCGAGGAACACACCACATCCCCAGATCCCTTGCTCACACAGGCGATGGTGGTGGCGGACACGGAGATAGAGTGCGCAATCCCGCGGCAAGCTCGGCGCGTGACCCCCATCTTTCTTGTTTTGGACAACACACTAGAAATCTTGCTTGCAGAGCAGTTTGAGTACGCAGCAGCGCCGGTGGTGCGCGACGTCTATCCCCGCGTTTTGGTGGAGGGTTCCAAGGAAAGAATCCTCGTGCAGGGATACAACTTTCATGTGTCTCCCCATGCTCCACTGCAGTGTCGGTTTCGTGCCTTCGGACAGTCCTCCGCTGCCCGAAGAGATCATCTGCAGCGGTGGGAGCGCGAGAAGGAGCTGCTGGTCCAGCTGCGCCGCAACGTGAGCGACTTCTGTGCGTTCGAGCGTAGCCAGGCCTGCCCCTTGCCTCTCTCCTCAGTTGCCACGAACAACGGAGGAAATGCGAGTGCGTCTTCGCGGCAGCTTGACGGCGAGGAGGAGGGCGGCAGTCGCAGTGCCGACGGCGCAGCACGCCTCTTGAACGTGGAGGAAGAAAACGACGCGAGATACCTACATCGAGCGTACTACTATTACCAGAAGCAGAGTGACGCGATGAATGTCAGTGCCGACGCTGGTCGAGATTCGGAAGCGCCCCTGCGCGAGAGTCAACATGCTTTCACGCACGTGCTGGGTCTAGATCTGCCGTTTTCCACCAAGACGCCTCGCGTTGCGGAGCGAACGGCATCCATCGACATTCCAGCTCCCGAGCGTGGGCATTGCCAGGACGCAGCGTTGTTCTCTCGCTGGTGTCAGGACACCGGCGCTGCATTGCAGAGCCGGCTAGATCAGAGTGCAGAAATTTTGTTTCTTGCCCACTCGCTCAGTCGGCACGAAGACGAGTATGCGACATTGTTCGAGACTGAAATCCTTGCGGAAACGATAGCACGTCGCCGCTCCGACGAAATGGTGGATTGCGCCCTTCCGTTGGACGACGATTATCGCTTTGACGAAGTCAGTGCGGCAGGCGAAGACGAAAGCTCAGCGGCCTACTTGCAGGCAAGCAACGGCAGCGCAGGGGCAGGCAATGGGTCTACGGAGATCAACTCATTCGCCGACTCCGCGGAAACTGGGTACGAGAGACACTCGGCTTCGCGTCGGTACTTGCTTGCGCTTCAAACGCGGCTGCTTGCTTTGGCTGCACGAAGTTGCGCTACTGAGGGCATGACCGGGAGTAGCGGAAATGAAACGAATACCACACGGCAACTAGCAGCACTGCTTGAAGAAGTCGCTGCAGAGAGTGACAGCGACTTTCCTGCCGACTTGCTGTCTGGCGAGGGGAGCAGGTCCTCCACGCAACAACTTCGTGCGTTGGCGCATTTCGAGGGGGCAAACTTCGCAACCAAATTTTACTCCCAGGCTTTGCCGATCTTTCCATCGACGAGTCAGCAGCTCCAAGCGCGTGCCTGCACGGAACCGGACGAAGAACTGCTTCGAGCTATCCGCATTGAACTGAAGCGTATCGGCGAGCTGCTGCAACGCGTCGATGCCCAAGTACGCGGTCGAGCTTCAGTCCTGCTGAACGCAGTTTTTACGGAGCTGTATGTGGAGGTGGGGTTCTCCGCACCCGCCTCCAATCGAGGACGGGTTTCCGCCTTCAGCGCGCCGCAAGTAGGATTGCCGGTTGGCAACGCGGTTTCGTCCAGGTTTGAGCGGTCCACCGCGTACTCGTACTACTCAGTACTGCATCCCCGGGCACGTTTGCGCATTTTTCCCTCACCGAAAATGGACAAGGGGGGGCTCTCGATCGTGAATACGATGCACAGCGAGGTATCTTTTCTTGGCAGTGCGCTGCGGTGGGAACTAGACCCCAAGTGTTTGGTTCAGGGAGAGATTCGGGGATCGCAGTCAACGCTGCAAGACGCCGTCATGCTGTCGCCTACCGAGCTGCGCTGCCGAATTTCGCCGACTGAGTATTTGCTGACCAAAACGCGGGTCGATGTCGTTTGGGGCCGGGCGTCGCGGAGCGTGGCCAACCAGGAGGGGTTTGCGCAGCCCCGCGGAACCGCGACGTCCACTTTGTCGAGTGACTACGTCGCTGTGTCCTCGTCGGCGCAACTAGATCTCCCGGCTTTTGCCAACGTGGACGTTCGACCATATGCGAACTTTGAGACGGTCGCGCCCCAGTTCGTCACCAATCGTGGGGGGGACGTTGTGACCGTTTACGGAAATTGGACGGCCATCGAGGATGCGTACTGCTGGTTTCAGGGAGTTGAGGCTTCGAGCCGCACCTACTACGTGGCGGACAACGCTCGCGCCTGCCTTGCGCCTGCTAAGCGAGTGAACGGGGACACACTGGTGTACTTGACGGGGTTCTTCCGGCAGACCGCCCCGGAAGCGCACCGCAGCGATTTCTCTACCTACGAGCTCGCCTACTCGGAGAAAGACCGAGCGCAGCTGAAGGAGGAAGCCCGGCGAGCAGACCCCCTAGCTTATGCGCGGGGCGCCGTGCGCAACAAAATCCCCCTTATTTTTCCGATCGGGAATGAGGGTCTGCGAGTCACGTACATCCAGGCTCTTGTGCTGTACGAGGTGATTCCGTCGATCGTCATGGATCCGGGCCCGCAGCTGTTGCACGTAAAGGGCATGGGTTTCCGGAACGCTGACGACCTGATGTGCGTGTTCGCGGTCCGTAAAGTGCGTCCGCAGGTAAACTTTGCGGTGCGCGGAACCGCACCGAACAGTGACCCCTGCTGCTCCCGGTGCGTTCATGTGGGTCCGAACGAGACGACAGCGGAGTGTAGCTCTATGGCGTATCCAGGTACAGCAAAATTTAGTTTCACGGACACCAGTACGGCAAAAGCACAGCTGCAGAGGGATACCGGTTTGCAAACAGGCGACCCGTGTACCAGCGACCGCCCTGCCTATACAGAAATTGACTTCAATCGGACAAGCTGTGCCTGCGGAGAAGACGACTCCAACGAGGTTGCTTACGACCATGATGCGCGCGACGCGGTTTATGGCGCCAAGGCGACCTACCAGACCGTGGCACGGTTTTACAACGTGAGTTACATCACGTGTCCCAGCCCCGAACTGTCCCTACCCCCCACAAACGAGCCCTCGGAAACTCGGGTGGAGTTGTTTGTCATGACGGGAGACTCGCTCGCACAGGGCAGTCAGCCTGCGAACACATTAGGGCTCCGCGTGCTCACACCTCCTTCGGTCGCTTACCTGGTCAGCTTCCGTTCGCTTCCGATTATGGCGAAGAAAGTTCCGCCGAACTTTCGTCTGGCGGAGGCTTTGTCGAAGACCGCGGTACTGTTTCAAGGGCAGAAGTTTTTGGACTGGCCAAATGTGTTGTGTGAGTTTTCGCATCGGGTGACGCCGGATCTTTTCCCAGTGGAGGTGGTGCCTACCTATGTGATGTCAGACACAGAGCTCACCTGCATCGTGCCAGAGGCTTTTCACGGATTGGACGACCGTCAGTTGCAAGTGCGGCTAGCGCAGCCGCAGACTTTCAGTACTGTGTGGTACGCGGAGTTTCTTGTGAACCGTGTCAATCTGACACTCACAGGGGACGTGGTCAGCGGTTCGGACGATCAGGCTACGACGCCTGCTGTAATCTCTGGGGAGCTTTCTGCTGGCAACTCGACCTTTGGGCCAAGCGGGCTGTCGTGGTGCGGCAGTAACCGCACCAAGTCGCTGCTGCAGCGGCTGCAGAACTTGGAGAGGTGCAACAACGGGACTGACGACGGGGGGGACGGTGTCACGGCGCGTATGGTCCTCCTCCGGCAGCTGTTTGTGTCATCCAACAGCAGCACTGTCGTGTTGAACGATTCAAACACCAGCGCGAACGCATCGACCACGGCTGGCTTCGATGGCGAAGACGACGCGAATGATACTAATGCCTCCAACCACTCCGCAATTCTCGCAGGAAATGGCGTTGCGTCCGCCGTCGCGCAGGGGTTGGGCGTGGGCTTTACAAATCAGAGCCTGGTACTGGTCGGGCCGTTAAATCGAAGCATTTGCGAAATTCAATACGTAGATCCTATACTGCCCTTCGTTGCGCCCCTTCCGACTTCCGTTCGAGCCACGACGGGGGAGCGGTCCGTTTTCCTGTCCGATCCAGTGATCGAGCGCGTTCATCCACGATATGGGTTCGACGCAGGCGGCAACATTATTTCCGTGTTTGGGCAAAACCTGCCCGCGCTGTTGCAGGACCCGCAGGGCAGAACGGCCGTGCGGTGCGATTTTGGCAAGGCGGGCGTGACCTTCGCCGTTTTTAGTAGTGCCAGTGTGGTGCGGTGCCCAAACCCTGCGTACTTCGAGTCCGATACCGTCAGTCTTTCGCTGCTGGTCGGAAATCCGGCCTATTTGCGAATTTCCTCGCCGAGTGCGCTTTTTACCTACATCCCGCGGTTTGGAGTAGCTCACATCACACCGGAAATTGGCTCCCTCGAAGGCGGGACGAAGGTCCGCATTTTGGTAGCCACGCGCCCAATGCCTCTGGCAGTGGCCGACCTGCAGTGTGTGTTCGGTAATCAGCGCGTCCCCGCACAGGTAGTTGCAGTGGAGGAGGACGTTTTTGCGAGACCAGAAAGGACCGATGCATCTGGCGGGTCCGTCGAGGGTCAGGAGCTACATCAGAACGCCACGAACGGTACTGTCGGTAAAGCTGCAACCAGCGGGGATGCGGAAGGGGACGGAAGCAGTAACAGCAGTGCTACTGCTCTCCACGTTCCCCGGGCCAAGGGTTATCATGTCGAATGCGAGACGCCGTCCGCCGCGAACCTTCCGCGCGTCACCGACTCCGAGACCCCCTGTGCCTGCAGTAAGTACTGGACGCAGGCGTTGCCAAGTGGTGACTTTTTCTACTGCAACGACTACTGCTGCACCGTTCCGCAGCTGGTCGTCAACAGCACCGATGCGTCAGACCTGCGCGGCTCGCAGCCGTGGTGCCAGACGACCAATCCGCTGTGCGATAGTGGCCCAAGTCACGGGGGCGTCGGGTGGGGCTATTGCAAAGAGCCGACCGCACAGAGTTCGTTCCCGGTGTGTGTCCGCATCTTGGAGACCGCCGCCTCTTTCGTGCAGGTGGACGAAATTCAAGATCCATGCTGGTTTCAATTCAACTACTTCCAACGCCCCTACCTGGACTTCGTCTCGCCGCCGTCTGGCCCGAACAAAGGAGGGTCGCTGCTGACGCTCCACGTGCGAAACGTTCCGCGGCTGTTTGACGGTAACGCACTGCGCTGCCGGTTCGAGAGCTACGTCACAGAGGCACGGTGGGTAAGCGACAGCCAAGTGCAGTGTGTGACCCCGAGTGTGTACTACACTATGGATCCCGTCAGTGTGGACGTGTATCTGAGCGTGAACGGCGGCGAAGACTACTTCACTGGGGACCCGACGCCGACGCGCTATACGTTTGTTCCGACTGCAGACGCACTCTCCATGGCGCCGGACTTTGGCCCGCAAATGGGTGGCACCGCCATGCGGCTGACCTTACCGACCTACTACGACGGCTACACGCCCAGCGCTTGCTGCTTTGGCGTGAATATCCTCGTCACGGCAGTGCCAGCGGACACGACGGGGCGTGTTTTCGTCTGCAGCACACCCCCTTGGTACTCGAGCCCGGCCGTTGTTCCCGTCGGACTGCTGCAAGCCGACGGTAGCTGCGATCTCGATCCGCAGACGGCCTTTACCTACGTACCTCCCTGGGTTGTTTCTGGAATCGATCCTCCAACGGGCTCTGCCGGGGGCGACACGCTGATATTGATTTCCGGGGCGGGGTTCCGCTCCAGCGACAACGTGCTGTGCCGTTTCGGAAGGAACCAGGGCCGGGGGCAGTTCTCCGCGCGGGCGGAAGTGATTTCGGAAACCGAAATTGTGTGCCTCACCCCCGCATTTTCGAGTGACATGCTGGCAACGGGCAGCGCTAGTGCGTTGGACAAACTTGAGGTAGTGGTGTACGTGGCCATCAACGGGGTGGATTTCCTCGCGGGCAAGAACCCCGGCGTGACCTTTGAGTATCTGATGGAGTTCACCGTGGAGTCTGTGATCCCTCCTCTAACCATTGACTCCGGTGGGGAACAGCTAGTAGTTCGAGGCGTGAACTTGGGGAGCTACGTGCAGTACTGCGTGTTTGGAGGCGACCCCTTGGCCGAGCGGGTCCGGGAAGAGGACCGCGTAATTGTAGTGCCCATAAAGGCATTCCTGTCGCACCGAGAGGTACTGTGTGAGGCTCCGCAGTGGTACATGCAGGAGGGGGTAGTACAGGAGCGGGTGTGGGTGCGGCTGTCGCGCCTTGGTCGCGCTACCGACGCGTTTAACTCCGATGCATTTGTCACGTACACGCGCGTCCCCCGGGTCGACGCCATTTTCCCGCCCGAAGGCATCTTTCAGGGAACGACCCTGGTGACCGTGTCGGGTCGGTACTTCAAGTACTACATGCCGTTCGATCCCTTCGACAAATCCAAGTCCACCTCCGTCTTGGAGGGTCCGGGAAACGACCCGGCGGTGGTGTCCAACGTTACCTGGAGCGTCGTGTGTGAATTCAACCAGATTCAGCGCGTCCCCGCAGTGGTGCACGGATTTGACACGATCACGTGCCTCACCCCGCCGACTTTGAAGCCGGAGGAAAAGCCCGGGCACCACGTCACGTTCGATCTGATCATTGAGTCTTTCGGAAAGAAGCACAATTTTACCACACGCGATTGGCCCAACCTGCACCAGAACTTGTTTTACTACCGGGCTCCCGAATTCCGGATCGTGGACGCTTTCCCCCTGTCAGGTCCGGAGTTCGGTGGAACGACCGTCAGTCTGACTGCCGACGCTCCGCTGCTAAACTCTCGATTCCTGGAATGTCGGTTCGGCCCGACGAAAGTTGCGATCAAGTTGGTGGACGCGTTCCACGCGACCTGCGAGAGTCCCGCGGTGGGCGGGTTCACCGGGGTGGAGCCGCCCGTTACTGTGGACGTTGAGGTCCTCTTCGCGAACGCGACCCTGAACGGGACCAAAGTCCGGTTCCACTACTACCTCACTCCGTCTGTGTCGCGGGTGGTGCCGCCGTTCGGGACTACCGAGGGGGGAACCATCGTGCAGCTTGAAGGCTCGCACTTCATCGAGGATCCGAATCTCACCTGCAAGTTCGGCGACGTGCCCGTCCCCGCAACGCGGTTCATCAACCAGAACCTGATACTGTGCAAGACGCCTCCCCACCAGGCTGGCATCGTCACCGTTCGCGTCGGGAACAACGGTCAGAATTTCGTAGCCAGTAGCGACGCGCGGTACGAGTTTTTCAAGACAAAACAGACCTTCTACCTGGTGCCCTACCTGGGTCCGATTCTGGGAAACACGCGCGTGGTCGTGGAAGCCGAAAAAATTCCGACGGGGGCCGACAACATGATTCGGTGCATTTTTGGCGTCACGCGGACGGTCGGGGTGAAAATCGACGACTCGCATTTTATGTGCGTCACCCCGCGGCAGCAGGAAGCGGGAGAGCTGACGGTGAAGATCACCTTCAACCTGCAGGAGTTCGCGGAGGCGAGCCAGGCATTTTTGTACTACAACGAGCCTGTTGTGCAGAGAATCACCCCGCCGCTGGGTCCCAGTGGCCAGGTGACTTTCCTGAAGATCGAAGGCACGAACTTCATCAACACGGACTACTTGCGCGTGCGCTTTGGCGGCACTACCCGGAAGCAAGTCACGACCGCCGCCGTGGCCGCGGCGGATTTCCAGGAGAACGCGTACGCGAGCCTCGAGGCGGTCGATGCGAGCAATGCCGAGTTTCCCGTTCGGAAGGCGTTCTGGGTGTCTAGTACGGAGATACATGTCGAGACGCCGGTGTTGACGTACCTGGACGGTCGAGAAGACTACACTCGGCTTCCAATCTACGTGAGCAATAACGCGCAGAGCTACTCCCCAGACGGCGTCGAGGCGTGGGACAAGGAGAGTACGCGTTACGACAGCGTGCTGAAGCACTTCGTGTTTCACCCGGATTTGGTTCTCACCCAGGTGCGCCCCTCGGAGGGAATGCACTACGGCGGCGCCCCGGAGGGCGGCTACGTGTCCGTGGCCGGAAACCACTTCATGAATACCAGCTACATCTTTCCCGACCACGATGTCGGGTTGCTCAAATGCGCATTCGAATGGGTAGAAAGCCGGGCGATATTCGTCTCTACCACACAAATTCTTTGTGAAGTGCCGAACATGCTTGCCGCTCGGTCGTACGCGAGCGTTGGTTTCGCTGCGTTGCGGGTCACGCTAAACGGGCTGGATTGGTCGCGTTCAGTTCTGCAATTTCGCTTCCTGGGAATCTGTCCTGCCGGGAGCTATTGCCGCCACAAGGACTACCTGGACTATGGCTACCGCGTCGTGAAGTGCCCCGTGGGTCACAATTGCGAACACGCAGGGAATTCCGAGCCGATGCCTTGCAAGCCCGGGTCGTATCAGTCTTGGGAAGGACAGCACCAGTGCCGCGAATGCCCAAGAGGGTTTTACTGTCCCAATGGGAGGCAAATTGAGCCGCTGCGTTGCCCGAACGGTTGGATGTGCGACGAGATTGGGCTACAGATGCCGTATCGGCTTTGCCCGGGCGGCCACGTCTGCCTTGGCGGTGTGGCCACGGCGGATCATCACCTCATGCTTCGGTACCCTGCCACAGAGACGTTCTACAACAACGAGACCGGCGAGATCATTGTTCGGACGAGCACGGAGAAAGACATACCGAACGTCATGTACGATCCGCAGGTGATTCCGCAGAAGCCGACCTTGTGCGGGGCTGGGTTGCACTGCTACCCTGGTACGGCATCTCTGCAGCCCGCAGTCCCGGGACGTGGTAACTACTCGACGCCGCAGCCCTGCTTTCAGGGATTTTTTTGCCCACCGGGCTCGAAGACTCCGACTGGAGACGCTGGGGCATGCCCGTTGGGGAAGTATTGCCCCACGCCGCGGCACTCCGGGCTCCTGTGTCCAGATCGGTACATGTGCGGCCGGCTCCCGGGCGCCTACGAGCCGGAGCCCTGTCCGAAGGGGACTTTCAACCCCTACGTCGGACAGACGAACTGCACTCTTTGTACCGAAGGTGGCATCTGCCCAGCTACACGGATGCGCGAGCCGGATCCGTGTCCGTGCGGCAAGCTGTGCGACGAGCGCGGCCTGTCCATCCCGAGGAAGCTTTGCCCGGCCGGGGTGATGTGCGACGAGGGCACGGCGACGCCAGTGGAACCGGGTTTGTGCGAGGCGGTGCTATACGACAACATTCTGTACGACGTCGGCACCGAATCTGGGCGCGCGGCTATTTGCTACTTGGATATCGGCCAGTATTACGTTGCCTACACCGAGGTTGCCGTCCGCTCCCCCCGGATGGTGGAAGCTTTCGAAACCATGTGGGACAACGCGGCTTTTTACTCCGAAGCTGACTTCATTCGCCACTCAGGTTGGCGGGTGGAGCCGCCGAGTTTCAGTAGCTGGACCAACGAGCTGGAACTACGGGACGGGGGGAAGGCCACCTGTTGTTGGTCTGGTGCGAAGGTGCGCGGATACTTGGTGGACACCCTGATGCCGCAGTTTGCCGCGGACCGGCTGGCAACCAACACCTTTTCGCGGTTCATCGAGTGGGTGGACTACTTCAACGCCTGGCACGCGCGGCCCGAGATGGAGGGCCAGCCAAATTACCTACGCGAGTTTGACGGCCTGGAGTTGCTGGAGCGCACCGAGACGTGGTGGCGCACAACGGGGGACTTTGTGCTGGAGCCGCTGCGCAAGCAGCTGATGTACAAGATCCAGGAGCTATGGATTTTTATGCGGCCACTGCCGTGCAATCCCGGAGCCTACTGTGCGGAGGGCACGTGTCCGCGGTTCGACACTGGCGGATTGGTGGTGGTGAACTACACCACAGCCTCGAAGAGTATCACAACCACGGTTGCCCCGACGCTGCGAGAGCTGCTTGGAAAGCGGCCCCTGGGTGGTCGTCCACCTTCCCGGCCTTTGTACAACTGGACAACTACCCAACCGCCCCCAATCGCAGGCGTCAACAAGAACTACAACCCATATGTGCCTGCCGCACCAATCGACCCAGAGACTTTCATGCATCCTGGATCCATGTACTTCGCGCGAAACGGGTCCGACTCCGGGCGCTTGCTGAAGCAGCAGGAGCTTGTGCAGAGGATGTTGCAAACCATGTCGCTACTAACCGCGTCGCAGGAAGTAAAGGACCTCGTCCAGGCGTGGCAAGACGCGGGGGCACAGGGATGCATTTCGAGCTTCCCGGACGGTCGTCCGCTTCCCTTCTCGATTCCTCAAATTTCGTGCCCCAACCCGCTGCATGCCAACGCACCGCAGCAGTGCCCGGCTGGTCGATTTTGTGGCGCGCGTGCGGCGTCCGCCGCAGGCACAGCAGAGTGTCCCCCGGGGACATTTTGCGATCCGGGGAGCAAGGAGCCGCGGCCAGCCCCCGAGGGTCAGTTCGTGACTGAGCCGGGACGCGTTCGTGGAGCCACCTGCTTTCCTGGGCAGTTTGCACCTTCCAAGAGTTCGCCGAAGTGCGAGCCCTGTCCACCCGGGTACTCGTGCCCCGAGTTTGGCACCGCAACGCCCTTCATCTGCTACAATGGCCAGTACCGTGAGCCTCTGATCTCGACCATGGTGGCGGGGTCTATCTCGTGCAATCCCTGCGGAGTGGGGATGTGGTCCCTCTGGCGCGGCACGCCGGACCTGACCAGTTGCGATCCGTGTCCCGCCGGCCGAGTCTGTCCGCCAAACACGGGAAACATTTCGGAGTCCACCGCCTGCCCCGAGGGACGGATCTGTGGGGACGCCATGACGCCCGCCTTGTCCACGGAAGGAAATCGCTGCTTCAACGGGTTCTTCTGCCGCATTGGCACAACCCCCGCGGAAGCCTTCGAACAGCCGTCGGTTCGGGGATTTTACTGCGGGGAGGGGACGAGTTTTCGCAACCGCTTCAAGTTCCGCTGCCCGGTAGGCTTCTTCTGCCCCACGGCAACGGGGTACAAGCGGGATTTGTCGCGCCCGATGATGTCGGGGTCCGTGCACATCGGGCGCCAAGACTTTTACCAGGCGCAGAAATTGGCCCAGTTTTGCGGGCGGAGGGCATTCATCACACAGGCGATGAAGGTGCAGAACAACATCCGGCGGAATGCCAAGTTTGGCATCACCCTGGAGCAGTCGGAGATTGATCGCGAGATCTCAAAGTGGTACGAAACTTTTACCAGTCTCTGTACCGTGCGGGCCCTGTTTCACGTAATGGGAGAGGCACTGCTTACGGTAGCAAACTGCAACCCTGACGAGGGCACACGGGTTTGCCGGATCCACAGTCTGGAAGGCCCTAACGGAGGCGACTTCAATGTGGACGAAGTGCTGAATTGTGAGGAGACCGCGACCTCCACGAATGCTCTCGACTGCATGAATTCCATCCGTTTTCACGCGGGCCAGTTGTTCACCCTCCCGAGTAGCAAAGTGAAAAAAACCCCACCCCATATAGAAAAGACAACTTGAAGATGTGTTGCTGCATTTGTGTATACAAAGGAGCTTTGTATTGCAGCAAAAGCTTGTCGGCATATTCTAAGTCCATTTGGGTACGCATCCGGCTAGCCGCTGAGCATGAGGAGCAAGTCTGACGTAGGTGAAAACGCATGACAGGCTCGCTATACAATGCGCCACATGATGGGTGCTGTTTGCCTTGTACGCAAGAAAAAGCTGATCATTGGTGGCCACAGATCAGCGTCATATGGGGAGGGGGTTTTTTCCTTACGATACCGAATAAGATGCTTTCATCGTTTTCGAACAAGTGCATCGCGTTACTGCAGTGAAAAATGCCCCCATACCGAAAGTTGCAATAATTTGTGATGCGGAGTTTACAAATGAAAACATACGAATCTTTCTGATGCAGAGTTTCGTCGTATACAGCATCGCTTGCATGACAAGTGCCGCGCCTGCTGGGATCTTTTGCACTACGCACAGACTCATGCTATTCACGATTGAAAATCTCTGATGCTGATACATGCAAGACGGCGAGTTTTTCTACAGGAAAGGTTTACACTGCAAATGCTCCCCGGTTCTGTGGTGGGGGCATTTTTCATTGCAATACGCGTACCACCAGCAGCTGGGTCCCTGCTTGCCCGGCACCGAGGTGGTTCGAGCCCAAACGGTGATGAGCGATTCGGTGTACGCCGAGAAAGAATGCCACCGCGAATACCACCCGTCGTGCGACCCAGGACAGAGCGCCCACGCCAACGCAGAGTCCGGCTGTCCCCGCGAAGAGTACTGCGACGGCGTGGACCCCGCCCAACAGGCAAACTGCCGGGATGACTACACGTTTTTGAAGGTGCAGCGCCCCGCCAATGACACGCCAGGAACCTCATCGCCTCTGGTGTCCGACGGGAAAGCGATTCGTAACCGGTTTATGGAGCCGGTGGAAGGCGAGGTGACGATGATCCGCTACCAGAGCCAATTCCAGTGTTTGTGTGAGTTCGCCGAGGCGAATTACACGCGCTGCTTTCGCAACGGTTACCCAATGCCCAGTTGCCTGGACGGCGGCGACCCGAGTTGCATCGACTGGATTCTGTCGGAGAAGAACCAAGTGAAGCTAGCACGGCAACAGTCCTCCGCTGCGATCGCGGACCCCGTCACGGACGATTTCGATCTCCTTCCGAAAGCGCACCTCGCCTACGTGCACGAAGCAATCAAGCGCGAGACGCAAATGCAGTACGATGCCGGGGAGGCTTCCCTAGCTCGGTGTCCGTACGGGACCATGACGCAAACCGACGGCAGTTTCCAGATGGAGCTCTGTGTGGCGCGCAAGGTTGTGTCCTTCCTCCGGGACATTGACACGGAAGACATTGTCGTCGTGAAGCTGGACCCTATCGACATTGATCTCAGCTCAGGGCCTCTGATTGAAGAAGCGGACTTGGAGCCGCGGCTGTGGACGAGAAAAAGTAGTCCCCAGCTGCCCGGAACCGGAGCGGTGCAACCGGGGATCCCAACAGATCCGGACTTTGCGTACTTCCATGTGTTTCGCCTGGAGCCCCGGGACCTCGCGCTGATGACGTTCGATCTGCGGCACATAACACCACGGATGCGGTATGGCCGCGACTGGCAGATTCGAGTTTTTGTAGACCGATCGAACGCTAATCCGCCGTTGGATCCGTTGCATCTCGATCCCCTGGACTGCGCAACGCTGGTCGCGGATCGAGCGACCGCCGGAAAGTATCCACACCGGGCCACCGACACGGCCCGGGCGAAGGGCTGCCGGGCACTAGAAATGCCAACTTCGTTTACCTTCGACACTGATTTGGAAACGTATTCATGTGCCTTGCTTTGTTCAATCATTTTTCGCTTTTGTAGTCTGAAAGTGCCAGACGCAGACCTGACATGGTAAATCGAAGGGCTCGAAACAAGAAAGCCGCTTACGTGGCACGCAGCGAGACCCCAGCAATGCTCTGTTGTGTGGGAAAATTGTTTTCTTCTTTGTTTGTATCGCTGGGAACCCTTTCGAACCCGCCCTCCCACTGCCAAAACAGGCGACGTTGTGTCGTTCGAGATGCCTGGCGCTCAATGCATTGCACTGCAGACAATTAAGCTGCAGGGTTTCTAGGTGGAGCGAGGGCAGTGCTTCAAGCTCGCCTGAAGATAACAAGCTGTCCAAGAAGATTGCGCCACGTTGCCTGTATGTGTGTACACCAGAGCACGAGGCTTTTCCTCGCGCTTTTTCACTAACTTCATCTTGCTCTGACTCTTTCTTACGCCCCCTTTCCTCTCCTGGGCCCTACTGGGATGGTTTTCCGATGGGTTTTTTTCCTTCACACTCTGCCCGCTGAAACCGATCATTTATTAGGTTTTACTTTTTTGCCCTCTGCCGGCTCTGCTCCCGGAGCATCGAAGCAAAGGGAGAAAAGTTGGTTTTTGCGTGGTGCCTGTTTATTGAGTAAGCAATCAGTTTATCTTTATTCTTCGACTGTCATCGTCGTGCTTTAGCTTTTGGCCTCTCCGCACATCCCTCGTAGGTTTCTTGGTGGTTCCCACCTCGGGGCTCAGGGTCAGATCGGTCCCAGCAGCATCGGTGGATGCGTTGGATCTGAGGGCAGTACGCTCCCGAAGGATGAAGGCAGTAAGGCATGTCCCTTTGCGTTTCTTTGACTTTTACTTTCGTCTTTATTTTGCTCGGCTTGTTGCTTTTTCCTCGGGCTCACCTGGAACCAATCAACTACGTGTAACATCGATGTCCTAGTCTGTATTTCTCACTTTGGCCCTATGCCGTGTTGCATCTGCAGTTGCTTCCATCTGCCGCGTATTTTCCCTCTATCACGTCATCTGGTGCGGTGCGGCCGCCGCGCATAAGGTTTAGAGAGTTCATATATTTCTAGGGTTGCGGTTTCTATTTTGATTTTACCAAAGCGCATGGCAGGCTGTCCCGCCACATAGGAAGCTGTCGAGTGCAGGCTCTTCAGGAATGCAGAAAGCAAGGCAGGCGCATCCACCTGGCCTAGAAGTGGGCGCGCGTATCTTTTTTCTTTTTTCCTTACTCGCGCGTAGCCAAAACGGGCTTCGTGCGGATATGAGGGATGCGGCTGGCAAGCAGCACCCCAGTGCAGACAATTAAGCGAGAGGAAAGCACACAGCACACAGACAGTTCCTGGCTCGCCTGATAGTTTTTCTTTAAAAATGATACCTCCAAACTATCGAAGAGGCTTGATGTCAACTTGTTTTTCTCTTACTCTCTCTGCAGAGTAATGGAATGCGGTTGCAAATATCCTTGTCTGATTTGCGGGCTTTTCCTCGTAGGTATGCCGACCCCGTGGTGTTGAAGAACACGGCCTTCACACTAAACTTGTACGCGGAGTACGATATCACACAGAAGAAAACTGGCAGGGCATATTTGTAATGCAAAAATAAATACAGAAAAAATCTGTATTGCATATCCGAAACAGCATGTTATGGGGCCACCCATGGCAAGTTTTTGCGTGTATTTGTTTTTGCATTACAAACATGCCCTGCCAGCTTTTTTCTCTGGGATATACGAGATCGACTTCAAAGTCGAAGTGCAGATCCTGAACGGGCTGTTTGTCTATCAAATGTAAAAATGTCTGGGTCTGGAAGAGTGCGCGATTTGTCATGCAGCTTGTCCATGACCCATGACGTCTGGAATGCAGAACCTAGCATGACAGATTCTGTGCGATCTCTCTCATGCCTATCCTGCATGAGAAACTCCCTCCCGACTTGGTCAAAACTGGGCGACTTTTGGTAATCATGCAACACAGATTTTTGCATGCTTCAGATTTGGCATGACAAGTTGCATTCTTCCAGACCCAGACATTTTTACATTTGATATTGTCGCCGATCGGCTTATGTTTGAACGCAGTTGCCTGCTGGAGATTGTCCGTCCGCAACGCTCGAAGGTGGGCACCGACCTTGCTTTCGTCGCGACGATTTCGCAAGATCTGCGCGTGGAACTCCCCTACAACATGCCCTTGTCCACCGTCAAAGTAGAAGACGAGGACGACACACCGAAGACCATCCAGTGGGCCTTCCTCAATTGGTCACCGGTACTGCAAAATCATTTTCACTGCAAGTAAATGTAAATGAGCAGAAGACTCTCTGAGCAGAGCAGAGCCTCTAAGTGACATTTTTTGCAAAGGAGCGAAAAGCTGTGCGCGATCGGATTTTTAACAAGGGTCAAGAAAAACAATGACGCCAACTTCTGAGAGCGTTGCAGTCCTCCGACGATGCTCTGTCTCCCTGGAGCCCTCGCAATAAGTAGTTTGGTCTTGGACCAATAAGGTAAGAATATGGTTAAGAATCTTTCGCCTCGTTGGGCCCACCAGGCCAACGTGCGTTCGAAGCAAAAGCTGGCACGAAAACCCTGGGCCAAATCATGGGCCCAGTTACGCTGCTCCTACTTGATGCTAATGCATTCAGATCAGGAGTTTTGCAAAGGTTTCGCGAAAGCTTCGCACAAGTGCGCCTACTTATGCCAAATTACTACATAGCCGCAGACGCGTGTCCACCGGGCCGAAAGGGGTGAGCGCTTTTCGTTGCGGCTTCGCGGAGCCTTTGCAAGAACTCCTGCAAAAGTAGTCTCCGCCTAGCCCACTGACTGCTTGAACCTTGCGGAAGCAGAAAAAAGAGGGCGGCAAAACTGCAGCGGCTTTTTTCCTCGCGGTTCCCCGGCTCCGACGGATGGACAAATGACAGAATAAAAAACAAAAAGCAAAACGAGGGGAGCGGGTTGATGGGGTTTCGACAAGGAGCCCAGCTGTGTTCCTCCTGTGCTGGATGTGGGCTTTCATTAATATTCGCGATAGGCCAGCCCAGCGGCTTTTTTACCGCCCCCCATGCGAAGAGGTCTCCTACTGGAATGCTAAGCGTCCGCAAGTGTTTCGAGACACAACTTTTGTGCAATTTCTCAGCGACTTTCGCTTCCGTGTGTGTAGGTGGAAGTTGCCTGCGTCAATTCAGTCGAGAATTGGCGCTCGAAGAAAAGGCGCGGGGGCTCTGGCAAAAGCAGCGCGTTTTTGAGCCTGCTGCCCCGGCGGGGCCTTGCCGTATTGGATGGCCTGCGACCTTTCAGCGCGAAGCGCTCGCGACTTCTGGCCACAACTTGTGTCGTCAGCCGTGCCCCCGCGAGGGTGGGGGAGCAATATAACCCTCGGCGGTCGTGTGGCACGCACCGCAGCGCACTATTCAGGCGCACTAGTAGCTTTGGCCCGGCAGCCGCAGCTATGCGGGCTGTGCGATCGCAGGACGCACGAGCGGCATCCACAACTGCTACTTTTTCAAATTTGGCATATCATGTTTGCGCGGATGCCGGATGGTGCGTGGTGTCTCGTGTCTATGGGTCTAAACAGAGAGGCCCTGACGATCTCCGCATGCCAGATTAGTAGGCGCTCCCCGGCGCGTGCCTCAGCGCATCGCCGCAGATGAAGTTCGTCATCTTCGGCTCCGCACAATCTCAAAAAAACGCACGACAGGCCAAGCGCACGAGCGTGCCCTACCGCGCAAATGCCGACGCGACTGCTTTGGAAATGAGCATTCCGCTGCACGTCGGGATGCGCGCGTTGTCGACTGACAACGAATTTGTCTTCATGATCAAGAATACGTATTTTGGCGGACGAAAGACCGTAGTGATCGGGCACCTACCCTACTGGTCCAACTGTCGTGGCTTCGGGCGCGCAGCTCCTCTCTGGGCTATTTTCGAGCAGGGGCGTACCTGTGAGTGGGAGGAGGCGCCGACGGTGATTGGGTCAACAGACATAGGGGCGCAGGCCTTCGGTGATAAGTGTTCCCTGTACCAGCTCGAATGCATCATGGACGAGATCCCCAACAACAAACTTTCCGACCCTCGATGGTTCGAGGCGTCGACAGGCACAGTACTGTTTGAGCTTCTAAAGACCCCCATCGGGAACGGGAAATTCAACGAGCTCAATATCCTGTGTAAAGACGTCCACGCCCATCACCCAGAGTTATGATGTGCCTATGTATTTAAAAAAAAAAAAAAAGTTATGATGCAATTTGTGATGCGCAAGCATCCCTATGACAGGCATTATCAGTCGATTTTTGGAAATTGCGACGCTGTAAACTGGATATGGATAAGCAGATGGATTTGCAATGCGGAGGTCCTTGCTAACCTGCACTAATACCATACGGCCTGCAAGAACTTGTCATGCGTGACTTGCAGCTACTCAGTCTGTTTGTGTCATGCGTGACTTGCAAAACGTCTGGTCTGGATTTGTGTTGCAAAGTCCCCATAACGGTGACTCCGGAGTGAGGACGTTTTTACACAGGATACTCAAGGAACGCGTCCTTCCCTTTACGGCCGACGAAGTGGTGCCCGTCACCGTGCAGCAGGGCGGCAGTATGGCGGGAGAGCTTCCCGGCCAAGTCCTGCTGGTGGTGCAGTATTGGCAAAGGAGTGAAACGGAGAAACAGCTTGTGAAGGGCGACGTATACTACACGGATTTCGCCATTCCCTCGCAACGGCAGCAGCGGGGCCAAGACCACGTCGACTACAAGCTCGATATCCTGTACCTGCCCATGAGTCACCGGGACGTACTGATCAATTTCGTGTTCTCGCGGCTTTTTTACACGATCACCTACCAGATCATCGGGCTCACGGCTGTTTTCATGGTTTTCGTGAATTGGTGCTACCATCAGTTTTGGAGTGAGAGCCGGGTTATCCAAGAAAAAAACTGTGTTAGTGTAACTTTCTTTGGCTGACAGCATCACAAATTTGCTCTACACGACAGAGAAAACCTGTCATGCGTGGCTTGTAAGGGAAAATACACATGAAAAAGGGACTTCATGGCTGTGTGGCATGACAGGCGTAACTCTGTTGCATGTTCTGCATTACAGAGTTACACTTACACAGTGTTTTTCTTGCATACGGGTGTCTCCGCGGTTACTGGACAAGCGGTACTTTTTCAGCGTCTTCCCGCCGGCATATCGCGGGTTCGCGCTTTCCATGCTGCCCTGTCTGCCGCCACTGCTTCTCCTGGTTTGGGTTGTGAGGGGGCGCATGATTACCTACGACGAGGGTAGCACGGTTCCCTGGCGTAGCTGCCCTGAGGGGGTCGTGCCCGACGAGTGTTCTGTCGGGATCCTGGACGAGGGCACGCCCTTCAACGCCGGCGATTCGACCTGGGACCCGGAAACAGCGCTTACGCAGAAGACCTTCGGCGAACGACGAACCGGGCGCACGGGCGTGACGCTGATAGCAATGGGCGCATACCTAGTCATCATCTCCCTGCGGTGCTTTGTGCCCACCACGATTTCCAAGTTTTACGCGGACGAGTCGCCGCAGACGATCGCGGCTACGCAGCTGCTTACCAAGGCGGTGGCGGGAATGATGGGCACGAAGGGCGCCAATGTGCGAAAGTTGCAACGCGAGGCGAGCGTGGACGACCAGAGAAAGAACAAGATGGCGAAAAACGTGTACAACGAAGAGAGCGACGGGGAGGACGATGAGAGGAACCTGCCCATCTTCATCCCGTACATCTGGAAGCGATCGTGCACGGCGCTGATGATGTTCGGCAATGGACTCCTGATGACTATGATTATCGAGTTCTCGTTCTCGGAGTTCTTTATGAAGAATGTTTGGCTGATGCAGGTCGCGATCTACATTGTAAAGCTGATCGAGCAGACCGTGTTCTCGCAGTTCATTCAGGAGGCTATTCTCCTGGTGCCGATCAATGCCGTGATTATGGTCGTGTCGAACCTGACTACGCTGGCGGCGGAGGACCTGCTGGAGTTCATGATGGCATTCTTCGTGAGTATCGCACTGCAGGCGATTGACCGGCTTTACGTGTCCTCCAATCAGGACTTTTTCTACGAACAGGCCGTCCGCGGATGGAACCGAGTGAAGGAGAGCTACCGGTGGCTTACCTCGGGGGCGCGGTTCGTCGACGTGAACAAAGTTCTGGACCAGCTGGACGTCGCCCTCAGTTCGGATGACGAAGGCGAGACTGCAGCCAATCGGGATCCGAACAAAAAGGAATTCGTTTCCAAAAACGAGGAAGCGGCGCAACCCGAGGACATGATCGCGTTCATGTGCGGATATTCCACGGATCTGGTGTCCACCTTTCTCCTTCCGGTGTACATCCTGATCACGTGGTATGTCTACGACGAGAGCCAGATCTTAGTACGGTACAACATTCGAGTGGATGCGACCTGGGAGTACATCAATTTCTATGCGGTGGTGGTGTTCTTCAACCACGCAGTGGACATCTTCTGCATGAATACGCTCGAGCTCTTCCACGGGTGGCGATTGTGCGACTACTTTGAATTCTGCGCCTACCGCTTCAGCAGTCGCCCGGTCCGCTGGAAGGGGTTAGGGGAGACCATCGACGAAACGGTGGCGCCCAGTCTGCGGAGCGTGGATTTGGCTTGTTTCAGCGAACAGTACTACTTCATGAACTTCACGTGCTGTCTGGGCATGCTGGTGTACATTCTCGGGTTCCAGATCATCCTGCAGAACGACTGGAACGCGTTCTCGGATCCGAACTCATCGCTCACCTTCATTCTCACCCTCGCCTTCTGCAAGGTCTTCCACAAAGTGACCTCCACGATTGCGGACTACCTGGAGATTTGGTACGTGCCGCACACTGACATGGAGGTTTCCCTTCTGCGAGGCTACATCGACATCCGCGGTCTGGACGAAGAACTCCGGGACATTATGCTCTGTGAAACCGTCCCCGCCCCATAGTTGTCATGCAAATCTGCATACTTAGTAAAATATTTTCGAATTTGTGATGCTCCAATCAGCATAATAGGCAAGATCTGTGATGCTTCTGAACTAGCTAAACAGGACTACATTACGATGCCAAACCTTTCACGCGCAACAACCAAAGCTGGGCGATTTGTCTAGCAGATTGGCAATCTTGACTGCAGCGCCCCGACTAGAATAGTTGAACGGTGAAGAAGGGGGCAGGGGAAAAAAAATTTGCGATCTTGTTGCCGGGGCGGGGACGTTTTTACTCAGGATAGGCACAGAGGCAGACTTTGTGCAGAACCGGCGGGAAATCAAGCCGCCGGCATGGTCCGTGCTGCACGATTGGAAGCCTCCCCACGCCAGCGACGTGCTCGGACTAGACCGGTACCGGACTGCCTTCATCCAGGAGAACCAGCTCTGGCTGCAGCACGTGTTCGCAGATCTTCTAGACGAGGAAACGAACCTGCAGTACCGGCGTACATTATTGAAATCCTTCACGAAGATTTTAGGCGAGATCGAGCCGCAGTACTACTCGCCCTATGGCGTGCCTCCGAAAATGGTAAACGGGCAGATCGTGGTACCCACCGGCGCAGCCGCGACCAGTGGCACGAGCGGGTTCGACTTCGACACAGCGCCGCCTCAGGAGCTGGTTGCCCACCAGGTTTCGCGGCGCATGTTCAACATGACCGAGACGCTCGCGCAGGAGATTTTGCGCATGTGGCTGGCGCGGGCACGGTTCCTCACATGGCTGGAGGATGTGTCGTCGCACTTGACCCCGCACTCGTACCACAAGAAAGAGATTTGCGAGTTGTGCAAGAGTAACTACGACCTTTCCGTGGTGCCCGTCTACAACATGGATCACCTTGGGAGTCTGTACCGGTTGCAGCGCGACTACTCCCCGATCTTCAATACCCGGATGTGGAACCACTTCTACAAAACCTTCACGCCCACATGCACGGTGTGCCAGAAGTGTGCGCAGTACTACAGGAGTCGCAACTTGGACATCCCGGTTGACGAGCGTCGTTTCATGCGAATGGTGCCGTCCTCCGACATGAGCAGTCACGCCATGCTGCAGCGCTCCAAAACGGAGCTCACGGTGGTCGACGGGCTCACGAGGACGCTGATCGAGTTATGGTATGAGTGGGCCTGTCGTTTGACCAAAGGAGAGCCGCCCGAGAGCTTCTTGCCAAAGTGGGGATTCGAGGCACCGACACGACCAAATTTCTTGGATGCCATCGCGGGTGCCGACACAAGGGCGCTACTGGCGGACTCTGACGAGGAGGAGAACGAGGAGCTGAATCGCGAGGAGCGAGAAAAACAGCGCGAGCTCGCCCGAAAGCAAAAGCTGCGCGAAGAATGGTCGAGCAGTGATGAGGAGGACGAAACGAAGAAGTTGCCCGGGGAAGTCAAATTTCCTGTGGTGGACGTGTCTGCGCAGGTCGCGGCCATGGTACGCCTGTGGCATGACCTTGCGGTGCGGAATCTGCGTCACCCTGTGCTGAGCGACTGGATCGACCACGTAAACGAAAGTATTCCAGTGGACGTCGCGCGCCCGGCTGGGTTTCGCCAGCGGTCACAATACGTTGCGGTTTCAACGATTCTCGATCGCATGCAGAATCAGCAGGCGGCGGACCAGACAGGCAGGTAGGTAAAAATGGGGCTGCCTCTATCGCGCGACAGAGACTCTACATCAGTGGCCCAGGATCCATACTGATTCTGCCGTACAAGCCGGTGGCCTGCCTAGGAAGGAGCCGCCATTTTTTTGCTGTACATTTTTAAGTACTTTCTCGCACCCGTCAAATAATAAAACGCATCTAACTACAGTATACGATTAATTTTTTGCAATCGATCGCAGTGCAGTCTACTAGTGAGTAGGTGAGTGGCCGGTCGCTGTCCTCACTGTCTTCGAAAGCATGGCTATTGCACCAGAGATATGATGACGTTTACCAGCACGGTAGGCTTCTCCTGAAACGCAGTACAACGCAGGAGCTCCGCGCGCCATTTTGCCGAGTCTACTTAAAAGGAAAAAAAACAGCGTAGCGCTTCGGCCGTCTGCCGTACGATGCCACCAGGCGACAGTGGCGTCAAACTCCTGACAATTTTTAGCCGAGGTCAACCAACGACGCGACAGAATTCGCATCCTTCTTGCAGAAGGCAGGGCTGGCAGCGCGCCAGCTACAACCATGTAGCTTCTTCGCCAGTTCTTTGCACTTCAAATCAATTTGGTCTGTTCTCTATGGTGAGGTGCCCGCCGAATGAATTTATCCCAGCCATCCCCAGCTGGTACCTGCATGCTGCGCCCTTTGTGATGGATTTCTAGGCCCTCGCCTTTGTCGCGTGCGTTTTCGGTCCTCCTCCGGGATGCCGTCAAGAAAACTCAGCGGGGGCCTCGCAAGGAATGGCGTTCGAGCAAGGCGCATAGGCTGGCGGCCATTCTGAGAGACGCCCCCCGTTGAAGTTCCGAATGCGAGCCCCTAGGGGCTCCGCTGAAACGGCTTGCATTTTCGTGCGTCGCGACGAATGAGGCACAGTAGGTAACGCCACGGCCGATCTGGTTTGAGCGCCCGCGTGGCGCCGGGCTCCTCGACGCTGGGGCGCCCGCGCGACCGCTGTGGAAAAGGGGGTACGCCGCAGGACTTCCCGCCCTTGAGTACGGCGATGGAGCTGACAGCCCTTGCTTGTAAGTAAGTAGTGGTTGCGTATGCTCGTCGCGGGCAAAAGAGGGAAGCACTGCGCCGGTGCTGTGGCTGGACGGTTGCCCGCAAGCTGCACCAATAAGAGTGAGGCAGGCAGCGAAAAGCAGAGCGAGTAGCCTCAGTGCGGGCCCCTATGGGGCTGCTACAGCAACTGGCAAAGGCCGGAGAGCATTGCGTGAAGGAACGAGGGACTGCTCACCAATATCGAGTGGTTCTGTTTGTTTGTTGCATTTTCGAAGCTACTTAACACGCTTTCGTAGAGTTTTACTTCTTGCATTCCCATCGAAGCGGTGGAGGGCGGTGACGGTTTTTCTTGCGATTTTGTCTAACTCGTCCGTAGTTATTGATGAAAGGTGATAGCAGCTCCTTATGTTTTTGCACCCTTGCTGAATTTCATATTCTTATTTTTGTTGTGACGTCGACCCCGACCTATTCTATTACTTTTCATTGCGTCCGAGTTGCGAATTGCAAGCAATGCGTGTCTTCTGCGTAGTCTTTTCAATTGCGAACGTTCTTTTCTCTTGCGAGGGCTCGTTTTTTTGAAAAAGCAACGTCAACTTACGGTATGTAAAGACTTGATACAACTAGTATTGCGAAAAACTGCTGCAAAGCGTGTTAGGAGCGAAGGTGTGTAGTTGATATTCTATGGCCCGCCAAAGTGCGACAATTTTGGGGTAAAACATAAGGACAAGGCAAATGCTTGAGCTAGTGCTCCTTCTGCTGGGTACTGATTCTTTTACGCGGGTGCGCAAATTTGTTGTAGTACGCCATTAATACCCCAAGAAGAAACTGGGGCGGACGCGTTGTGAGCGGTCGGTACCGCGCGTTTGCAGCGAAAACAGTCCCAGCTGAGCAGTGGGGGCAGGCCATACATTTGCAGGCCTCGGCAGGACGATGGCATTGAAACTTGAGCGGTTTTTTCCAATAAGTAACAGATTCAGATACATAATTAAGTACGTGTACGTAAAACTAAAAGCCTAATTAGGATCTACTTATCCAGGTATTTTATGACTAGAGCGTCGAATTCACCGTCGTGTACCTATTCTAAAGTTAATTTCAGCAATCTTGAAAGAAGAGCGTGGGGCGCATTTGTTACGGCAGGTTTGTTTATTGCGCTTGCTCATCCGGCTAGGTTTTTCTCTCTTGAACTGACAATGAGACACGGCAAGTCGCTTATCGCTCACATGCTAGCGCTGATACGTATGGCACAACTATAAGATAGATTTTTGGTTTCGGTCAATGCTTACATCAAGCAGTTCTTGGATTGGAATCATTAAGCATCGTGAACAAATTCTTGTATGCTAACTTACAGTTGGATGGGATTCTACCCCGCTGCATAGCCAGCGGGAGCATCGGCATAAATGTCAGCAATCATGATCTATGCATTGGCATCAGCCGGCGCGCAACTCAAGCCGAAAGGTCACGCCTGGGGTCCGAAAGCCTGAAAGCCTACACGAGTGTCTAAACGGTGTGCCGTTCTGTTCCTTTATTCCGTCAATCTGATGTGCGCCATCAGAAGTGCAGGATTGGTGTTTGTTCGTGCGGCACCATCAGAAGTGCGGAACTTAAGGCCGGCCGAGCCCTTTCCAACGGAAGGAACTCCACTTCAAATATCTTGTCGCGTGAGGCACTAGAAGTGAGCGGGGATGTTTAAGTGGGTCGACCGCCCTAGAAGTTCGTGCAAATAAAGACACGCTTCTCCAAGTAGTTCTTTGTCGTTCTTAAAGGACCGACTATATAAAAGAAAACTATAGTACCAGTCGATTGCGACACGTCGGAAAATAAAGCAACGAGTTTCGGTCAACTGACAACAGCAAGTAGCTAAATCGGTTTCGTACCTGATCAACTCTGCGGACTCGTCATTGCCATTCGAGAACGTCGACGTCGGTCGCAGTATACAACGTTCGCCATGTTGATCGTCCAAAGCTCTCGCCTCGTTCTTTCTTATCGAGAAATTAATGGACTAATGCCAGCTTTCGTTCCGGCAGCGTCAGAATTAAAAAGACCACAGACTTCCGAATAACAGATCACAGAACCAGGACTCCAGTGGACATTTTGCCTGCCCATTGCACATGTAAAATTGATTTTTGATCCCGGGAGAGGGGATCTCTCATGCAGAATAGGCATAGAGTTGGAATGCTTTCGCAGACTTGGTCAAGCTTTCTAAGGATTGCGGACCTTGTTCTGGACTGAAAGACTTGTGCATTGTTCTACCCTACCCAGGCATATTTGTAATTGCTATCACACCTCGCTTGCCGGTGAGCACTTTCCTATGTAGAGGAACGGGGCAAGCTTCTTTTACCGTCGACAGACGGCGAGTCACCATGCTTTCTGATTTATTGGCCAAGAAATTTTCTACGTGCCTCTGGGAAAACCTGAATTCGAGAGGACAAGGACGATCACATCGAGGTACGGGAATAGACTAACTCACCGCCTAGAAGAATATTGGTCACCAGTGTCGACGGCATGGTCGTCCTGCGTGCGTGAACGTGTCGACGGCCGGTCGTCAAGGGAGCTAGCGCGTCGGTAGAGGCACCAGACACGTAGTTGCACGGGGCAAAATAAAGGAACAAACCATAGCCACGCTTTTTGGAAACTCCTCGTGATGGATTGGCAATTTTCCGTACAGCAAGGCCTGCGGTGCACGGTGATCTTGCAAGTTAATCACACTCGAGCCTACCAGGACCGCAGCCCCGCAACGTCGCAAGCCAGCGGCTTTTTCATTTACCGCCTCGAAGAAGAAGGTCTTGGAGTGTTGCTTACAAATCGGCATAGTGCGACCTTGGGTCCGTGTACGATTTACGCCAGTTTTGAGAAGCACGAGCAAGTGAAGTGCGACGTGCTCTACTCTGACCCGTTGCACGACTTTGCATTCTACGTCTTTGATCTGCAGCAGTTACGTCGCACGAAATTGGGGCGGCCGTTACCGCTTAATGCCGCTGGTTTGCAGGTTGGTGTCGACGTGAAGATTGTGGGCAATGATGACGAAGAACGAAACCAGATCTTGAGCGGAACAGTGGCGAAGATAAATCGAAACCCGCCTTGCCTCGGAGACTACGACCAGGATCTGCATACCTTTTATGCGTTGGCTGCCTCGAGTACGAGCTGTGGTAGTTCCGGGTCGCCGGTGTTGAACATAGCTGGGGAAGCGATTGCGTTGAACACTGCGGCAGCGAACACCGGATCGGGAAGCTACTACTTGCCTTTGGGGAAAGTAGTGGAAGTTTTTAAGTATTTGATAAAGCTCTACGATCACGAGACGTGCCGCGTCAAAAGCATTAACAGTCAGAACCTTGGAATTGAGAATAAAAGCAATCCAGACGAAGATCATGAAACAAGCGATAAGCCCTGGCACCGCAAACCCATCGCAGAGCTGCTTAGTGATGCACCACCGAAGCGCGGTACCTTGGACTGCATTTTTAATTGGGAGGCTATCGAAGAAGCTGCGATCAATTGCGGGCTGGATCGAGCGGTGAATCTCACCGCTGGGAATCTCACTGCAGCCGCCTTCCGTCCCGCGGATGATCGTGCTCCGATCCCTAAAAATCGCGATTATAAGGCCGGTGGTAATTTTTTTGTAAGTGGCGCGTCGTCCTCGTCCTCCGGGTCCGCAACTACGACAGGTGCTACGGATCATTCTGGTGCAGCAGCCAGCCCGAGCGCCGAGCTGCCGGCAGTAATGGAGCCCTCGAGAGCAACGCCGATGGGGTCGTTTTTTAGCCCTGGTGGCGCAGCAGGAGCAGCGCACGCGGGGGTCTTAGTGGTTGAGGAGGTGCTGCCCAAGTCGCCGGCGTCTGATTTACTGCAGGCAGGTGATGCGCTTGTCGAGCTGGACGGCATCAACATGGTTGATCAAGGCCTAGACGCCTTTCAAGTTCTTGAAAGTATCCTTGACGCCAAGGTGGGGACGGCTGTCGAAATGGCTGTGTGCCGGTCGGGGCGTCTGGTCAACGTGACCCTGCCGGTAGAAGACTTGTTTTCGCGCTGCATTCCGAGTGTTCTCTTGGAGTTCGGACTCGGTTGCTTTCACGACGTGGCGCAGGCAGTCGCATTCCGACACCACATCGCCCAGAAAGGCGTGTATGTGGCAAAGCCCGGGCATCTTTTCGCACAGCTGTTTGACGCGGAAACGGGTGGCATCATTCGTGAAATTAACGGAATTGCATGCGACACGGTGGATCAGTTCGAGCACCGGATGGCGAACATTCCTGACGGGGACCGATTTCTTGTGTCCTACATAACTTTTGATTCGGGGGGTACCAGGAACTTTCGTGAGCTAGTGTGTGGACCTATGTCACGCCAGTGGCAGCAGCCAGTCGTCTGGGAGCGACAGGGTCACACGGGGGGATCTAATTGGGTGTGCCGCGATGCACTCGGCACGTCTGCTCCTACTGAGCGAGACCATCATGTTGCGCCGAATCGAAGCGCAGCGGTTGAAGCGAGTGGCGCCGTCGTCAAACGTGGTCGATCGCCGCTTGTCTCGTCCAAAGTTGGACCTAAACCTCCTCTCCGTAATGGAGCATTGCAGTGTCGTAACCGGAAGCGTCTACCAGCGGTTCCTCTTCGAGATGCAGAAGATGCCAGCGACTCCGAGGACTCGGGGAGTGACATTGACGGGGAAGGAAGAGGACTCGGGTCGCTCTGCAGCACGGACGGAAGCAACTACTGTGCTGGCAAGGTCAACAATGTCTCGTCCCCCTCTGGAATCGACGCGCAGCGGCAGATCGATGAAAGTGATGCGCGCATCCTGCGCGACGCATTTCGAGACACTCTTGCTGTGGTGGAATGGAAGATTCCACCTGAGATGGCGGTCGGGCACACGGAATTTGCGTGCGCACACCGGCGCGGCATCGGCATAGCTGTTCCTCCAGGAAACGTGTTTCTTTGCCCTCGAACAGTTGTTCCGCAGGCCATTGCGTCCGTTACGGTTCAGCTGCTAGCACCCGAGGGTGCACAGCACTCGTCCCATTCCAAGAAACAATTGTTCGAAGCCGTCGTCGATTTCGTTCATCCGACGCAGAATTTTAGTCTGGTCCGTATTTTACCCCCGGGCGCCAGCAGAACAATCTCTGGAGGCGAGCCGTCGCTTTCAATCGCTGACAAGCGCAAGCTGTACGGCTCGGACGCGAAATGCAGTGAGAGCACAGAGTGTGATGTCCTCGCGTGGAATCGAAATACTCTTACCGATCACGCGAATCAAAAGGGTGCAGGCAAGGAAGTGAAGATGATGCCACCGCTCCGGCCGGCGGCGTTCCAGTCAGAAGAATGGAATGCCAGCTCCGAGATGTCGAAAAACGTGCGAAAGTACCTGAATCTAGACTCCCCACCTGAGGGTAGCACAGGTGCTTGCCTTGCATTCGCGCCTGCTTCTGCTGGCTCTATCAGAAGTTCTGATAGCGCGACAAAAAACGCCGTCGCCGGCAAGGCAGGTTCATCTGCAGGAAGCCTCGTCGCTGATGGCAGCAAACTCAAGGCTGCGGACGGGATCCAGGGAGAGGATGCGGTTCTGGTTACAGTAACGGATGACCTGCAGATCGTACCCACGCGGAATTTTGAATTTCTGTGCTCACAGCCGACGGTTTTAGAAAATGTATGGACACATCCTCCCCGCTGGCGTGCGCGAAATACTCTTGTCACACCACTCGATTGTGGACAGGATTTTCTTGGAGGAGTCGTCGTCTCGTTGTCTCAATTTCGTGCTGCAGCGGAGGAGGTCCACAGTTTGCGACAGCACAGCGGCGCACGCAAGGCATCACCAGAGGGCCACAAGATGAACCACAAAAGTATGAAAGCCAGCAGAAATAAGCATGACGTCAGCAGGTCGAAAAAACGAAAGCTGGATGTTGATACCATCGTCGATGGAGAAAAACAAGGCGAAAGCAAAGCACTGACAAATGATACCCTGCTCAGGAACAATACAACAGGTAGCGTCTCCGGAAACTACAAGTTGCGAATGTTTAACGATCGTGCAGGAACCGCCCAGGGCAGCAGCCTTTCAAGCGATGAACTTCTGTGGAACTTTACGGAAGCGCTGCCACTCGTGAGCGCTGTAGTTTTTCCGTTTCCGTATGTTAGTAGCGAGACAGCAGAAGGACCCGTGGAGCACGCGGACATGGAGGAAAACGAGGACGGTGAGCAAAGCCGTACCGCTTCAGGTTTGGCCAGTAACGGGTTTCCAGACACCGTCGGTGTGGATTATCTGGCCATTCCAGTCAAGCAATTCATTGGATGGATCTCTTCTCCCGATGAAAAATACGAACAACTCGGTACACCTGAGCGTGATCGCATTTGCGGACTTCATGGTGGAGCGTGTGACGTTAGCGGCAGCAACAGCATGACTCCGCAGTGCGAGCGGGCCCGCGAATGGCCGGACGCCGCCCCCCGCGGACCGTCACTAGCCCGGAACAGCTCAGACTCGAGTGACAGCAGGGCATCGTCGGGATCATCGACTAAACCACATTTGGCGATGAAATCGAGCCTGCCCGAGCCGGCTTCGCGCGACTGCATTCCTGCGAGGGCCCGCGTCGGGGAGACTAACGAAAAACTCTTGCGAAGTGCTGACTCAGAAGTGGTGGCAAGAGCATTAGCCTCGTCTTCGTCACGCCCGTGCATCCGGAGTGGCGGACTCGGCGTCGATCGGCCTGCAGCGTCGAAATGTATGGCCTTGGGTGAGTCTCCTTCGTCGCGCGCCCCGGATCTGCAGCCGAGGGACGGCAGTAGTGCTGCCTCCTCAACAGCTGCGCACGAACTTTTGTCGTATAATTCACGACATCTTCGCTTACTGCCGTATGCAACACGGTATTGCGTCCCTGTGCTTGATGTGGAGCTGTGCGCTTTCGAAGCAGCCACGCTTGAAGATTGGCCAGAGAAGCTTCGTCCCCCGGCATCATTCTTCAGCCGACACAAGGCGTCTAGCGCACTGAAAGTATGTTCGGGAGCATCTCGGGCAGAAAATTCGGATGCGGCCGAGTACCCGCAGACCGGCGATATCATGGTGAAGTTACAGAGTCGGAATTTCCGCAGTGTCATCGACCTGGAGAACGCGCTCTGGAGTACGAAGAAGAAGACGTTGACTGAGACGGGACTTCGGGCGGATGTCTACCGCAAAGGCGTGCTCCGCAGAGTACTACTACAGCCAGAGTTTCGTAAGTCCGATGGCGCGGAGCGCATGGTCATTTTTCACGGTTTGGTAGTGGTGGAGTCACTATCAAATGTAAAAATGTCTGGGTCTGGAAGAGTGCATGTTTGTCATGCTTGTCTGGCATGACTCTTAAATCTGTCATGCACGTTGCCCAAGATCCGCATTTTTCTGTCATGCGGAGACGCAATTTGTCATGCAGAATAGGCAACACTTACAAGCTCAGAAATTTGTCATGCTGAGCCAGCACTCGTGGCCTCCTCATGCTACGCCACTCGGCATCACAAGTTTCCAGACCCAGACATTTTTGCATTTGATAGTCACCGTTCTATGTTCCCCGCGTTTCATTTGGCAAACCAAATCCAGGCCTGTACGTCGTCCGGACAAAGCCGGGCACGCCAGCCAGTGCAAGCCTTGGACATGTGGGCGACCTATTCGTGATCCAGGTAGATGGCGTGCCGGTGAACACTTTAGCGGAGTTGCAGCAATTGGCACGGAATACAACAGGAAAAAAGTGTTTTTTGCTCTGAAGTCGTGACGCAAACAAGGATGCGCCACAGATCATGAGTTTGGCTTGTCAGAAAAAATTTTTAAAAAAGTGCTGCCTTTAGCGTTAGTTTAGACGGTTTTTGGATGGCAATCGAACGGAAAGACAGGAAGCACAAGCGTACAAGAGGACTAGGCGGGAGTCATCTCTTTGATGCATATGGATATGCCGCACAACTGTCACAGTGAGCCACACTTTTCTCGTCCCATATATGATGACGGAAATGCCCAGGTGAACGTGAAGCAGAAGGTCGTTCGTGCGTTGTTGCGGGATATCAATCGCAAATATGGCATGTCTGGGTTGAGTTGAGTTGCAGATTCACTTTGTGTCATGGTAAGTTTGCATTGCATGCAGGGACGATTGAAGCAGCCGAAAGATCAACATACACATTGAAACTTGAACGCTGCCAATGCGTGCGGCAACTGAATAGAAGTGCATGGACAGTGGCCCGAGGCGGGCTCTCTAGCACGACAAATCAGCAGATTTTCCAGTTCTGTTTTTTCGTTTCTCTACCTTAGTGCGAGCCCTTTTGCGTTTCTCCGCCGCAGTGCGAGCCCGCCGTAGACCTATGCTTTCCATCTTTCACTAGGTCGGAAAGAAGTTTTGACATCATGCCACTGCATTTGGTCACCACGGAAACTTTGGTAGTTGAAGTACCTGCTGTTGCATGGATTGCTGTTCATGGTGCTTGCGTCAAGCGAGTGTAGCATTGCATCAAAAGCAGACCCAGAAGTCGTATTTTCAATGTATGGAACACCTGGATGGACGGCAGCGGCTAGCTATAATGTGGATCATATCAATGCGAAATCAATCTTCCTTCCCTCCCTTTTAGTGAAGAAGTCTGTACCAGAACATCGATCTGTCTGTGCCAGAATTTTTGCATGAGTTTTCACTTGACGCATAAACAGGAGGTCGTGCACGGCAGACGAGTTTACGTTGTTATGTGATGCCAGTTACTGGCGCCGGAAGGCACGCCTATAATGCTGGAGAGCTGCTGATGATATTGTCATTGCTCCTTTACAAAATAAAAGGAACCAAGGAGAGGCAACGCAAGTTTCCTGAAAGGCAAAGGGGGGACGAGATGGATTTCAACTGGATGGACTGATCCCGTGTTCTGGCCCTGTCAGGAGTACTCGGTGAACCGGGATACGGGGGGCCCAAAAATCACTCTTTGGTGAGTAGTGCGTGGCCCGTAATGTGTCTTCAACTCATGGCAGTCGCCTTTGATGTAAGTGTAACGGCAACCCTACGAGTATGCTATGAATAATTTTTTAGGCTACTGCTCGTAGTGTACAAGCTTATCCTCTTTCTCGCGTACGACTCATACTCACCAAGTACCTGCTAGATTGATGGAAGGTCAAAGAGCACCAGCGAGCATCTCCGCGATAATCGGAGAAGGTGAACGTGATACGGATAGATCTTTGTCTCGACTCGATTCAAGTAATTCCAAAGATTCTGTTTCGTTTTTTTTTGCTCGATGAAACGCGTTTTCTATTGGTTTGTTTTCCTCAGCCGTGGCGTGGGCCTCAGTGTCACCAAAAAGGGAAGCCGACTACGCAGTGCTCGCGGTGCCGTGTGTCGGTTTGCCATAGGTTGTTATGAAATCGCGTCAGCAAAAGCAACGCGCCTTGTTCTCTGGAGAGTCATAAGCCTCTCCAGACATAAGAACATAAGCCTAGCCGCACTAGCGGCAAGCCTCACGCGCACCATCAGAAGTGCAGTATTGGCCGTTCTTTGCGGTGTCTCACCATCAGAAGTGCGAGCTGCGAGGAGCGGGGCGCACCGCCTGAAGTTCTAAAAGTCAACTTAACCCTATGGACAGATGGATAGAGGGCAAATAATACTAAAAAAATGCCTTGTTTGCATCCGCACTGCAGGAAGGCAGATGGTATGAATGATATTGCGTGACGAAGTTCGTCGATATCTCCTTTCAATTTTGTAGTTTTGAAGTACATTAGCTACGTCCGGTCCCACGGCGTATACGGTTTAATCTACGAATCTTTCCGCTGCTGAAGCGGGCACGCGTTGCCTCGTGCATTTCTGTGGCAAAACACGCTCGATGCGTCGCAGGGCAACATCGTACCTGCGAGTTGCGGGCGACCAATAAATGTGTTCTGACCATTGGCCTTCCCCAGCTGGTTAGCCAGGAAAGCTCCCCGGGCCCCATTGCCCTCGGCCGAAGGGATACGGTTACTGCATGAGATTGAGAGGCACTTGTGTAGCACGAGCAAGATCGCGGGCGAAATCTGCTGGAGCTGTGCAGCGCTATGAATCTGTTTCGTGCTCTACACCCTGACAGGTGTAGTAGTTGCGCCCACAGTTCTTCTGGGCAATAGCGAGCGCGCATGTAAGGTTCGCCTAGAGTCTCTATACGCTGCGAAAATAAATACTACTCCATACCCCAGAGAGACAGGAAACAAAGGCAATCGCTTCTCGTCGAACGCACGGCGGGCAGCAGCGGCGGAGCGAACATGGGCGACAAATTGGGAACGTGGCACACGTAAATATCTGGCACCGCTCGTCTACGTTCGTCTTCGTACGCACGGGACGGAGGCCATGCCGGCGGTTGTTGAATCGGCGGCGGTTTCGACCGTCCTCAGCGTGGAATGGGGCCCTGATGGGGTTTGGCCGTCGCCATTAGCAGAAGAACAGCCACGCCCTAGCGCATCGAGAAAAGAGATGGAGAAACCCCGCTTGGGATACTCTATCTTCGGGGACAAGATTGTAGTTTGGCAAGGCGGCAGTGTTTGGCCAGGTATGTCTTTGAGACGACGGCCCCAACGGGTGCGTCCAAACCGATCGCACGCCCTGCAGTCGAGTGCTGCGGAGGACGTGCTTGACCTGCGGCACGTACCACGCCCGTTTTCGTCCTCACAAACCTCAGCCTCACGGACCAGAACGCACCTGTCACAGCCGCGCTCGGTAGAGGAGCAACTTGGTGTCTGGTCGTTTGTGGAAGGGGACAGGGCTGGTAGCGAGGCCTCACTTCGCACCTCGGCGGTCGCGTGTCACGACACGGAGGCTACCACAGGAAAGGAGGTGAAGCAAAATCGAACCACAAAGCCAGACGCGAGCGGCATTGGAGAGGAGAAAAAGGCGGAGCAAAGCGAGGGTGTGGATGTGCCGCCCCCTGCTGCTTCGGCAGGATGCGTGCGCGGAGAAGCACAGGAAGAAGAGCTTGAGGAAGAGGCGCCTCCACCTTTGAATGCCGCGCTGGCAAATTTTGCCCAGCGCAAAGTAGCGGAGGAAAACTCTGCGAAACAGCAGCGGCTTTGGCAAGAAGAAGAGACCACGGCGGCTCCGTCTGATAGCTTGGCACCACCGCGGAATAAAGATGTAGGAAGTACGGAAGAAGAGACAGCTGCGGTCAATGCAGAGACTTTGGGATTGGATCCAGCATTCGCTCCTACCGCAGAGTGCCAGGATGCAGGCGCGCTGCTTGAGGCGGAGGACATGCGGCTCCAGCTGGAGATGCCGGAATTCAATCCTGCCCTAGCACGTTTTGCGAATCGAGCAAGGCTGACATCGGACGGTGGTGTGGTGGAAGAGCCTGACTCACGCACAGGTTACACAACACTGATCGAGGACTCTGCGGCTCCAGTAGATGGACTGACTTGCGCCGACAGCGACCTGCAACAGACGGAAAAGGATATCACGCCACCACACCCTGAGCCTGACCCGTCATCACGCGAGCCGGGAAATGCGACGGACCCAACACTACTGGATAGCGTTCACGCAATGGAGCAGCGCGCTGACCTAAAAGAGGATCCGCCCTCCGCGGACACACAGGCGGAACATTCGCTGTCGCGAACGAATTTGGATATTGGACAGGAGACGATGCTAACCGATGGAATTCATATTAACGGCTTGAAGAATCCATCCTCCGGAGCATTCGAAAAATAACTCTGCGCGACATATCTGCTCTGCTGATTCCCTGGCCTTGAAACATAGCGCCAACATGACAGAGGCGATGACGATAATGCGTTTGTAGCTACTGCGCGAATTATCGCAGGCGGCACGAATCGTTTGGGCTTCTGGATTTTTTTTTGAATTTGCGAATTGCAAATTTTTATGGCAAATCAATGCGCTGCTAAAATACTGCGGCAAACTTCCAATTTGCTGCAAGTTTTTGGCGTCGCAAGCAATACTATTGTTTCAAAATTTTGGACGCGGCCTAAAAGAGTTGGCTCCTTTAGGAATAGACTTAATCCGGCCTGCTGTGGCGCGTTGGCGCGACGCATATTCGAACGCGGCACAGCAAATTTGCAGCAAAGTCGCAACAAATTTGCAGCAAGTTTGCAACAAATTTGCGGGAAGTTTTACTTTAAGCAAGTTTCTAGTTGCGCGCCCCGCGGAGGCAGGAAGCTTCCCGGAAGCTTGCGAGCGGGGGCCGCGCATGATCTCGACAGATCTGACGACTTCGTGTGGCGCAAAGCTAGCCGCCTGCGTCTCTTTTCTTGTTCAACAAAAAAGCCGCGGGCAGTATTTTTCGACAACGGCCAGAGTGGATACTTTAAACCGTTAATCATACCATGCCGCCGCCAGCAAACTCCCCAAGCGTTTCGGGGTCCTCCAGGCGGCTGAATGTGCGCTCTTCATTTGAACCGACAATAGGGGGAAAAAGTAAAAGCATAGGTCCTAACAATAGTGCGACTCGTCATGGCACGTATCCACGAGGGATGACTGTGAAGGACGATACCACAGCTGCGAATGTGTTTCGGTCGCTAGCCAATTCGCCTGCATGGTTGATGCTATCACAGTTCGAAGAACGGGACATTTTGAATTTTACGAACGAGGGATCTGCTACCCCGGCTGTAGCAAGACCTTCATCAGGGGGGCGGAGATTGCAAGAGTATCAGGAAAAGCAACAACGAAGCGGATTTTCGTCTGCGGGAAGTCGCGCGGTGAAAAAGGGTGAGATACGGACAGAAAGAGTGGCATTTCACGACGGCGAGGAGGTTGCAGGCAGACTGTCGGAGACGCACGACCTTCTTGGACATGCGTCTCCTTCGGAGTCAGAAATGCAGGGCGTGCATGGAGCAGGGCGCGAGCTATTCCGAGAGATATGCAGCCCTGTTTCACCGTCGGGAGGAACCGAGAGCCTCCAACACAGCAGCGAGGTGACGGCTGCCTGCATGCTCTCGGGGCGGCTTCTGTTAAGCGCAACAGAAAGCGGGCACTTGACTCTGTGGGACGTCGAATCGCACACGAAGAGGGCAACCGTGCAGCTCGATGCAGTTGTGCAAAAATCCGAGCGCGCAGCTCGACTGCGTAGGCAGGCCGATGCGCATCGGGGGGGAAAAGGAAACCAAACTGGAGATCCTTGCTTTGCTGCAGCAGTGTGGATGCGGGAGAACGTCACGAATATTCGGCAGACCGAGCACGATTTGAGGGAGAAGAATGAAGAGGAGCAGTTGCGGCGAGAGTGGAAGCAAAAGCGCCGAGCGTCTACAAGTCCGGGGAAGCTTCGCACTGGCCCCTCCGCCGCACAGCTGGGCGCTGAACTCCAAGCGCCGGCTCCACTGGCGGAGCGCGTCGATACCGCACCGACACCAGGGCATTGCGGCCAATCCTCTGACTCTGTGGAAAGTTCTGCGTTCTCAATAGAACCGAACGAGGCCAAGGCGATTCGCATTCAAATAATAGCACCGCATCCCAGTGACGCGCGATTCGTGCTGCTTGTCACAACAGGAGGTTGGGTGCTATGGACTGATATCACGCTGACCCACGTTCGGGTGTATTTGCAGCTAGACCCTAGCGCCGTTTCTCGCTCTCTGGCCGACCGTTACAAAAGCCACTTCCTAGTTCGGAATAACAGCTACCCGAGTGTCGAAGAGGATAAAACCGTCTCGCCTTCTGCACTGCTAGTTTGGTGGGATAACCCCGCTACGCTACGGCGAAGACCACGGCAGCACGACCGCTATCGCTTCGCTCTTGCGACGAAGACAGCACTACGTTGCTACGATGTACAGATTCCCGAACAGCCCCTCGCACTACCCGTGCCAGAGAGGCGACATTCTTCGCGCTATGTTGCTTTCTTTGATCCTCCTCAAGAGTCATCCTCATGGGACTTGAGTCGAGACTTTTCCGAGCCGACTGAGTGCTGTTCGATTCTCCAGGCAGGCAGCTGGGGCGAAGTCACAGCCATGCAGTTTCACGACAGACTGTGCGTAAAAAGACTCGACGGGCCCCACCAAGTAGACGCTGCTCGCCAATTGATTTGATGGAAGCAGAGCACTAGCTCCGCGTGTATGTCCCTTTCGCTCCGATGGAGCCTCCGGGAGAACCCTGCCCCCTTGAGAACCCCCGGAAGCAGCCTTGCTCCCCCCGCGTCCCCGACCCCCTTCCCTCCTGCCTCTGTGGCTCCGGCACCTGGATTCCCCCTTTGTTGGTGCGCTCTAAACTCAGAACACAGCGAGGACGTTCGAATTGGTTCAAGTTTCAGAATCGGGGCGGTTTTATTGGGTTCAACGCGATTAGTAGCTGCAGAAAGTTTTGAAGTTCCATTTTGTTCATGTGAGTCATTTCAGTGGTGTGGTGGTTTAGTTTTAGTTTTGTTCTCTCTTGCTTTTCGATCTACGATTTTTGTACGTTTTGAAATTCCGAACGATTTTAAAGTCTGAATTTAGACCGAGGGGCTTGGTATGGTGACCGGCGTCAACATATGTTGACACCGGTCAACATACCAATAGAAACCGACTCGATTCCGGAACTTGAACCAATTCGAACCTCCTCGCTGTGTTCTGAGTTTAGACCGCACCAACGCCCTTATATATGAGAACGCGGCCCCTTCCGCCCGGCTACTCGTCCGGGAGCCCGGAAAATGCGCCCCGGCCCGCGTTGAGCGAACCAGGAACCCGGCCTGTGGCTCATCGCCCCGCCCGCCCCCGTCCCTCGGCCCCTTCCCGGGACCCCCCCGGCCCCTCGCCGCGGAGCGTACCTCTGCGAGTCCCCGCTTGCCTCCGACAGCCCGGGACCTATTCGGGCGGCCCCACCTCGTGCGGCTTTCCTCCTCGCGCGAGCGGTGCGGCCCCTTTCGGGGGAGCCCCGGCCCCCGCTGCGGAGCCCGGCATTCGTAACCCGGCCCGGACAGCCCAGCAGCCGCAGCGAGCGGGGCCCAGAGTGCGGGCAGCCAAGGCACACAATTGCCTGCGTCGCTGTCGCAGCCACACGGCGCACAGGCTGAAATCCGGGTGCAGACATGCGGCACCCCCTTCCCTCCCCCAACGAAGGAGCTTCGGAGGCTGGCCCGGCAGCCGGCGCTGCGGGCGGTGGGCCGTGTAAGTAGGTACTACCGCGGCCGGCGCCGCCCGGTGTTTTGTTTCCTTGTATCTTGGCGCCGGCCGCCACCCGGCGCTTTTCTTGGTCTCCGAGGAACCGCGGGAGCGGGCCCCGGCGCGGGGGCAGCCATGCATGTGCCGACGCTGGGCCCGCTTGGCCCGGGCCCGGGGGCAACCACAAGAAAAAACACGCGTGGGAAAGGCCCCCGCGCGTCGGCGCCGGGTGGTGTTGTGCGGGCTGCTTGACCCTGGCATATTGGCAGCCAATCAAGAACAAGAGGGGCGTTGCTGCCGCACAAGTTAGGGAGCGGCAGCGGCGGGGGGCACGCATATTGCCCCAAGCGCCGTGCCACCGCGGCGGTCGGGGGGACGGTGGGCAAGATGGCACACGCCCGCAGGTCGCGGCCACGCGCAGCCGCCCGGTGCGCGGCACGCAGGGAAGGCACTGCCCGCTCGTGCCATCGCGTTTGTCTTCAGAGGGGCAGTGCCGCGAAGGCGACCCGGGCTTACGTTGGTTGGTGCAGGTGCTGCCGCTTGCCAGGCGTTGGAAGCCGTGGAGCGCATGCAGGAAGGGGGGGCCGGCACGCCTTTTTCGTAGATTCTCAGCCACCTCAGGGGGGGGGGCCGCAAACCGTCCGAACAAGGCGCAGAAAGAGGCGTGGAATTTTTTAAACAGGAAGACCGCTAAGATGCGCCGAGCCAGTCGCGCCCAAGAGATGACAGTAAATGGCCCGTAAGCTTGTTATGCACGTATTCTAGTACTCAGGGCCAGCGGTCGCGGCCGCAAATGTTTTCTTTCATTTTTGGGAATCGGCGAAGCGCTGCGGCCAGGCCGGCTGGGGAAGCTGGGGGGCCAAAAACAATTGGCGTCGTGTGTGCTAGGTCAGAAAGACACGCGCGGTCCTTGTGCTGCTTGCTCCCCGGAGGTGTGGCGAATCCCCTTGCGGGTCTCGCGGTTCCCTAACACCATGGATCTGGTGGCCGCTCGCTTCCAGATTTTTGCGTTTGCCTGTGTGCAGACACTGGGACTGAGAACAAATCAATGATAGCCGCAACTTGGAGGTGGCCTGCTTTTGTTTTATCACGGGTCTGTCTTTTTCTTGGCGGTCTCCAGCAGTGGACACTTGACGCTATGGCTTCTGCAAGTCGGGTCCAAGAGTATTTTGCCGCTAAAGCAATTTCCCAATCCAACAAGCGAGCTATTCTTCTGCCCGAAGTTGGAGCTGGGTGTCCTAGAGTTTTTCCAGGTTGAGCCAGACCGAAGTGATGATTGGTGCATGAAATTCTCGCAACTTTCTCTGCGGTAAGTTTCTTGATCGATGGCCCACCATTTGCGATTTACTTACTTAACTATGTATACTATCTATTAATAGCAATTCCAATGCCATAGCCTACAAGCCTGGACGTGGGTCCTTGGGGGGCCTGCAGGGCTTGTTGTTGTCCGGATCAAACTCGTCGTTTGCGGCTTCGCTTTGAATCTCGCAAAAGCCGCGGGCCCTTTGTGGGCCCGCGTTAGAGTGCGCGGCTGTGCTTTCGAAGACACGCGCAAAAGCCCTGGACCCATCGGGGGCCCGCGCTAGTGCGTCTGGTTGCGTTTCCAAAAGGACGCTCCGACAAACTTGCTTCAAAGTCGGAGGCGGCTGAACTCCGCGCCGTTTTTGCCGCGCGCGCGACGCCGATCCCTCGCGACTTCGTTTGGCCGCTTCTGGTTTCGAGTTAGTCGGAGGCGGCTGAACTCCGTGGCTTTTTTTGTCGTGCGCGCGACGCCGATCCCTCACGACTTCGTTCGGCTGCATCTGGTTTCCCGAGCGACGGTCGTGTTGGCCTGCACTCCGAAGTGGCTGCGACCAGAATCGGCCCGGCCTTTCCGTAAAGGTTGCTAACTCCACCCCCTCGCTCCTCTCGTGTCTGCCTCTGTGAGAGACCACTGCGAATCAAAGCAAAAAGGCCTGGGGGTGCACGCGGAACGCTGTTGTGCAACGTACTTGGGACGAATTTTATGAAATAACACGTGCCGAGCCCAGCGGGCTCGTGGCGGTCCCGCGCTCCAGGCTCCTATACAGAACTACGCTGGCACGCATCTGCGATGATATTTGTTGTACCAAAGGCTTCACTTCTTTATCGAATGCTGCAGGTTTGACGCCGACGCATCAGAGCTCACTTTTGCGCCACACAGAGTCGAGTGGTTTGCAGCTGATACCGAAGTCCTTGCGGCCGTTGTTGAGGAAGTAAGGGAGCAGTAAGTGCCGACTTGTGAAAAGTATTCGCTTTTGTCTAACATTCCATCAGCAACGTTTCAGGCAAGGCGCGTCACGTGCTTTCACCTTAACCTTGTTGTGGAAACTCGTCCTGTCTTCCGTGTTTGTGCCGGTTGCAGCAGGGTGCATTTTCCTGAGTTGCGATGTTTCTGTTTGTGTTTGTCAGTCTTCAATGCAAAGTGAAGGTGAGGGCACTTAAACACTAGAGGCCACAAAGCTTCGAAGAGTCTGACCTTTTTGTACTATGAAAATATGTACGTTATTAATGCCGCAAGGCGGTCGCCAGTATCGCATCGTCGTCATTAAGACGTGGGTCACATGTTGTACCATTTCAGAAACACTACTAGGCAGCTCGCACACAGATTTTCGCTTGCCACGGCAATTTTAGCAGACTGCCGAAGAAGCTCAGTCACGAGTTCTCCCTCTCGCCTGTGAGTTCTTGGGGGGCCGGCGTAAATCTGCAACTTCTCGCCAGATGAATTTTTGTGAATGCGAATCGGCATGATTATGACGATTCGACGCATGTCATCGCGCATGAAGGAGTACTCGAAGAGGGTCTATGGACTGCCGCGAAGCTTATTTTACTTTTTGCCAAGTGCCGCCTCCTATCCTCATCTTTTGATCCATTGCAAATGGAGCTACAACTCGCGCCACAATAAATTTGCGTTCCTCCAGCGTTGCACTAGACGACGCGAGCGCATGCTTTGGGCCGTAGATACATGTTAACGAACACCAGCAGACGTCTTTGAGACGTGCTCTCAGTCACAGGGTGGCTCCAGGGTCAGTACTTTTTCGACATGACGCATGCGAGTTTATATATTCATTTGCATAGAACGTGGTCTACAAATTAATTTCCGGCAACATATGCTGTGAGGAAGACTGCATCCGGACCGGCCCACCTTGCATGCTCGGGCTGGTCGAGGGTCTCGGATGTCCTTGTGGCACAGAAGAGTCGCTCGGGGCGACGTTCTTGGTCCGACAAAAAATGAAAAAAAGAGCGGACACTCGCTACGCAGAATGTCCTTGCTGTTGCTGTTTCATGTTGGCAAAAGCTAGCACTCGCAAGACCGCGAATGTTGCGGCTTCATATGGAACTGCCTCTACGGCGACCCGCCCCGGACGCATGCGGGACCACATGAGCATGCGAAAACGCCTATCATGCACAATAATGGGCCCACCATGGCTGTTGCAGACTGACATTCCAGTTTCGGAAATTGATCAGAGAAACTGAAGTGCCATTGTAGACTGTAGAACGACGCCGGAAGTACATCAGCATTTTGTTTTCGGGGAAGCACACAACAGAAAGAACCGAGAGTCTGCGGGAAATGTTTGACTTCTCCGCAGCGGTTCTGTCCCGGCTTCTCAGAGGGTGCGCTGCCCCGCAGGGGGCCCTTTTCCACTTGGGCCCCCCGAATACTAGGCATGCGCCATCCACCGTTCGGGGAAGCGCTTCCCCGCACGCGTCCTCTGCCTCGCACCGGGCGACCCGCACGTCCATTGCTCTGTAGCTCGATTTAGCAGGGGGTGACTCGGACGGTTCGCAGCCTTTAGAGATATTCTTTCTCCAGGGCGGCGCCGCTGCCACGACTAGGGCCGCCCCCCATCGCTCGGCCGGCTCCCAGCGCAGAAAAGTATCGCTTTCCCGGTTGCAAGTGGCGCCCAGGGGAGGCACTTCTCGGCCGGGTGTGGTCCGCCCGAGCCATCTTGGCCCCAGCGGGAGAGGGGAGGCCGGGACCTGCCCCCGACCCGCCCCCATTAGGGTTGCTGTCGCTGCGGTTCGGGGCCCGAGCAGTATCCAGTGCAAAAGTATCGCATTTGCATAAATCGAGAAGGTATTTGCATGGAACGTGACACATCTACACGCAAACTTTTGCGGTCACTGTTGTACTACTAGGTAAAAAAGTACAAGTGCAAGGCTGTTTGTAGCCTACGCGAATTGGAATTATACTGCCACCCTTCCCCATCGAGTTTCCCTACGAACTTGGCACGAACTTCGGAGCCAACTTGTTAGGAACTTCCGAGCTAGTTCGTGAGTTACTCGAGCATGGAACTCATAGGAGTGCGATATTTCTGCACTGGATAGGTGGCCTGTCCGTGGCGACCCGCCGCGGGCCCCTAGATGCCCTCAAGTGCGGCGCGCCGGCCCGCAAAGGTAGCTCCTCGCCCCGTTCGCAGATTCTGTCGCCGCAGTTTGTTGAGAAGTCGTCGCAGAAAGAGGCTTTCATTCTTTGTAAAACCCGCGCAGAATCCGCTGGAAAAGTCTGTCGACGAACCAAGATGATAAATAGCCCCGCGGGAGGGGGAGCAGGGGCTTAACGGGTGCAGAGAGCGTGGCGCCAGCGCAGCAACCCGGGGGAGACTAGTTTATGTCGGGGCTCCAGCGTCGACGCTTGGACGCCGGGGCCGGGCCACTACAGGAATGGTTTCCCCGAGACTTCGCAAAGGCCCAAGCGCACCCGCTTGCCCCCCAATTTCCCTTGAGACCATTCGTGCAGGTCCTCGGAAAGTCGTTGAGGCCTCCCAGGCCGTTCAGATGCACTCGCTGAGATGCAGCCGTTGAGATCCCTGTATAGCAACCAACTATTGCCCTGCTTTCGTTTTTTGGCTCTGTGGCGTAGAAAAGTCTATGCGGCTTTATAAAAAGATATGAAGCTGTTTGTTTGAATTCTGAAATAATATTTACGCGGTTGTAGAACTGGGAGACTCGGGTGGCAAAAAAAGTCCTCTGGGTGCGACATTTTTGAACATGATAGCGCAAGCGTGCCGACCATTTTCGACCTGCTGAAGGCAGCAAGCCGCCTCCGCAGCATTGTCCATTGAAGGGGCACATAATTCCACTAACCATGACGCGTGGACAGCTATTTCTTCTGTATCCCGGGCTACACACATTCGCGCGCGTTCGTTTCGTTTCCCCAGCGAGTAACCCAAATATAACTACCAGGTAAGGCAATTTCTTGTGAGAAAGTGACGCTGTCAGACCTAAAAATCCCAGGAAGTCAATGGATTCACTCTTGTACCGGAATCGCAGTTGTGAAAAAAAAACACCAGACAGCCGGCACACCGTTCGGCTTGCGGGTGTTTTTTTTCTCTACCCCGATGTCCGCCCAAAGCAAGGAATTTACGGGCCGGGAAGCCAGGAAGTGCTGGCCGGTACGCCCGCGCAAATTTGCCAACCACCAGGCACGAGCCCGCTGGGCGTTTTGGGCCAAATATTGGCCAGCAAGCCTGCGCAGATTTGCAGCCTCGGGGCTTTTTTGTAGAGGACCCCGGAGAGGATTCCCCAGCCCCACGGCCGGAATTCCCTGCTCCATCCAATTTGGCCCGTTTGCCCCGACCGTCGCGGGGTGGCACGCGGGGGCAAAGTTTGGGGATGGGCTTTGGCAGAGGTTTCCGGCAGGGCGGGTGATCCCCCCAGGCAACGGAGAACTCCACTCCAGCCGGGCGAGGCCCCGGGGGGATAGCGCATCACCCACTGGCCGGGGGAACCGCCTGGGTACGGAAGAGCCCCTGAAGACCCGGGGAACACCCGGGGAAAGGGGGGTCCCCGGACTGCGAGCGAGGTGAGCACCAAAGGTTTTGCCCAGCCCCGGGGGTGCGGTGACATTTTTTGGTTCCTGGTTTTATTAAGGGTACAATCCAGGCCACATTACTTGGCGTCACGTTGGTAGCGTCAAGCTTAAAATAGAATGAACGTATATTGAATCTGCTGCCCGCTCAGAGTTTTAGTTTTTCATGCGACTCTGCAGCACTCACGCATAAACTTTTGCATGTTTCAAGTCTCAAGACTTTCATGGGCTCACGCACATCCGAGATCGCGAGGGCGAAGAGGGGGTCTCCAAGCCGAAAAAAAATGAATCAAGTTAGCAGCGTAGGGGTCTAGGGTTTCAGGTTTCTGGCCGTCGGCCAGGGTGGCTGACGTCTCTCTTCCGTGCCGTGGTTGCGTCGATGCGTGCCCGGAGCCTTGCTTGCCTTCGTGTTAAATTTCTCCCGAGTGTCCCCCCTTGTCTCTGTCGCCCAGTACTTCCTTGTCCGGGACAGCATTCCGATGGGCCTTTTGGGCCGCCCGGTGTTCGTTTGGACCGTAGACATTGAAGCGTCTAGGCTTCTGCCTTCCTAGTTGACGCAACTTGATTCGAAAATAAACGCGACTCGGCTACAAATTCCGCTAACTTGACGCGAGCACAAAGCTCCAAGCTAGATTTGGCCTAGTGTGATCTGGGTGATTTGTTCCTGTATTAGATGGCACATGTTCATCTTGCCTATAATACAGAACAAGCATGAGAGCGCCATCGTGTTTCGTGATATACGGCTGACAGCGTCACCGGTTCTGCTGTTTTAGCTGGCTTGGATTTGTGATGACAGTTGTTCTTACCGGTATTTCTTCCTTCGTGTTGGTTATTGAAAAAAAGATGTAAATTTACATGCTGGAAATATTCATCAGGTATACGGCCTGGGATACAAAGTTAAGGCTTGCCGAAGTTGGTCCGCGGGGGTGTCCGAACAAGCTTGGGCTTGGAAATTTCAAAGCACGACACTACACCAAAGGGCAGCGCAGCAGCTTGCCGCTCTTCGGTTTTGATTAGATAGGTTCACAGCGTTTTCGGGAATTCATCAGCGAAGCAGCCTAGGCTCTAGCTTTTCACAAGCGCGAGTTCCTGCTTCGGAGGAATTAGAGCGGTGCTCTTTCCTTCTGGGCGGTGAGTGATGCGATACATAGAAACTTTTACGCGCTCGAATTCTTTAGGCCCTTCTCCGTGCACTTGCAGGTGCTTGGGGACACGAGGGCCATAGGGGTCACGACTGCTGTTAGTGTTGCAACGGCTTCTACAACCATATTCCCTTGATTTCGAATATTCGAAGACTCCAACAGTCCTGCCGCCTCACCTCGCGCGCCGCTTGCACCAAGCTGAAAGAGAAGTGCGCTGCGCTTGCGCCAGCTTTTCGGAGCCGGAGCCGCCTTCCTTACGGCTTCCTTTCTTTTTAGGGTTGCACGCTGGAGCGCGCAGCAAGGGGCGATAGAATTTGTTTCGAAGATCGAAGCTCGCTCGCGCCATACGCTGGACTGATTTTGGCCCGCTTTAACAGACGTTTCGACTTTGGCGGGTGCGGAGCCACAGTATTCAACTTCCAAGCGTTACACCAGAGAGCAAGTCAGGCCACTGTCCCTGGAGCAGAGTATCGAGAGCATGATTTTGGGATCTCCGTTCTTGCGTCCTGCGCGTCTGTCTCCGTTTTCTAGTATGGGAACAAGGAATAGAGGCACTGTGGGAACCGCTCTGTGATGCGAACGAGTTTGCAGCCTGTGTGCTATCGTGGACGACTACTGCAGGGTAAACCACAACCAAAACGGACAGGCATTTCGTGTGCCTAGATTGCATACTTAGGTTTTACCTTCTAGATAATACTTTCGTGTCACAGAGCAACCCGAAGCAGTGCCAGCGCCACTACATCTTGATATTGGTTTCGTACAAGCCGAAGCCGAAGAAGCGGCCAGCTACGCTTCCGGACAAGGCGCCGAGCTTCTTACAGGCCAGAGCTGCGCCGCCTTATCCCATTTGCGAATGTGCTCTCACATACACATAGGCTGCGTGGCGTTTTGGATTTTGTGGTCTAGATGCATGAAAGAGTATACAATAGAGGCGCGCTCACGCAAAGCTGCTGCTTGCATTACAAGTTTAACTGCGGGCATTTTTAGTTTTTCTGTCAAAGAGATGCCCAAATTTGCCCGAATGCCGTGTTTGGTTCTAGTAAGGGTAGCGTTCACATCACGCGCATTTTCTGTCTTTCGCATGCGCATACCGACGTAATAAAACTTTTGTCACTTTCTAGCTCGACATTTCAGGTCGGAACGTTCTCCCGCCCAGCACGGCTGCAAGCCTTGGACCAAGAATTTAGTGAGCGCCCGCGCACTCGGAGGTGGAGGATAACGAGAGCGTAAGGCATTTATATTTATCAGCTGCGCTTTTCGTTTTTGTTTTTGCTCCTTTTCCTTTTCTCTGTTTCCCTTTCCGCTTCCCGGGCCTCAGTGGCACCAAGCAGCTTTTCTTGTCTCTCTGAAATCGTTTTTTCTTCGCTTGCTTAGAGGTGGGAACAGCCTTCATGTCTGCCGGGCGGGGCGCTCGTACTCTCTGACGTCGTTCCCTTTACTTATCCATCATCCCGCGCCCTGCTACTCGTCATATCATCTTCTTCCACCCCGCTCTTGTCGCCGCGGAGGGTTTCGATGGGTAGTTATGGGTTTAGATGTTTAGGGGTCCTATTGGAATGCCCCGCAGCCACAACGCCCCGCGCGGTCGTCTGTCGTGCCGGCTCCGAAGAGCCGGCGCCTGGCTCGCGCCCCGACTCTGCCGCCTCTTTGCACGGCTATTGTTCCATTGGTCTCGTGCCGCTGTCGCTTCCAAGGATGATGTGAAGCGTGCGCGAGATATAAGTCCAAAGCGCCGGCGTAGCAGTGCGTGGTGGTTTTCTTTACTCGAGGATGAGCTCATGGAGTCGCATTCTGCAACGGATTCATCCCAGTCATTCAATGAGTGCGAAGCGTGTCGCTTTTTTTATTGTTTGAGTAGATCACTTACTTTGATTTGTACTAAACATGTGACCGGCGGCCTGTGAAGATTCTATCCAGAGCCGATTCATCCTGCCGTCCCGACGGCAAAGGTCTGGCACGGCTAGCGAAGATATCGACTCGCGCGAGAAGAAGCGAGCGCGCCAAAACATGTTGAAGCATGTGCCGCCGCCATGAGCTGCCTGCTCTTTCGAGCGTGCTTCCGGAGGGCGGGGCGTGCTGCCGCTCTTCGCTATCGCGATGTTGCCACGCCCTTGGATTCCATTTGCTCCGCCGGGGCTGCGTTCTAAGCCCATCGCAAAGCGTCCCGACGCCGCGCCTGGCAGCAGTGCTGCGGCGTGGTTCGTGGGATGCCGTAAATCACCGCGCGCAGGCTGCGCGCTCGGGCTTGTGGTCGGGTTCAGCGAGTGGCGCCGTTGCCACTTTTTTCAACTTGCCCGCGCCGCGGCCTGTGTGGTCGGGGTTTGCATATTAAGAAAGCATCTGGTTTGAGCGCCCAGCGGAAAGAGCGCCCGAATAAAAGGCGCGCAGGGCAAACAAGGTATCAAAACCGCCCCGCATTTGGCGGGACGGGGTCCGCAACCGGCTTTCTTGTCCCCGCCGCCTACCGAGCTCCGGGTATGACCAGGCCGGGCCCATGCCATTGGGCATCCTTTGCGGAGATGCCTTTGCACAATGCGGCCCCCGACCGCTGGCCGCTCGCGGAGAGGACCCGTGCTTCCTACGGCCGGCACGGCAGCGGTAGGGGGCTGCGGGCCCCCAGCCTCAGGTCGTAAGGCAACGCATGCGGCCCCCGCACTGCTGCGGCGCCGCAGTGTCGGAGGTTGCTGCCGCATGTTGTGTGGCCGCCCGCTTTTTCGGTGTTGCCTGGCCGGACTTTGGCATCGAGTCTCTTTCTTTGACGGCTCGTTCTTTGACGCATGGATCGATGCAAGAAAGCGTTTGCGGCTCCTGCACTTCAGCTACAGCGGCTGTTGTTCTCGACATGTTCTGTTTCTTTTTCCGATGCCTAGAATAGAAATTTTTAATGCACCCCCAGGGGCTCGTCGACCCTTTTGGACGAGGAGGCGCCGACGCAACAAGCGGAGCATCGGCAGCATAGAATGCCAAAGGGGTAACATGGCGTGTTGTTTTGCTTATTAGTTGATATTTCTATGCGGTTACGCGCTGCCCCTGCCCCATTATATTGCGGGAACTGTTCTGCGGCCACGCCGGTGACAGATCGCAAGCGCAATAGTCGCTTGGCAGCCATAGCGCAAGTACATTTTTAGCGCTCGACTTTGAACCTGCTCTGGCGAATGCATAGTCTTTCAGATTTACGCAGCAATGACTTCAACAACTTTCTTCTCAGGATGCACTTTGCAAATGGCGTTCCGGACGGTGCCACGCTGTTGGAGAGGGCCCGCCGAGCCTATGCTAAGAGGCACGAAGTATGCTGCGCAAATTTCTCTTTGGAATGCAAGAAGAAGAACGCGACGCAATCCATTGATTTTTGAGATACAAGTGGGGATAGACATAGACCAAAGCACGCAACTTCTGCATCAGAAATTGAAATCTTCGGCTCTGCATCACAAATTTTCGGATTCATCTTTCATCTTTCCTGTTTTTCATTTTCTTTGATGCTCGTGCTTTTTCCTTGGAAGTAGACGTGGCAGCGTCTTTTTATCATGTCTGGACAAACGAAAGCTAATTCGTCCTTTTTGCATTGCTCAATTCATCGGCCAGTGCCAGGATTTCGTTCATAAAAGTGTACTCTGCCTGTAAAGTTTCACCACAGCGCGGCGGGCTTAGTTTTATTTTCGCGGAAAACTTGACATGGCCGACAGATGGGACCTAGGATAGAACTGGTAGGTGTACGCGTGCACGGAGCTGCATGAGCATCAATGGCATAGGTTCTCAATGTCTCGACGCCTCGAGACGGCCAAACGAGAACGCATTCGGGCGGGGTATGCGCATGTAGCTATACTTGGGCGGCTGACAAATGACGGCTAGCGAAGCCAGCACGCCTATGCAATAGGACCGGCATACGCATATGCTCTGCGTTTGCTAGTCTAAGACCCAATTGGCAGGTAGATCAGGATCGCAAAAAAAAAGTAAAAAGAAAGCCAGCGGCTTGAAGAATCGACTCAAGAAAGACTACGCACTCTGTGCGGCATTTCTGCTTTGCTGGTTCCCTTGCCCTGAAGCGCGGCGCTTTTCTGACAAAGGCGATCCCGATAGTGCGTGCGTATCTACTTCGCGAAGCGCAAGTGTGGGCTTCTGGATTAAAGTTTCTTAAATTTGCAAAGTTAAGTATAAACTCGCCGGCAAATTTTACTGTTGAATAGCCATGCAACAAATTGGCGCGCAAAGTTTGTCCAATTCGTGAGACGCAGAGCTAGCTGCGCGCTTCTTTTTTCTTCGTTTCTTGTTCAAGAGAACAGCCACGGGCAGTATGTTTCGAGTTTCAAAGAGAAAGCATTGACGCGAGAGGCCCTGGGGGTGCAGGACATGAATAAAGACGCAAGCGGGCAACACAAGAAAAGATATGGCATACGGCGCGCGTCAGCCGGCGCTGGAAAGGCAAAAAACGGAGAAGCGGTCTGGCTGCGGAGGTCCTTGGCCGCGAGCGCATATTGTGCAGGACTCCTGCTAGGCAGCCCGGCTCATTGGGGATCTTGCATACCTTTTATGCCGGTTTTTTTGACACCGCGGGACCACCGTGACAGACCGTAGGCGAAGGGGGGGCTGCAGCCGTGCTGTTTGTCGGAGCTTAGGACTAGGTTGTATGAGGAGGGCCGCGGCGCTGCAAGAGGTGGAGCGCGGCAGTGGCAGCCCCCATCGGGCGGCTGGTTCCTTGCTGTTAAAATGGGTGGGGCAACGTCAGCGGGCGCGCGGCAGTGGACGTCTACTGCTGCAGAGAATTTGCTGCACAGGAGTTGCGTGGCAGTGCATGCGAGACTGTCCACCGTCCACCTTGCGCCCGTGTTAGTCTCGTTCTGCGAGATGTGTCCTCAGTGTTAAGAAAAAACAAAGCGCGAAATTCGTCGCGAAGACACCAGAGAGCCGTAAGGCGTCAACCTTACGCAAAGTGGGCGCGCCAAAATACTTGGGCGCGACCTGCGGCGCCAAACTTTTTCACATTTAGCACCCGCGCCGCTGGACCAATGGGACAAGGCAGCAATCAGTGCGAGCAATCTAGCCACTGAAGAGAAATTTGCACGGCATACGGAGCGAAGACGGTCCGCAAAATACAATCGATGTACAAACAGGAGAGCGCAGCGTATGCTCAAACTATCTTGCGCCGGATTTACGTGCGTGCGTGTGTATCGTGTGGCAGAACGTCAGTTCCACGTTGCAGGTTCGCGTTTTTAGTGACCCGAAAGAAAAGGGCGCAGGGCTTCAGAATAGATACTATAAGCGCCGTAGGCCCTCGCACATGTTTGGCGCACTACCTCGGAGGTCGCCTGCAAATTGATCCCTCAGATTTTTGAGCAGTTTGCATGGGTTCCCATGCCTAGATGCTCATCACGAAATGTGCGTAACGTGTATGGTTGTTTCACTAACTTAATCGAGCAACCAAACCAAATTCCGTGCCTCGTGCCACTTTTACCCGCCGGAGGAGATAGAAGGCTCTTCCGAGGGTAGATTTGGTTGAAGGTGCAAAGCGAGAACGCCACCGGCTCTCTCGGCTGGCATTCCTAGCGCGACAACAGCCCTCGCAGGATCAGGGTACTGGCCCTTCTCGCGCCAGCGCGGTTTCTTTGACTGGGATCTGCCGTGCTTATCGGAGTGGAGCCGCGTGGTCGCCTTTTATGGCTGCAGAGAGATCGGGAACAGTCGCGGCGCAGGTAGAGGAGGACTCCGATCTGTGACTCGCGGGAGTTCTGCCAACCTCGGCCCCCGCCCACCGGGATACTAGGAGCGCCCGGGGTATTGCGGGGGGCGCTCGCGTTGCTTGGGGCCGGGAGTCATAAATGGGTGGCGTACAGATATCATATTGGCACCCCGAGGCCCCAGCGCAGAGCCGCCGGCCCCCATTTTCTGAGACCACATCGACCGCACACGCTGGCGCACCAATGCCGGTCGCGCTGCGTGCTTATTCAGGGCCCCGGACAGGAGGTCCGAATCAGGCCCGCTGGTGGGCGGCGACCGAGAACGGGGGCGCTAGCCAGGCAGCCTGGCCCCAGCGCCCCTCTTCGCTCTTGCGCCCTGCCGTTGCTGCGTGCCGCGCGGCTGGCTTGGCGCCCCGCCGTTTTCTTCGCGCGTCGGGGCCTCGTATCTCTTTCTCGATCGTCGGATGGCCACCGACGCGGGGTGCGCCGCCGGGGAATTCGTTTTGCTTTTGTTTCGTTAAAGCGGCCAGACTCTTGGGCGCGTAGTTCACGGAGGCCAGCAGCCAAGGCTCCCCCACGATCTCCGAGGCGGCCGAAGCATTCTGTTCTAGGCATGGATGGGGGTGGCGGCGATTCCTTTGCAGCAACCCGCCCCCGGCTGCGCCTACTGGCCGGGGTTGAGCGGCGGCCGGCGGCGCGGCTTTCCTTTGCGGCGTCCGTTTCCCGCTGAGCAGCGTGCGAATTATTGAAAGCACTGCAAAGAAATGGGCCCAAGCCCAATCGCGTGAGCGAATCGCAGCAGTCGGATTTCTTTCTGTCGTTCTTTGCGGGGTTTGGGCACGCAGTCCCGCAATATCACAAAATACACAGCCCTCTGGCGCAATGGGCTTGCGCTATTTGCGTGCTCGCTTGTGCGCCCAACCATGTTTCGCACGCGGCGGCGCCGGGCGAAGAATCAAACTGGTCGGCGCCTTCCCATGGGCGCGCCAGGGTCCCACTGCAGCCGCCCGCCCTGATCGCGGTGTGTCCGTGTCATATAGTTCCTCTCCGTGTAGTCAGAACTTGCACGGCAGCCGACCAGCACGGGGGCTCTGGCCAGCCATTGCGCCGCAGCCAACTTTGTCACCCATGCGTGGGAATTCGGTTCGTGGCCCTAGCAGTGCGCCCGGCTACAGGCGAAAGCAGGCAGCGCAGCCAGGATAAACGGGGCCCGCGCGAATGGAGCCGGGAGTCTTGCCCGAGAAAAGGCCCCGCGCGGATTCTCGTGGGATTCAAGAATAGAAATGGCGCGCGCTGTATATTTGTCCGCCAAGCAGCCCACCGAACGGCGCACGCGGAGGGACTTGCTATAAGGCGTAGGCCCCGAGGCCCTTTGTTTGGCTTCTCTTTTATGGGCGTCGGTTGTCGGGGCGCTTGGTCCGTGTGATGCAGACACCAGGCACAGCGCCGCAGCTCAGGCCGGCGCGGGCGTGCTGGTGTTGTGGCGGTGCTTCGGTGAGCGGCATGCGCCGGCCAACTGGCTGGCTTTCTGCCTGGCGTGCCCGCCGCCTGAAATTGCCGCAGCCGTGTTGCCGCAGTCAATCACGCAAAGAACGAAAGTCCTGGCGCCTTCTAGTATCGCGGCAGGTGGAATTGTGACGCCCGTAGGCGTGGTGCTGGCGCGAATGTGAAGCGTGTGCGGCTCACTCTTCTCCAATAGCTCAATAGGATCCGCGTTGTCGACAAGAGCCTCGACCATCCGATCTGTTTTAGATGCGCTACCTCTCATCGTCAGACTCGTCCTGCTGGCATAACGCTTCGCCAGTGCTGAGATCTTTTCAGGTCTACTCCTACTGCTGCGGGAGAAAATTGCGCATACTAAAGACTACGTAAGACAGAAGAAGAACGAAAGCAGTTCACAGCGCGTCTTTTTCGTTATCGCAAAAGGAAAAGACCCAGAGGGAAAGAAATGTGGAGCATGAGCCGGCGTTTGGCAGTAATTGTAATGAAATGAATGTCAAGACTGTGCCTGCGCCCCAGCCCTGCACGCGTAGCTCGGCGAAACCGTGGAGGCGTCCCTAAAAACACGCCTGCGGAAGGTGGACGTTTTCCGATGCAATACCGCGAGCACGTGACTCGAGCGCAAAACCCTGCGTCGTGCAGCAGCCACGCATTCGGCGACTTTCCCAGGTCCGTTCTGTCGGCTACGTCACGGCATCCGATTGGCGGGCACAGTCTCCTCCAGGCGGGTAGATCGGCGCCCCTGTTCTCGCGTGAGCGGTTGGGCAAGGCGGACGACTATTTGGTGGACACGAACCTACTTCGCTACGATTTTATCATATACATAATTCAAAACGTGCACGCCACGCCATGGATAGGCACTGTGCCTCTTGCTTACTCTTACTGCCAGGGCCGGCTAGGCATGGAAGCGTGTCTCTTTTCGTGCAGCGATGGGTTCGCAATCGCATCGTAAGGGCTTAGCTATGGGACAGACGCGTAGTGGGCATGTTTTGTTATGATAGACTGTTTACCAGCTGAGGATCTTAGTGTTCCGTGGTTTAGCCACAGACCCGGTTTGGGGGGGAGCGGCTATTGCTTGTCGCGCAAATAGCGTGAGTGTGCCCGGCAGTGGATTTTTGAAGTGTTTGTCAGGTCTTCCAAGAAGTTCGCTAATCCCGATGAGTTTCTGCTTTTCTAAATCGTGCGACACAATTGAGGACCAAGTAAATAGAGCCCGAAGCGAATCTCAAGAAACCTGATCGGCTTACTTATGTTTGCCTTCAATCTATGTCTATCACTTGTTTTTTTAAAACAGGATTTTTTTTCATCGCATAAAGGAAATCTTGTGTCAGTCAGCTTTCTTCCAATTTCGATTTCTCTGTTCTACATTGATTTCGCCAGAAAGTTATACGAATGTAAAAACTTCTTGAATTATAGCGCGACGCATAGCAGTCAATGTCATGTTGAATTAAGGAACGGGCGCGCGCTTGGCCTTTGGGATCAGTCAGTGGCGTCATTTGTACTTAGATTAGTAATTTCGCATTAAATTTGAAAATTGTGATAATTCTCACACTACTTTGTGTGCGCACAAACAGTGCTGGCACATCTCCACAATCAATCTGATACTTCAAAACTCTCTCACCTTTGACGGGCAGATCATGTTAATCGATCACTCCCTATTCATTATCATTTCGTTCTCTGCTGCCAGATTTTTTGCTGGCAACGAGCACTCGAAGCGCAAAACGAGGAATAAAATATGAAGTGCTGTAGTTGTCTGTGCTAAAAAGGCCCGCGCGGATTCGTGTTCGTTAATCTTGGTTCTTCGTGCTGCTCAGGAAAGCACGTGGCGACTAGACTTGTCGAAGTCAAAACGCTCCCAAGGAGAGTGTGCGCCGGGCTTCAGTCAAATACATGCCGACTTCGTGAAGGTCGGCGGAAGTGCACAAGTCGAGACGTGCAAAGAGTTTGCGCCCCCCGGTTTCTATTTCTCGTGCTTGTAAGATCGCGAGAATTGCTACGAGAATTGTAGCTATCGATCATCTAGAAACTGAAGTTCCGTAGTGAGACGTGACCCATGGTATGAGACTCAGGGCGAAGGACGGCATTCTTGTGCCGTCCGGCGCGTGAACTTTCAATATTGGTCTGCACAAGAATTGCCGCCAAAGACAAATGCGCTGTCAAAGTACTAAAGTTGAGTATGATATCCGCTGAGGTTGTCAGACCTAAATCGCGAAATACCGCGGAAGCCGGGAGGTTGAATAGTTTTGAGGACCGAGAACGATAGCGCCCCCTTGCAATTCCTTCGAGTTCCCCTGAGTCAGGGGATCCCCCGCCCGGGCGATTTCCACCATCCCGGGAACCCTCCCCCCACAAGGACTTGCTCTTTCCCTCGGGGGTCCTCGCGCTCCCGGGGCTTCCGCCCATCCCCCCGGGGGTCCGCTCCTCCGTCCGGGGATCCGCGCAGGAACCTGCCTCCTCCCGGGAGTCCGCCCCTGGAGCTATTCGAAAAAGATGCGCAGGTTTGCCGGAGGGAGCGGCCGTCTTAGGCGGCCCGATCTGGAACAGAGCGTTCCGGATAGGGTTCGGGGATCCTGCCCTCCAGAACCCCCTGCAAAAGCCTCGCCCAACCAAAGCCGGGCACTTCGTGTAGCACGCACGCAAGGTCGAAAGCTGGAGCCACTGACTACGTGCCGGCGGTCGTCCGGTGTCTCTTTGTGAGTATGATTGTGGGCCGTCGTGGCGCTCCTGTGCGTTGCGCAGATGGACATAACGAAAGGAGAAGAAGAAGAACGCGACTCGACTGAAGATCACAGACCCTGTGTCAAAGCAACGCGCCAGCTAAAGCTAGCAGATATTTATTTCTAGAGTATAATCGCGGCCCGCCTGGCCTTCAATTGGCGGAAGCAAATGCCCGCAGTTTGGCGAGGCTTTGTGTCTGTTCCAGAGGACAGTGGCGCTTCTGATTTATTTGAGATAGCAAGCAGCTCCAAATAGACCAATCTCTCTGCGGCAACGCCTGCACCAAGTACGCACTGTCAGCGAAGACTATCCATGGTGCTTCAACCTATCCCTTCACGTCAGAAGCACAAATAACAAGCGCTGAGGCCATTGATTTGGTGCGCCTCTGTCTTTTTCGACTTAAAAGCCACGAGATCCGGTGGCGCTACGGTCGTCGGAAGCCGATCCACTGTGTCTACCATGTACACACGTCGCCACCTCCACGGCAACGAGCCATCGTCGACGCTTCTTCATTCACACTGTACACGACCCGTTTCCGTTATGGCTACAAACGTCAGCGGTAGGTGATTGAGGCCAGGAGGAACTGGCGCTGCCAATCGCCATCGAGTAAGAAGCTCCCGCAGTCGATAGTTTCGCGATATTGATCATGTCGGCGATCGAGGGCTTTCGAGGATTGACACCTCCACGCGCATCAAGACGTTGACCGCAACAGTTGTGCTTTAACAGTGCGGGAAGTTTTTGCTGATTCTCATATTCTGAGGTTTATGCTCATGTATTTCGAGTTTGCGGATTTCGAGTTTGCGGAACCGGAAGCGTATATGGCTATGCGCGGAGGCGAGCGAAAGTGTGAAGCTAGTGGAGCAGACGCAGAGCAGGAGCCGGCTCAGAATACCCAGATGATCCATCTCTAGTATGTCAACGATTCCTGCAAAAAATACTGAAGAGATCATGACGGCAGATGGCGCGGAGTGCTCTACGGAACGCGAGCACCCTTCTGTAGAAGATATGCCCGTATCAGGGTCGACGAACAGCTCTCACCGACGGTTTTTATCCGACATCGTGACGAAGACCCTGGCGCACATCCCGAAGAAATATGTAGAGTGTCGAACCGAGTGCCAGCGCTGCCTTGAGCTACTTGCGGCAAAGACGCGGGACATAAGGGCTGAGAATGCAGTGGTCCAAGCTGACGAATTTTTTTCCATTTGGAAGCGTGGCATCGCAGACGCAGTTGGCGACGGCAATCAGGTGAAAATGATACAAACCCTGCTTTCAGGCCTTCACAAGATGGCGGAAGCAGGACTGGTTCGCGGCGCAGGACAGGATTACTCGCAAGAGGCGGAGGCGCCGCGATTGCTCATTGAAACTATCCTGGACACTGTCACTCACGCCACAAAATTTCCAGAGGAAACCGTACAGATGCAAGCAGTATTGGTCCTGGCTGCCCTTGTCGCTCACCCGCAGAGCGTCGTGCATCTGAGCGCCACACTGGTTATGGCAGTTGTTCGGACAGGCTTTCAAGTACACCAAGATGCTCGGCAAGTAGTTGTGCTGAAATCAGTTCATTCGGCGCTGTTGCAAGTTGTAACAGTGATTGGTGACCGAATGGAGGCAGAATGCGAGGCTCTGATTCGGGGGGATCCTGAGCTCCAAGCGCGACGGGTAATGAACAACGACAAGCGGCCTCACTTGCAAAGTGGCAATAGTACTGAGCACGAACTACAACAAGCTGAGACGCGCAACAAGGGTGTGCAAAAAGAAGTACGAGTCGACTCCGGGCCGAAAGAAACACGAGAGGAGGCGCTACGTGTGTGGCTGAGCAGCTTTGTGACGACCAGCTTGATTGACAAAACAGCTATGGCAGAAAGCCGCATGTTTGAGATTCTAGACGAAACCACGGGCGGGGTTGCTGGCAAATATGGGTGGTGCATCATCTGCCGAGAACCAGCGCCGCACTATTGCTTGCAGACTGGGGACCCGGTCTGTTCCAAGGAGTGCAAGCAGAAAAACCTAGCGCGCGCAGATGAGATTCACAAGCTATTCCCGCCTCCGTCACCCGGAGGAGGACCTCGACTTGCAAGCCTTCCGACCGACCAGAGACCTGTGTATGAGGAGTGTCAGCGGAGGACGCTAGAAGAAGGAGAAGAGGAAGAATACACGGGGCTGATAGTGCAGCACAGCAGGCGGATAGAAGAGCTCTCGTATTACCGATGCACCTCAGCGGTGTTTGAAGAGTTGTGCAAGATGTCCGGGCGAGGACCCACGAGCGCAGGTGTCGTACCGACCACCGAGTCGCCGACTGCATTGGCGGGTACGATAGCTCCACCTTCGGGTAATGCCACAACTACTCCTTTGAATAGTGCGCTGCACGCAAAAATGTCTAGCAACCGCGCGCCAACAGCGACCGGAGTCGTGGAGAAAGCGGGAGCTGCATCAGTTAAGACAGAGGAGTCACCCGAAGCAAAAAGTGAAAGCAGATCTGGAATCAACGCCACGGCGCACGGCGTAGCGGATCAGAAATTTGTGAAGCAAAGGCGATTGACGCTCGAGCTAGTATCTCAGATGCTGAACAATGGCGGCCACTGCTTTCGCAACACCGAGAAATTTATACACTCGCTGAAAACATGTCTCTGTCTGGCGCTGATCAAAAACTGTGTCTCCGCGGTTCCGAGAATTTTCTCGCTCTCGTTTTCGATTTGCGTGGCTCTGATCGCTAACTTCCAGAAGTACCTGAAAGCGGAGGTGGGGATCTTCATGGAAAGCATTTTCTTGCGCATCTTGGAGTCACCCAACAGCACCTTTCAACACAAACAGCGAGTGCTGACTGTGTTCTATAAACTCTGCACCGACGCCAAGACTTCAACGGAGCTCTTCCTGAATTACGACTGCGACGTGCTGGCGCAGAACCTGTTTGAGCGCGTCGTTGATGGTCTCGGGAAAATAGCTCAAGGGAAGTTCGCCGCAGTCGACTACAGCGTTTTGATCACAGTACCCCAGGAACAAGAGCTTCGCGTGTTGGCGCTGGAATCCCTCGTCGGTTTGATGGCATCGATGGTGGCACGTGCAAAGATTGAAGACGAGGAGGGAACAACGAGTTCTAGCCCTGACGAGGACGAGAGTGGAGCATCCTCAGGGAGAAGAAATGGGGAGCAGACAGTATGTGGTATGGAGCCGCACAGTGACCATGGTGCAACGCAGAGCATTGTGATGCAGGATATTGAAGTGCACGGAGCTGCAAGCAGCGACCAGAAGGTGGCAACGAAGATTCATGTGCGTACCGGTGCCGGGCAGCTCGAAAAGGCGGGGCGTTCACGCTCGTTTGACGTCGTCGGGCAAAAAGCGCGGAAAGGTCAGCTTCGTGACGCGATTCAGAAGTTTAACGCAAAACCCAGAAAAGGAGTCGAGCTGTTTTACAACTTGGGGTTCGTATCACAATCACCGGAGTATGAGGCACACGCATTAGTGGAGTTTCTCCGGAGGACAAATGGCATAGACAAAACGGCGATCGGGGATTTCCTCGGTGAGCCAGCTGCCTTCAACCAGGAGTGCCTGAGTGCCATGGTGAACAAAAACTCATTTTCCAACATTCAGCTAGACAGCGCGCTTCGACTTTTTTTAGCTGACTTTCGGCTTCCCGGCGAGGCTCAGAAGATCGATCGCATGATGGAAAAATTCGCCGACAAGTACTGCGCCGACAACCCCGCGAACACGGAGTTCGGGGCGAACGCGGACTGCGCCTATGTCCTTGCCTTCTCCCTTGTAATGCTACAGACGGATCTGCACAACGGCAACATCAAAAATAAAATGACGGCGCAAGACTTTATAAATAATAACCGGGGAATAAATGCAGGAGAAAGCCTATCTAAGGAGTACTTGTCAAGCCTGTATCGGAGCATTGCCGAGAATCCTATCACCCTCGATGACGACGACGACAAGCGCGCCCGCATCGATTCGCAAAACGCAACTAGTCAAATGGCGAAAGTTGAGTTATTTTCCAAGGAGGTCGGCCTCGTAGTCGAGCGCTCGCAACGCGCTATCGAACAGCTTGAAAGCGATCGAGTAGAGGAGGACAACAGAACAGCCGACATGAGCGTTCTTAAGCGCACTGGGTCCGCCGTAGTTGAACACACAACCGCTAACGGCCCAGAGACAGAGTCGGCGCGTTCGGCCGAGACGGTATTCCTAGTAGGTGGTACTGATGCTAGCGAAGTAGAAGAGGTAAGCACGACTCCAATCGGAACTTCTTCGAGGGGCCCGCGGGAGCCTTCCCGCCTGTCGTCATCTCCTGGGAAGCGTTTATTTGTTTCGGAGAAGGAAGTTCCTTTCGGAGTAGCCGGCAAAGCGCTGTTCGAAGTTATCTGCTGGCCGCTTCTGGCGACGTTGTCTGTTCTTCTAGAAGCCACGAGCTGGGTGGAGCCGTCACAGGAATCCAGTAAAGGACCGAAGCAGCCTCTGGAGAACCGCGTGCTGCAGCTATGTGTCGAGGGGTTCCGCCATTGCGTTCGATTTAGTGCACGCCTTAGGCTGGAGACCGAGCGCGATGCATTTGTGTGTTCTCTCGCAAAATTCACCTACCTTGCAACGATCAAGGGCATTCAGCAAAAAAATATCGAGTGCATCAAAGCAATGCTCGAAATAGGCTTGTCGGAGGGAGACTTTCTTTCGTTTTCTTGGAGGCATGTTCTGCACTGCGTTTCCCACTTGGACCGACTGCAGATTATTCGGACGCAAAGGCCAGACGCCCATTCCTTCGAACAAGAGGGGGATCCGGGCCAAACCGTTTCGGCTACCACAGACGGACCATGTATAGTTGTCTTCTGGTTTATTTGTATTTTGTGAACTTGATGGCTTCTTCTACTGGCGTTTTCATTGTTGGTTCTGGTCTCATACTGCAAGCTCAGCTTTGCATCAGCTTCAACATTTATAAAAACGAAAATTGTTGTAGTTGTTGTTCTTGTGCGAACTAAGCATTCTAAGTATGCGTGCGTAATGTTTTCTCAGCGAATCATGACGTACAAGAAATCTACCAAAAAGTGCGCCGGAGTGCAGATTTGTCGGCGGCGACGAGTGACACTTCGCGCACTTCCTCCAGCCGTACAGCTACCGCTTTATCAAATGTAAAAATGTCTGGGTCTGGAAGAATCCAACTTGTCATGCTGATTTTGGATTCTAAAAAAATCTGTATTGCATGAGCAGCAAAGAGAGTCCGAATTTTGCAGCACGGAAAGCGCATTTGTCATGCGGAATAGGCATCAGGAAGCCCTCTAAAAATCTGTGATGCTAGGGCATGCATCACAGACTTGAGGAGTCATGCAAAATGTGCATGACAAACCCGGCAATCTTCCAGACCCAGACATTTTTACATTTGATACGCTTCTCATCAGAACAAAACTGCGCGGCGCAAAATCGGAACTGGGGTGACAGGACTTGTGCGGCTTAGTGAAGAGGATCGCTCGGTGGAGGCGTTGAACTCCGAGGCTATACTTTCCCAGTTGAACACGAGCAACGCCATCGAGAACCTCTTCGAGAGAAGCGTCGCGCTGAACGCGAGGGGAATAGTTGACTTCGTGTCCGCGCTGTGTGAGGTGTCCGCTGACGAGATGAATCTTCACCAGAATGATGAGGATACGATCGACATCCGGACTTTCTCACTGCAGAAGTTGGTGGAAGTTGCTGACGCAAATATGTACTCGCGGATCCGGCTTGTTTGGCGCCGAATTTGGCTGGTGCTATCCCAGCACTTCGGGGAAGTTTGCTCCCGTATCACGAATCCGAGCGTTTGTCTTTTCGCGCTCGACTCACTACGGCAGCTGATCTCAAAGTTTTTGGATCGTGATGAGTTGAGTAATTTCGAATTTCAAAGCGAGATGCTCAGACCGCTGGAGCTGGTACTCATGAACCCCTCGACGTCTATGAACGCAAAGCATTTCGCGATTACTACTGTACGGGCTCTTATGGAAACACGGTCAGGAAACATCAAGTCCGGGTGGAGGTCGATTTTACAGATTTTGCAGGCTGCCACGCGAACAGGAGCGATGCGAATCTCCTCTAATGCAGGGGAGTACCAGCAGCAGCAGCAGCAACACACGCAGCAGCGGTCACTGTCACCAGCGGGGAGTGCAACATCTACAAATCCTAGCGTAGTTGGTGGCGTAGCCTCACTGTCAGAGCGCCGAGCTTTCGTCCAGAAAGCATTCGCAGTGATGCAGCATATTGCTGAAAAACACCAGGAGCATTTCTTCGCGAACTTTTCAGAGGGAATGCAAGCTGTTGTCGCTTTCGCGCAGTGTCTTGTTCTACCAACGATAGAGGCCACCGAAGCCGTGCAGCTTATCTTCCTGTTTGCCCGAGTGCTCGCCGCCCAGGAGAAGGCTCGAATAAATATTCTAGATACAAATGTAAAAACGAGACGGAGCACGAGCAGCGAACGCAGAGAAATTGACGAGACCGAAAGCAACAAGGTCCGCAGTAACCAGCCCGGATCGCGACACCACTCAGGGGATGACGCCGCTGACAGGGAAAATGGGGAGCGAAGTGCAATCGGTGCGGCGACCAGCGCGACGACGTCGATGAGCCCTGCTTCCTCGCGGAATCTCAGCCCCAGTGCACGGACGTATTGGCTTCCGCTCCTACATGGTTTATCTACATTGTCAGCTGATAGTCGAAGGGAAGTACGGTCCCGAGCTTTATCTGGATTATTCGAAGTACTGAAGGAGCACGGAGGGGAATGCTTCGACGCCGACACTTGGCAAGCGACATTTCGGGCCGTGCTCTTTCCTCTTTTCGACGATATTCAGCTCGAGCAGACGACTGGTACTGAGTTCGCCATGAAAAAGCAGGACGCTTGGTGTTTGGCTGCTCTCAGCAACTGCGTTGTCCTGATTGAAGCGCATTTCGAGGCGCTGGCTTTCGTGTTCGAGGATTTTCTTTCGGTTCTGGTAGGCATGGCGACTCACAGTTCGGAGTATATCGCGCGGCTTGGGGTTGAGGCTCTCAAACAGCTCATTGGAAAGACTGGCCACAAGTTGTCCGGTAATCACTGGGCGGTCGTCGCAAAGGGTGTGCAGGCTCTATTCCACAAAACGATGCCTGTTGCGATCCAGGATGATTTGTACTCCGCCCTAATGGCGGAGAAGGTCAAGGACAAGGGAAACAGTATCGACCGCACCGCTGCCGCTGGTAATAACAGCAATGTCGGCCACGAGGGAGCAAGAACAGCATTACCTACTACTGGGATAGGGATTGGAACGGCAGCAAGCGCTGCGCTCACTGCTCACCCGCAGCAACTACATCAGCCGGGGGACGTCGGCGGCGTTGACGAAGTGACCAAAGCTGTTGTAACTGGATGCGTGGTGCAGTTGCTCCTGATCGACTGTGTTCACAGTATCTTCCAAGGGCACGGGACAAGACTGCCTCGGGAAGTAGTGATCACGCTGCTAGCAGCACTTGAAGCTAGCTTCTCTTTCGCTCACGAATTCAACCAGAAGATCTCACTTCGCATGGAACTGAAGCGATTGGGTTTCATGCGGGACATGCGCGACTTGCCGGGTCTGCTCAAGCAAGAGCGCGAGGGTCTCACGTGCTACTTGGGTATTCTTTTTGCGTTGAGCCAAATGGATCGCCTTGATGCCGAGTTGTGTGACAAGCTGATCTCGTGCGCCCGCTCAGTAATCCACAACTACGTCCGGAAAGAGAGGCAGATGCATAATATGATACGCGACGGGGATGACGAGGTGTACGCAGTCGAAATCGAGCGAGAGACAACGGGCCTGCAACCGATCATCACGCAAGTCATCTTGCAGAACCTTCTACACGCAGGGGAAAAACTTTATTCGAAGAGCAAGGAGGAAACGTCAGGTGAGTTGGATCGAAAGGGACCCGCTAGCGACAACGGAGAATCCAGTGTCCTCTCGGTCAAAGACATAGCGGACGCTGACGGCATTGGGATAAGAGAGCCGGGCCCGGGCGCAAACAGTAAAGACGAGTTGCGCAGTGAGATGGGAAGTAACCTTTTCAAGGCAGTGTGCTATCAAGATCAGAACCGCGTTTAGCGATCTATTCTTGTCGCATAAAGCAAGACGTTGTATTTGTATGATGTTGAAGCGAGAACAAAGACGCGAGAGACGGCCTTGAGCCAGATCGTGTTCTACTTATACTAGCCGGGGGGAAGGAACTTCTATCCCGGCGACAAGACGGACGCACGGGGGGGAAAAAGCAGAATTAGACGGGGAGGTCAGAAGGCAGTAATGGCTCACGCGGAAAATTGTCCTGGGTCATTGTTTCTGTAGAGAAATCGCCGATACTAGAGGCTGGCGACTGCGGGCGCATTTTGTGTGAATTTCTCTCGTCGGGAGATTTTTTGCTGAACGGGTGGGGGCTGTACGACGGTGGATCTTGTCCCGTGTTTCAGTTCGCGCGCATTAGTTTGCGAGATCTAGAAGGACGTGCGGGCATGTAGATCCAGCGCCCACCTTGCTGCTGAACCTGAAGCGTATAGCCTTGTGTCAGCCGGCTGAGCCGCCGGATGGGATTGCTGGCTACGGCAGAGGGCTTGCCTCCTTCTCTCTGATTGGTTAAAATGTGGTCCCGTATAGCGGCCATGGAGCGCGCCATCGCCGCCCCTTCGGGTGCCTGCCTGCTGTCGACTGCCTGCGGTCGGCGCTGCGGTGAGGCCAGGCGAGTGCGGCGGCTCCTTCTTTACGTGTGAAACTGCTTGCAGTCGAGTCCCGGGCGTGTATTTGTTTGTGTATACAGATGCGGGCGCGCAACAAGCTGGCATGTCCGGGCCGAATTTCAGCGAATCTTGTTCAGCCCATGCGTGGACCCCGCTAGAAGTATGCTGCTTTGTGAACGGGCTGCCTTTTGGGGACTATGCGCGGCGGCCCGCCTTCTACCGCGCTTTCGTTTTTGAGATCCGAAGGCATTTGCGACCACTTAGGTCCGCCGCGCGCCCTGATGCCTGGGCGCCGTTCTGCGAGCAGCAACCGAGATAGGCAGCAGCGCGCGCCGAATCTTGTGGTGCCCAAACATAGCGCCACTTCCCACTGCCCCGCCCCCAGAGTGTCAGCAGCCGGCTAGCTTTGCGCGCATTCGGAAGGGCGCGGCGTGAAATTTACTGGCGGCTTCAGCATTGGGACCCTCGCAAGACGTCTGCTCTTGCCTCGCTCTTTTGATATAGTATTTAACGAAGACGTAACGAAAAGCAAAAAGCAAGCGCGCCAGCCTCGTGAAGCCCGCCCGCGTGCTATAGTCCCGACGTTTTTCGGCTTTTCGGGGCGTTCGGAACCGGGGTCATGCCGCTCAGTCTAGCTTCGGGCCAGGAGATTTCTAAATTTGCAATAAGTTGCTTGGTTTTATTTTCAGTGGCCGCCACGCCACGCGGTAAAGTATTACCAACCTCCGGGGCGCGGGGGGCCCGGAAAGGCTGGGACGCTGCGAAGGCCACGGCAATCGTGATCGTGGCACCCGCGCGCCCTCTGCCCGCCTCCTGGCGTTGTTTTCAGTTAGTGGCAGTAGTTGTGAGGGCAAGAGGGGCGCAGGAGCTGCCTACTGGGCGGCCGGCGTTTGCCCACTTTGTTGCGGCCACGGCCACCCATGACGATTTGCATGCGTCGGCCCCCCATCCCGGGGGGGACAAAAAATCGGAACGACCTCACAACTTCCGCCCCGGCGGCTATGTTTGGCACTAGACCCCCAGCGTGTTGGTGTGCAATGTTGCTCGAATCGGGCGTATTCTTCCTCGCAACGCAATTCGGAAATACGGCGCGCGCCTGCGTGTACTAAGGTGGTAGCTTTGGATTTGGTCTTGATATGTGCCCCACTTTGTTTCCCCTTTTGGCGGACCTTTGTTTGAGTAGTAGCCATGAACTCCGCGCTGTCGTTCGGGAGGTGCTTCTGCAAAACGTCGCGCCGCTGCTGCAGCTCTGAAGAAAGTCTGTGAAGGTGCGGCCCATCGAGCCAGTTCCAGTTCTTGCGACATCGCTCGACTTTGAACCGACGGGACGACCGCAATCCTTCGCGCTCCGCGCGATTTTGCATTTGTGCTGTTCAGTTCTTTTATACTCGCGACGCCAGTCAGGTTGGAGCAAACGCGGTAGACTACGAACCAACGAAACCAGTAGAGCGAAATAGGGAACAGCTACGGCATGCCTAGTCTGTGTGGTGTACTTATGCGCATGTTCATCTAGTGCCCTGACGTGAGATGTTGTTTTCTTTTCTGCTGCACCACGGAGCTCTTCTGTACTGCCCGAAGCACGGCTGCGCGTGTTCGCTGTCAGCCTAGAGAGTTAGAGGGCTCTTCGAATGAAAAGGACGGCAAGAAGCCATATCTCCAGTGGCGCGCAAGCCGTCGGCGTAGCGGACAAAAGAATCCAGCCGATGCACGCGCCGACGGTCCGAGTCCACACTTCGTAGGTGTTCACAGCTGGGATAGCGGAAGAATGGCCGTGTCTGCAGTACGATGTCCCGCGTACGGGTTCTGCCATGCTAGATCGAGCACATGATCATGGATGACATTGCCAAGAACGCGACCTGCTTTCGCTTTTATCTCTGTATCGCGAACGCCTCCTGCCGCATCGTGACAGAACGAGTTCGATCTTAGATCCATTGCAAGGCCGCAACCAATGCAAAACAATAGACAAAGCACCTTCGTATTTCTAGTTGTTCCTGCCGAAGATGGCAGACAGCCTCTTTATATCAGGATTCGGTGTATGTTGTGCGTCCCCGGGGGAGATGCCGGGTTACCAAGGTCCACTGGATTTCTCTTCTTGCATTCGTTTGCCACACAACCAAAAGAGAAAAATGCAATCCAGATATTTTTATTGCACATGTACACGCCAAAAGCAAAAGATTAATGCGAGCTGGCACGCGTTGGCGTTCTCTGAATTCGCGGCCGAGGCCAAGAGTGTTCCAAGTATGTGCTTATTACATGTGCTACTGCTTATATGTGCCTATATAGTGTGAGATCACGAGCGTTCTAGTCGTGCGGCTTTTTTGCCACGTCCCACACAAAATGCTTGGGAGTTTCCAATCGGCCGGAAGTGCTTTTACATTTACCAAGCGGCCGGGGCTTTGATAGCAAGCAAGCCTAGTGGTATTCTATGGTATGTCGCTTCGTAAAACGATGCAAGGGGGCCGGCAAAAGGGGCGCCCTTCTGAGGCGCCTACCGCCTGGGCTTCTGGCGGTTTGAGGCGCCCAGAAAAGGACACCAAAAAAGCACCAGCCCGAGAAAAGCACCGGATCCGCATGGTGTTCGCCTCATTTCGGCCCACGCCCGGGCCTCGCAAAGGACGCCACCAAAGTCGGCTGCTTCAGGGCGGTACTGAAGGCCAGAGGCCGCGTTTTCTTATTAACAAGGAAACGGAAAACAAAAAAAGCGCGCCCCGCCAAAAAGTGAAAGCGAGTCCGTATGCTATTGGCCCGATTCCGGTCTTCCAAGGGGCCGGCTCTTGTGGGGGCCTAGTGGGGGCCTTAGCATGTAGGGAAGGCTTTCCTTTTCGAACCCGCAGGGGTGGCAACTTTGGGCCGTTATTTTTGCCCGCCGGTGCTGTGCCTTCGTGCAATCATAGCATTACGCCCGGCGGCATACTGGCCATAGCGGTTGCGTCGCTTGTTGGCTTCAAGTCAGAAAGACCGCTGCGACGTTATTACCCCCGCGAAAAGGCGGCTAGTGTTGGCATTGCCAGGCTCCTGGAGTGCGGTTGTTGGCTCCTTTTTGTTTTTCTCTCCGGCGCCGGACGTCGTTACGGTGTCAGTCGGGTTTTCTGTGTTTATGTTTGGCATTGTGGAGGTCTGTGAGCAGCCGCTGCGGGAGTGAAAGTCGCTGAGTGGTGGTCTGCGAGAGTGATAAGTTGAAACGCTTGACGTCGCCAGCTATTTCCAAAAGGAAGATATTACGTATAATGGAGCGATAGCACCACTCACCTTAAGCTTAAAAAGTCAAAAATTTTTTGATAATGTATTTGCACTGCAAAAGCCATCATCTCAAAGACTATACCGAGACGGCTGTTGTTGGGTGCGATCGGGGGCGAACCTGATCAGGTGAGGCGGCTTTTGAAGGTATGAGATTGAAAATAGCTATCGAAGCGTCAGGATCGAAATCCACAGAGTTGAAATGATTTAGCATGCAAAAGCCAGTGTTGCAGGGATGGCAGGCGAGGCAGATTGTGAACCTGTTTAGCGTTTGGGATAGAACTGCTAAAGTAGTATGACAAAAGCGGTCTTCTGCGTCCAAACAGGATGACAAATTGGACTCCGGTGCTCGGAAAATTTTTCATGTGCCGTTTGATATGTAGTGAGGTCACCGAACGGTTCTAACCGGGGAGTTTTTTTGCCATCTCCCGTGAAAAACGACCGGCAGTTTTCAATCGGCCGGAAGCGTTTTTTGACATAAAAGATTTCCATTTATCAATCGGTCGGGGCTTTGCCGTCAAACAAGCCCGGGCGGATTCTATCGGTTCCCGATTGATAAAACGACGCAAGGGAGCCGCCAAAAGGGGCGCCCTTCTGAGGCGCCCAGCGCACCTATTTCCATCGATTTGGGGCGCCCAAAAAGGGGCGCGCAAAAAGCTTGCCCAAAATCAGAACAGCGAAACAGCATGGCACGGCCGCGATTTCGGAGCATTTTGGGCGGCCGCGAAAGCGGCCGCCTTTTCGCCGGTTTCAGAGCCTGGGAAGCTTTGCAAAAAGCGCCGGAGGGAAAAATAAAAACGCGAAAAAGAGAAAGCGCCCCGGACGCGCAAAGCCAATCCGCATGCTATGGGCCCGATTTTTCTTCGCTTTTTGGGCGCCCCCCGTGGCACCCGGATCGGCTCCATAGCATGGGGGCTAGCTCGCGGAAAGGAATTTCGGAGATTTGCCAAAAGTTGCGATGTTTATCGAGCGGCCGCCATACCGTGCGGCCTAACGTTACTCACGGCGGTATGGCGAACCCAGAAAAAGCAAGGCCGCGGCCAAGTCGATGGCCGGCAAGAAAACGCCCACGACCTCACTACCTCCGCCCCGGCGGCTATATTTGGTAATTGGGCATCCAACTGGTATCGGTTTTATGCATGGGTAGGCACTAGAAGAAATGCAAATGTCAGTCAGCAAAATGATCTAGGTAACAAATCAAAAAGAAAAAAGCGCCGGCCCCAATCCCAACACAAAGCGCCGGCACGCCCAATGTGGTCGTCGCGGCTCCGGCGCACCCAGATCTGTCGTTCCATTTCCGGTGCGCCCGATCTGGTCGTCCCGGCTCCGGCGCGCTCAGACTGGTCGCCCCGGTTCCGGCGTTCCCGATCTGGTCGCCCCGGCTTCGGCGCGCCCAATCTGGTCAACCCGGCCCCGAACGGCCGGGGCGACTTTTGGCCGGTCCGACGGCCGTCGGACGACTTTTGGGTGTCCGGCGGCCGTCGGACAACTTCTGAGCCGTCGGGCGACTTGTTTTGGCCGTCCGACGGCCATCGACAGACCTTCCGGTGTCCGACGCCCATCGGACAAATTCTGAGCCGTCGGACGACTTTTGGTTGTCCGACGGCCGTCGGGTGATGGATTGGACCAGACGAGTAGCGGCAGCGCGGACCGTTGCGGCCACTTCGAGCCTGTATCTTCTCGAACAAACTCAAGCTCGAGCTTGTATCTCAAACTCAAACGCGAGCTTGTCTCCCAAACTCGAACACTAAGTCAATTCTGGAAATCAAAGCCATGCTCGAGTTTGTATCTCAAACTGAAAGTCAAGCGGGAGGTTGTATCTTAGACTCAAGCCCGAGCTTGTCTCTCAAGTTCACACTCGAGCTTGTATCTCAAACCCAAACTGGAGTTTGTGTCTCAGACTCCAGCTTGTATCTCAGATTCAAGCCCGAGCTTGTATCTGAAACTCGCGGGAGCTTGTGTCCCAAACTCAAACTGGACCTGGAGCTTGTAGTATGCAACGAGACAAAGTCCATGGATTATGGTGGAGACCCATGGCACTAGAGTATCTGTGTATGACCCGGCGCGTGCAGGAGTTGAAGAAGTGCAGGGGTAGTAGTGTAGCTTTTTGCTGTTCAGTAGTCGAAGGAGCGGAAAAACAGTACGTGTTAAAAAAAACCACTGACGCCATGTTGAAAAAAGTCAAAACAAAGAAAAAAAAAGTCGGTCCCGTAGATCCAAAAAATCTTTCCAGATGCTCCAACCCTGCCGCACGGGAATCAGGCATGCTCTAGAATTAATAATCGTACTCAGGTCGGGTATAGGGCTTTACGACCTACACAGTGGCGTCGGTAGAAAATACTTCACAGATCATTTTTGTAAGCAACTCGTAGATAGCTCGGGGCTTACGTTTAGGGCAAAGGCGTGTTCTCACGTCAGAGAGGCGACCGCGCTGCTTTTTCCTAGTCGTGTGCCAGGTTGCGAAAAAATGTAAGCCCGCTCCTGTCTATCGAGTGTCGAGAGTTGGGGTAAGAGGCAACGCCAGTCACCACCTATCTAAAGCTAAGCTTGTATAATTATGTGACCCGTGGCACTAGAATAATTATGTATGACCCGACCGCTGCTGATGTTGAGACGCAGGGGTAGTAGTCTATAGGTTTATTTGCGTAGCGGGTTTGTAAGAGGACCAAGTAAACACAAGTTAAAAAACCACTGACGCCGTGGCAAGGAAAAAGCCGCTCCTAGTACTCTCCACCACAACGATTTTTAGAAAGTGACAGCATCGCAGTGCGGGATCCAGGCATGCTCTATATAATTTTCAGTAGTCAGCATGGGTTTAGGGTCTTTACTTACATAGTGGCGTCGGTAGAAAGTGTTTTTTATAAAACATCCTTGTAGCGACCGGTATATAGCACAGGGTCAAGGGTAAAGACGTGTTTCCACGTCAGTGAGGCGACCACACTGCTCTTTTCTAGTCGTGTGCCAGGCTGCGAACAGATGTAAACCCGCTCCTGTCCATCGAGGAACTGAGTAAGAGGCAACGCCAATCGCCACCTAATTCCGTCCGTCCGCTTGTATCTCAAACTCAAACTCGAGCTTCGTTTTGAAACTCGAACTCTAACTGACATTTGCATTCCTTTAAGCCAAGGTAGTTAGTGTCTATGTAGTGATAAGATTTCGTTTCCAACTTTGTTGATTTCGATCCTGAATCCGGTTTGACGTCAGGTTGAGCACGTGAGGCGGGTTGTTTAAGTATCACTGGCGGCTCTTTGGAGGTTGATTTGCTCACACGGATGAGGTGGCAGTGTGATGTTCGTCTGAAGCGCAGCAGCAGTGAGTTCTCGGATTCACTTATGCTGTGCGACTCCCTACGCTTGGTCGTTCACCGCTAAAACGGGTGGCGTTTGGTCTTCTTATAGTTCTTAAGCTCTCTCAAGCTGTTGCAAAGGACTTGCTCTCAGGATGCAGTAGCTGCATATGTCAGACGGTTACTCGCACACCATAAGATGCGAGCAAAGGCTTGACTTCGATCCCGAGAGTTCCATACTAGCTCCAAGCTAAGCTAGTTAGTTAAGGCGTGGACTATAGAGAGGATTTAGAGATCATGACTGTCCATGAAAGAGAGCGGCGCTATCGCCATGCCCATGGTATATGGGACATTTGTCGAAGCCTGTGCGGCTCGGACGGGGCTCCGAGGCGGCTGGACGGCCTACCGCCTTGGAAATGGCGCTTCAGAGTGCAAGCCTATTACGTTCTATCTACCTTCAATTCTCTACCGATTCAACGCGCTTAATTAACTAGGTCACCTTGGAGCTTCCTTGTAGCTAGTTCTCATCTTGATGCCAGCCATGCCGTCACATCACGTCCGTGCCGTCGTGTTTTGCACCTGAAAACTGCAATCAAAGCATATATATATAGCGACAAGCTTTTTGATTTTTAATTTTATTTTTAAGGTGAGTGGCCTAGTTCCGCGCGCACCGCTCTTCTTGCCTAATCCCGCGGCCTGCGCAGCACGTCCCAGCTCCGCGGCCTACGCAGCACGTCCCAGTTCCGCGGCCTATGCAGCAAGCGTTTCAGGGTTAAAGGGTTCGTTTGGGGCTCCTAACTTGATTGTAGCGTGAGTGGTTCTATCGACCCCATAGATAGACGGCACGTTCAACAGTTACTCGCTCGCCTGTAGAAGCGAGCACACTATTGGTTTTTACCTCGGATAAGATCGCCTCCATTGATTCCAGCGATGAACAATGTCCTGCCAAACAACCCCCGCACTCTTCGAAGTCCGGTGCTCTGGGGCATATTGGCCGCGTCGTGGTGATAGATGCGACGCCGGGCCCGCAGATGGGCTCGCGCCGTTGTAAATCAAAAGGCCGCCCGTGGAATCCAGATCGATTGACTGCCTGGCTAATGGTGTCGCATTTCGCCACTCTTTGGCTCCTGCTAAATCTGCAACAGCTCCAGAAGGAATGCCAGCGCAAAAGAATGATGCGGCTGACGCGGAGTATGAGTTTCGCTTTTATCTGTTTGATGTTGTTGTTCCAAACCACGGGGATTCCACCGGCATTTGGATTTCGGGTCGAACTCGACGAAAGCATCGAAGGTGAAGCAAGATTGTTGCGACAGACCAATCACATTGATAGAACGTTTTGCGAGACCGATGACACATGAAACAGATAACCAACTTTGCAGAGTTTGTTGCGTGGTTGTTTTTGCGTGAACAGCAAAAACCGGAGCCCCAAAGTGAAAAACACCAAAAAAACTTCTCGCCTGCTCTGCCGAGCAGAAGTGCTCGCGCTTACACAATGGGGCGCATATGGCGCAGCAGTATTTTATATTGAATGAATTCTGGCACTGACGAGTGGCTACATGAAACACAAACATTTACAGAGACGCGCCTCGTCAGCCGTAATGGGACGCCAAGTGTATCAGCAAAAGCGGGCGAGGAGGAACTTCACGCAAACGTCGGTCGGCGCGACCACTTTTCCGTCATGGGAAAAAGCTCTGAAGCGAAGTCGCTTGATTTTAGTACCGATTTGGATTGACTTCAAGAATGTTAAGAAAATCAGAAAAAAAGCAGAGAAAAAAACCTGAGGCGTTTCTTTTGCGACGCACAGCAACGATTTTGTGCCGCTTTTGCTAACGTCCACAAGCGAGCGGCCCTGCTGCCCTGTTTGTCGCGCGATTATCCCGCAGGGTAGTGCGACTCAAAGTCGATTCTTCGTGTTCTCGAAGTTCGAGAACGCGCAGAATAGACTTTGCGGTACTTTATTTTGCCGGTGCCCTGAAGAAGCGCTAGGTCCCACCCTGGGGCAGCCGGGCTGCGAGATTCCGGCAGTCGGGTTCCGGCGGACACCGGGCTATCAGATTCGAGCGGGCAGTGCTGACACGATCGATTTTGTGAGTACCCGGAGGCGCTGACAGATTCCATGTTTCCGCGCAGTGCGGGTCTCGACGAAGATGCCCGACCCTCGGGTGAGGTCACAAAGTCCGGGCGTGGTTACAAAATCAATTTTGCAACGACACAAAAGCCGGCAAAAGCTGCAAAATTCATTGCGCGGGGCGAAGTCGCAAAGAATGGGCCCCTGCCTGGCTTTGTGCCGTTGCGCCGGATGCGTCGCACGCTACAGGCTCAGGGATGATCGCTAAAGCCAGAACTTGAGCCCCGACCTAGTTCCGTGCCCTCGCCGTGTGCGCCCAGCACAGCAACCAAAGAAAAGCAGCCAAGGTTGTGGATTCATATCGGGGCCAACGCTCTGAAAAGTCGCGAACGCCCCACAGGCAACGCGTTCCGAGCTCCGCAGAGATATGAAAGCTCGGTGTCCGGCGGGCGCCGAGATTTTAGAGCACAAAATCGGCTGCGTGAACATCCGGCCGCCTTCAGCAATCCGGCGCGACCAGGACAATCATGCTGCTCGCATGCGCCGCACGGTGCCAACAGGATTGATTTTGTGCTCGCCTCCGGAGCGGTGCCTGCGAAAGCGATTTTGTGGCGTCCCGCGGGAACAAAATCAAGCGAAGCCGGAGTTCGATTTTGCACTCGGCTTCCGGCAGCCGCCGGGCAGTTAGAGCGCAAGATCGAATTTGTGAGCATTCCCCTCGCGGGCCGGGGGACTTTCATCTGGTCGCGGACGCCGCACGTTGCCTACAAAAGCGATTTAGCGACGCCGATTTGCCTCTCGCGAGGCGCGCAAAACTGGGTTTGTCGTTCGCGAGGCGCGCAAAGTCGATCGTGCAGGCGGCGCTCTGTGCACGGTGCCGGTAAAAGCAAGTGTGCGGCCTCGGAAACGCGCCAAGGTGCCCGTTGGCACAAAAGTGGGAAATCCAGCAAGCCGATTCTAGAGAATCGATTTTGCAGATGATCCGGGATTCCGGATTTTCGGAAGACTCCGGATTTTTCACAAAATCGGCTTTCTGGATTTCCAGAAATCCCGGATTTTATGGATTTCCCAGATTTTCCGAAAAGGTATGTTTTCCGGAAAAGTCCTGACTTCAGGGGTTTTCCACAAAATCGATTTTTCTATCACCGGAAAAATCGAAGAAGAATCCCGGGAACTCCGGGAAGTCCGAGACTCCAAGAATTCCGGAGATCCAAATCTGGCGAAATCTGTGTTCCGCGAAATCGCTTTTGTGTGCGTCTATTGCTCCATAATTCCAAACCGGAGGAATAGCAATTGCCGATAGCAATTACGGACACTTACGGACACACAAACTGGGTAAAGATTCCCCATTTTTCAGACATCCAGCAAAAAACATCCCTCGACACCCAGCCAAAAAATGCGCGGGCAAATCGGGAACAAAGGAAACCGGGAAGCGGGGGAAATGGCGAAAAGGGGAAAGCGGGAGGCACGGGGAAGGCTTGGAGCATGGGGAATGCGGGAAGCGCGGGGAAGGCGGGGAGCGCGGGGAAAGCGGGAAGCGCGGGGAAGGCGGGAAGCATTGGGAAGGCGGGAAGCACTGGGAAGGCGGGAAGCATCAGGAAGGCGGGAAGCACAGGGAAGGCGGGAAGCACGGAGAAGGCGGGAAGCACGGGGAGGGCGGGGGGGCACGGGGAAGGCGGGAAGCACGGGGAAGGTGGGAAGCACGGGGAAGGCGGGCAGCGCGGGGAAGGCGGGCCGCGCGGGGAAGGCGGGCGGGGAGCGGGAGGGGGGCACGGGGAAAACGGCTTGTGAAAAGCTGGCGCAGTGGGGCGGCCGGGGGGAGCGGGAAGGGAGGCCCGGGAAAGCGGGGGGCGGCGAAAGCGGAAACGGGAAAGCCGCCAGGCACCCGGGCCCCAGAATATATATAGATTGCCAAGCACCACGCGAGCAGTTGCCCACCACCCTTCCCCGGCGCCCCCGTCTATTCGCGGGGAAGAGCGCGCCGCCGGCCGCCGCCTTGCTGTAGGAAGCAAGCCGCGCGGGCGAGGGGGGGGCGACAGACGTTGCAAGCGAACACGCGGGGCGCCGCTGTTGCCCGCAGGTGGATGGGGGGAAGGATGGTGGGCCCCCGGCACCCGAGGAACGATCGGGCTCCCCCCGCCGTCCGTCTGTCCACGCGGAAGGGCCCTCCGCGCGTTGTGTTGTGAAACAAAGGCCGCGCGCGCGAGACGGCAGGCCGGGGGCAGGCGAACAGGCAGGCGGCTGCCCATGCGGGAGTGCGCGGGGGGGAGCCGATGGGCGCACAGCAATGGAGGCGCGCGAGAGTGGGCCCACAGGCAATCTGCACGAGCCGGCCGTGCGACAGGCGCGGAGGGCTTCGCGCGCCAACGCCTCGCATGGCGCGGGCTGTTTTCTTGCTTTCTTACGCTCTTCGCCCTGCCGGCGCTCCACTATTGTCAAGCTTCTCCGCGTTGGGCTATAGGCCTGCCACCTCGCAGGCGGGCGCGAACTGCGAGCGAGGTCGGCACGAAACGACGGGAACAACAGGCGCCATGGCGCCCCGCCAAGGTTCTCTCAGGAAGAAGTGGCGCCGGTGCTTGGCCCCGCCCTGCCTCAAAATTTCCCTCCTTACCCACCCTCTAGCCTTTTTCTTCCCCCCCTGATTGTCCACGCGTTTGCCCTCCCATTGCGCGACATAAGCTGCGGCCTTGTAGAGAGCAAACTAGGGGCGTGATTTGAAGGGGCGAATTGGAGACGGGCGGCAGAGTGAGGAATTAGCGACGGATCTTAGAGGCCAACTGTAGAGCCCAGCTCATCTACCTAGGGGGCAACACTAGAGACGGACATTAGAGACGGGGGCGAAAGGCCGGGCTTTAGAAGGTTGCGGCGGGCGCCGAGTTGCTTGGAGTTTCGTTGTCTGAGATGGCCCTCGCGGGTTTCCTTGCCTCTACACCAGGAGCCCTCTAACCAGTCAGAGAAGTGAGCAGATGGACGAGGGGGCCGGAGGCTGTCTCACTCTACCATCCAGCTAGATACAGTCTCCTTTGGGAGTCCAACCGGCAGCAACAACAAGCAGAAAGCGCGGGGTGAGCTCCGTAGCCCTAGCTAGAGGACCTGCAGCGCACAGGCCCGCGCTAGGAAGTAGGGTAGCACTGTTGGCCTTGGCCCCATAGTAGCACTTAGCGTGGGCGATTTGCGGGCGATTTTCCAGAATATTGGGTTCGTCGCCCGAGTGGTAGTGTTTAGCATGGCCCATTCTGGCTACCCACAGCACTGGCTGCACCACGTGGGTAGGGGCTTCCTTCGGACGTGCAGCAGCGCACTGGGAGGTTGGTGCAGTGGTCTGTGGCGAGCTCCCGCCCTGGCAAGGCTCGGCAGCATTCCCGGTGTGGATGGCAAGCACAGGAAGAGTTGGCCAGTGCCGGGCGAATCTCTGTGCCAAGGGATTTTTCCTCATCTGTGGAGAATCTCTGTGCCAGAGACTTTCTCACACCCACCGAGACGAGCAAGCACGGCCGCAGGAGATTAACAAATCAAAAAAGGCCAAAACACCGCGTCCCTGCTCAACAGCCGTGCCTTCACAAGTTTAACAAATAGATATAGAAGTCAAAAGCGCCGGGATTCATTTGCTCAGCATCGTGCTTTTTCGGGAGAATTTCTTTAGATGTCAAGAGAATCTCTTTGCGCAAAAGAGATTCTCCGAGATTTTCTTTGCGGCAAGCATTGCTAACTACTATCGGGTCTGTCCATTCGGAACTTCTTCCGCATCGGAAGCAGCATATCCTTGTTCGGCACCAGCCAGCGCGCAAGCATTCTCTCCGTGATCGACACCACGCATTCCGGTTCGTGTCTGGCCACCCGCGAATACGTCCGACTCGGCAGCGCCGTGGCCTTCTTGGGCGCCGGGCTTATGGGCGCGCGGCTATAAAAAGTCCGTCCCAGAAATCTCTACCATTTGATGTCAGCGCTACAGCAGTGGAAGACAAATTTGACCGCATGTTCGTGCTCGTTCTGTCCGCACGGGAAAACTTTGCGCAAAGGAAAGTGATGCGCGCGACATGGTTGAAGCCGAAGCCGAACTGGATTAAGAGCGAAGGAAGCAATGCTGGAAGTCGCAGAATGTGGGCGCAGTTTCTTGTTGGCGCACAGGGTTGCGAAATTCCAATTGCCGAGAGGACCGCTGGGGACTTGGCCGTTGGAGGCTACTGCACGCTTCGCAAAGAAGAACACAGTGGCGCTTCTCGCGTTTCTGATCGCACTTCTGGCCTTGAGGGCAACAGCAGAACTGCAGAACAAGAGTGGCTGGCGCAGCGCGAAAAGGAGAAACAGCTTACCGCATCGCTCCAGCAAGAGAAGAACGACTATGGCGACATAGCCCTCCTTCCGCTGGTGGACGTGTACCATAACAGCTCGTTGAAAATGAAGCTTGGCTTAAAATGGGTCACCTCGCAAGACTTTTCCGAAGGGTTGCAGTGGATTGTGAAGGTTGATGACGACACGTACTTAAGGCCTTTTGCGTTACTGCGGTTTCTTTTTCCGCAAATGAGTGACGAGTTCCCAACGAAGGGGCTCGATCCCAAATCTGAAAAAATTTTGCTTGGAGATCTTTTTCCGCACAGCCTGGTCCAGCGTGATCGGAAGACGACAAAGAACTCAGAGAATAACTATCCCCACACCTACTAGTCGCAAGCTGCCCTTGACTCACTCCGCACTAGAAACCAAAAGCAACACACAACAACGACCAGGCAGGCACCCCGCCAATCGCTCAGGAAGGCGACGGCCCCATCGACACAGGCACAGCCGGGCCTCTAATGTTCTGGCCCTAGCTTCAAGCTCAAGCGCCCCGCCTTTCTTAACCTTCAGCGGAAATTCCCTAGCCTCTAGCGGCCTTCCTAGCCCTAGTCTCTAGCGGCCCACCTCTTTCCCCCCTTGGCTCCGCCCCGGCCCCCCGCGGCCTAGTCCTAGCCACTAGGGGGCCCGCCCTAGCCACGAGCGGCCTAGCCCACCCTGGCCTCCAGCGGCCTAGCCCGAGCCCCAATAGGCTTAGCCCCAGTCCCTAGTGGTCTAGCCGTGAACTCTAGTAGCGGCCCTGCCGTGGTCTCTACGCGGCGGCCCCGAAGCCCTTGGCCTCCGCAGCCTAGGCCCTAGCGGCCCAGCCCTAGCGGCCCAGCCCTAGCGGCCCAGCCCTAGCGGCCGGCCCAGCCCTAGCGGCCGGCCCAGCCCTAGCGGCCGGCCCAGCCCTAGCGGCCTGCCCAGCCCTAGCGGCCTGCCCAGCCCTAGCGGCCTGCCTAGCCCTCGCGGCCTGCCTAGCCCTAGCGGCCCGCCTCGCCCTAGCGGCCCGCCTCGCCCTAGCGGCCTACCTAGCCCTAGCGGCCTACCTAGCCCTAGCGGCCTAGCCCTAGCTGCCTAGCCCCAGCGTCCAGCGGCCTAGCCCTAGCGGCCCAGCGTCCAGCGGCCGGGCCCTAGCTCCTAGGCCAGCGGCCGGGCCCTAGCTCCTAGGCCAGCGGCCGTGCCCTAGCTCCTAGGCCAGTGGCCGGGCCCTAGGTAGCTCCGGGGGTAGCGGCCCGCCTAGGCCCTAGCGGCCTAGCCTCCAGCGGCCCCGCCCTAGCCTCCAGCGGCCCCGCCCTAGCTCCCCGGCTAGCGCCCTAGCGATGGCCCCTAGCGGCCTTGCCAGCCCTAGCCTCTAGCAGCCGCACAAGCCTCAGCCTCCCTCTAGCGGCCTCACAGGCCCTAGGCTCGAGCCGGCCCAGCCTGCCCTAAACCCTAGCGGCCCCGCCAGCCCTAGCCCCACCCTAGCGGCCCCGCCAGCCCTAGCCCCTAGCGGCCTCGTCAGCTTTAGCCCCTAGCGGCCTCGCCAGCCGTAGCCTCTAGCGGCCCCGCCGGCCCTAACCTCTAGTGGCCTAGCCGGCCCTAGCCCTAGCGACTTAGCCTGCCCTAGCCCCGGGAGGCCTGGCCAGCCCTAGCCCCGGGCCTGGCCTGCCCTCGCCCGCCCCCGTCTGCCCTCCCCTGCCCTCCCCTGCCCTCCCCTGCCCTGCCCTCCCCTGCCCTCCCCTGCCCCCCCCCTGCCCTCCCCTGCCCCCNCCTGCCCTCCCCTGCCCTCCCCTGCCCTCCCCTGCCCTCCCCTGCCCTCCCCTGCCCTCCCCTGCCCTCCCCTGCCCTCCCCTGCCCTCCCCTGCCCTCCCCTGCCCTCCCCTGCCCTCCCCTGCCCTCCCCTGCCCTCCCCTGCCCTCCCCTGCCCTCCCCTGCCCTCCCCTGCCCTCCCCTGCCCCCCCCTGCCCTCCCCTGCTCTCCCCTGCCCTACCCTGCCCTGCCCTGCCCTAGCGGCATGGACGGCCAGCAGCCCTAGCCCCTAGAGGCCAAGCCAGCCCCAGCCCCTAGCGGCCTAGCCGGCCCGAGCCTGCCCTTAGCGGCCTAGCCGGCCCGAGCCCCAGCGGCCTAGCCGGCCCGAGTCCCTGGCGCGCGGCCTCGCCAGCCCTAGTCCCTAGCGGCCTAGCCAGCCCGGGCCCCTAGCGGCCTGGCCAGCCCTGGTCCGTCCGCCCCTACCGGCCAAGCCAGCCCTAGCGTCTCGCGGCCTGGCCAGCCCTGGTCCGCCCCTAGCGGCCAAGCCAGCCCTAGCCTCTAGCGGCCTAGCCAGGCGGCCCTAGCCTGTAGCGGCCTAGCCAGGCAGCCCTAGCCTCTAGCGGCCTAGCCAGGCAGCCCTAGCCCCGAGCTACCCTGCCTGGGGGACCCGGAGGCCGGAGGTTTCGGGGACCAGCCTCGGGACCCGGAGGGCGGAGGTCGCGCGGACCTCGGGGCCCGGAGGTAGAAGGCTTCGGCGGCCTCGCGACCCGGGGTTCCTTCGGGGACCTCGGGACCCGGGGGTCCATCGGAGGTTTCGGGGACGGACCGCGGAGCCCGGAGCCCGCAGGTCGCGCGGACCTCGGGGCCCGCAGGTCAGGGCTTCCGGGGACCTGCTTCGGGACCCGGGGGGCGGAGGTTTCGGAGACCTCGGGGCCTTGGGGTCGGAAGTTTCCTTAGGGGACCTTGGGGGCCGAACGGCGGAGGTTTCGGGGGCCGTGGAACCCGAAGCGCGGGGTTTTCGGGGACCTCGGGAACCGGAGATCGAAGGTTTCCGGGGCCTCGGGGCCCGGGGGGCGGAGGTTTCGGGGGTCGCGGGGCCCGGAGGTCCTCCGGAGGTTTCGGGGGCCGCGCGACCCGGGGTCGAAGGTTTCCTCTCGGGGGCCGCGGGGCCCGAAGGTCGGAGGTTTCGAAGGTCGCGGCGGTTTTGGTCGGGGGGTTTCCGGGGTCGAGGCTCGAGGTCGCGGGAGTTTTTGCTGGAGGTTTCGGGCGGTGAGCGTTATAGTTTTTTGCTCTATAGTTGCCATTATCCTCCTTTCCCCAGTGGGGGTTCCGGCGAAGTTTTCTCTTGGAAGTTTGCCAAGGATGTTGCTGACCATGAAGCAAAGCTGTTCAACTACGCATGTGAGGACGCTGCCTTAGGAATTTGGGCGGCAGAACAATTATCAGGCGTTCGCATGGTTACAACTCGACCAAAAGGCGACGACACGCAGGCGTGGCGCTGGTTGATAAACGCTCGACGTGTTGAATCGGGTATGGTGGGGGCGAGAGGCATGTATGAGTTTTGCGATGTATGAGCCTCATACATCGCAAAACTCATACATCATACATCGAAGATTTGAGGAGAACGCGACGGCTTCCGTGTACGATGTATAATGTGCCGTACATGGTCCAGTGTATGATGTGCGATGTATGATGCATTGATGTATCACACATTGCAAATTGGATACATCAATGCACGATGTATGATACATCGTGCATTGATGTATCATACTTACATTGTACATCAATGCACGATGTATGATACATCGTACATTGATGTATCATACATTGCAAATTGGATACATCAATGTACGATGTATGACACATCATACGTTGATGTGTCACACATTGCAAATTGGATACATCAATGCGCGATGTATGATACATTGATGTATCATACATCATACATTGATGTTTCATACATTGTACATGGATGTGTCACATTGTACATTGATGTATCATACATGGCACATCATACATCGTACGTCATACAGATACATCGTTACGTCATACATGGCGCATCATACATGGTACGTCATACATGGCACGTCATACATGATGCATTGGTTGGATGTGTGGCGCTGCTTGCTTGGTGTTTGGTGCTGCTGCTTGATGCTGCTGCTGGCTTGCTGGTGGTTTGCTTGCTTGCTGGTTGGTTGTCAAAGCTGGCTGCTTTTTTGCTGGTTGGGTAGCATTCGTGGCTGCTTTTTTGCTGGTTGGTTGTTTTGCTTGTTTGGTTGTCAAAACGCCGGAACGACAACCGCTCGCGACAAGACCCGCCGACCCCACCCGCGCCTAAGGCTGCGTCACGATGAGGGTGAGGTACGTCGCGGGTGGTAGTGTGGGGGCCAAAAATGTCCTGCATGCGTGTCCTCCACGCGGGCGGCCCCTGGGTGTGTCACACTAGCGGCCTTTCCTGGCGCAGAGTGCACAGCGAACGACTAGGATGGGGCCGGTGCCAGAAGCGTGTGCGGCTGTGCAGGGCTTCAGCACATGACATGCGGCGCCCGCCCCTCTCCACCAGGTCGATGCATGCAGGTGAATCGTTCCGACGATTGAAACGACGTGCCACGATCATGTCTACCCTAGGACAGTGGATTCGATCTGCAGAAAGATACCGAAACTCAGCACACCAGCAGGGGCGCGAGACAACCAAACCACCAACCAGCAAAAAAAGCACTTTGAGGATTCTTGTGGTGTATCCGCGAAATTTCAAAATTTTATTTTTATTGATTTGCAAAATCCGCGAAATTTCAAAATTTTATTTTTATTGATTTGCAAAATCCGCGAAATTTCCTTTTTTTATTTTTATTGCCTAGGGAAATTTACAGCAAACCAGCAAGCAAGCAGTGCACCAAGCAGCACCACACAACCAACCAAACCACCAGACCACACTACACCATACCCCATGTATGATGTGCCATGTATGATGTGCCATGTATGATGTGCCATGTATGATGTACCATGTATGATGTACCATGTATGATGTATGATGTATGATGTACCTCAAGCACAGAAGTTGCGATGTGTGATGTATGATGTATGATGTATGATGTACCTCAAGCGCAGAATTTGCGATGTATGATGTATGATGTACGAGGTACCTACCGCGCAGAATTTGCGATGTGTGATGTATGATGTAGGAGGTACATACATCGCAGAATTTGCGATGTATGATGTATGATGTATGATGTACAATGTTCGAAAGGTCGTTCTCCTCAAATCTTCGATGTATGATGTATGAGTTTTGCGATGTATGAGGCTCATACATCGCAAAACTCATACATGCCTCTCGCCCCCACCATATTGGGTGAATCCGGCGACATCGACAAAGCTTGCATGGACCCGGAGGCAATAATTATTGGCGACCTGACGCCCGAGCAAATCCGGGCCTGCGCTGAAAACGACGCAAGAAAAGGACGCGTTGGGCCCGACGGTTGGTGCACCGACATACAGCCTGCGAGGCTGGCTACAAATCCTGCAGTCCCGATGCAGCAGCTGCGTTCCTTCGACAGAATGCAACTCATGCATGATGGACCGGCGGGTCGAATGCGCTGACCGTGACGCTGCAAGAAATTGCGAATCTGACAGACGGCGCCAACGCACAAGAAGAGGGTCTCTCATGCGCCATCAGGCGTTTGCCATCGACCCGGGAAATCCTGCTGCATGATATCAGGAGACACGGCGTTGCATCTTCGAGCGCAGGGCTGTCCACCCTGGTGCGAGTTTTTTTAACGACGATATGCTGAAAGGGTGCTCAGCGAAGATCACCTAACCTCCGACCACTTCTGAAACCAGGAACAGCAGCTTTGGATGGTGGTCAAAAATATATAATGTCTTGAGAAGATTCGGTCCGGTATTTGGGCGTCTCACATCAACTAGGGATAGCGCCGAATCCCTGTGCGCTGAATCTCTCTTATTGCGCTCGTGAATATCGTCCTGCTCCTCCTGCTTATAAATTTTTTATAAATGTGTTGACTTTATTGTGTTTCTTCTTCTTGTCTTTGTGTTTAATAGACCTTTTTTTACTCTTTCCTTCAAAAGCGAAAGGAGCAAGTTCTGACAAATGTCGAACGATTGAGAATAAAGCGAGCTCTTCGTAGGTTGCTTTCGTTTAGCTATAGCCTGTAGCGAGCTCTTCGTAGTTTTTTTGGAACAGCTCTGACGCTTTCTGGCACCTCCGGAATCCCGGACGTGATCACTTCTGTCACCCTGCGAAACGCAGGCCCCCCAAGAAGCAGACCATGACAGAGAGGTCGCCGCCTACAACTACAAGCGGCGCGCGCTACAGCCATTCGCGCGAGACCCTTGCCCCCCCGTCCTCCGACCGTTCTGGCTTTGCGCATACGGGTCCACTCTCTCTTCCTCTTTTTTCATCGTGGGAACAACAGTTCTCCTCTTCACAAAAACATAACAGAAGGCGAGTTTCTCAATTACAAGAGTGTGGAGACACACCGCCGAGCGTGGAGCCTCTGGCGCCTTTTCTTCATGGCGCCTTTTCTTAATGCAGGGTTTCCGGATGCTCAAGCCCCTAGGTCTTCGCCCTGCTGCTTCATTCTCGTGCGGCATGATGCGCAGGGCGATGACGTTATTACTTTGATGACTCAGTCGCCTGACCCTGACCCTGAGTGATACTTAGCGGTAGGCGGTGGAACAAGATGTCAACTTACCCATGTGGAAGATGGGCTCGGCCAGTGCAATTCTTGTTTTTGGTGCGATCCTTGTGTCTCTATCTGCAGTCGAGCGAGCTTGCTGTGCGCAGAAGTTTTCGCTGACTTTTGGATCGCGCTCGGTTACGACATTCGGCTTGGTCCGGCGAGATTTTTTCAGGCGTCGGCCTCGCTATCAGCTGCAGACGCACACACGAAATCGGGTGCTGTTCTGGTCTGTTGTCAATCTCAACGCACCTACGACTCTAATTTCGCAAAATGGTTTCTCCGAAAGTCTACGACTCTGGCACAGCAAGTGCGTGGAGAACCGAAGGCGCGTCGTTATTGCCGAGGCCCCGGGACTCGTGAAGAACAGACCCATGCCGCCAGTCCTGTTCCCTGGAATCAAAAGCGCGGCAAAGTGGGTAGGCAGCCTCCCCAGCTGGCGCTACTTTTGCGCATGCGTCACGTCAGGAGGGTGCCCCGGGAGGGCCGGCGTCCGTTTCTTTGCCGGGCCCGCCGGCTTGGCTCGAGTGCTGCGCGCAATCCGCCTGGACCAGCCCGGGGACACCGGGGGGGGTCCGCGGTCGCGGAGGATGTGGCTTGCGGGCCTTGAATTGTTTCTGCCTGAGGGCGGGTCGCGGCCCTGCCGGAATCGGTTGACGCCAACCGGCAGGACCGACCGACCTCGGGAGGCCCGAGAAAATCGAGCTAGTTCATTGCAGCGTCCAGCATCACTGCGCGACCGCAGCGCGAGGGGGGGCGCGGAGAAGCGCACCAAGCATAGGGGAGGAGCGCCAAACAGGAGGCGTGCGAGTTTTGTTGCTTTGGCTTTGCATTTGGCGTTTTTAGCTCGCCCCCCGCGGGCCGGGCCTGGTTTGTAGTGAGGTCACCGAACGGTTCTAGCCTGGCAGTTTTCTTTACATGAATTGCCAAAAACGACCGGTAGTTTTCAAGCCGACAGAGAGTTTTTTTGCATGAAAAAGGTCCCAGCGTGCAAGCCTGTTTGGCTTTGTCATCAACGAATCGCCGGCGGGTTCTGTCGATCGCCGCTACATAAAACGACGCAAGGGGGCCGTAAAAAGGGGCGCCCTTCTGAGGCGCCCGCCACGTGGGATGCTGGCGATTCATTCGAGGCGCCCAAAAGGGCGCCCGAAAAAAGCGCGCCCAAAATCAGAATAGCGAAACTGCATGGCCTTAGCGCGATTTCGCACCATTTTGGGCGGCCGCGAAAGCGGCCGCCTTTTCGCCGGTTTGTAATCGGGGGAAGCTTTGCAGAAAACGCAGACGCGAAAAATAAAAACGCAAAAAAGGAAAAGCGCGCCAGACGCGCGAAGCCAATCCGCACGCTATGGGCCCGATTTTTCTTCTGTTTGTGGGTGCCCCCCCGTGGCGCCCGGATCGGCCCCATAGCGTCAGGGCTGGCTTCCGGACAGGAATTTTGCAAATTTGCCAAAAATCTTCCCCGTTTTTCAAACGGCCGCCATGCTGTGCGGCATAACCTTACCCAAGGCGGCACGGCGGGCCCAGAAAAGGCAAAGCCTTGGCTGCGGCAACGGTCGGCAAGAAAACGCCACCGACCTCACTACCTCCGCCCCGGCGGCTATTTTTGGTAGTTAGGTGAGTAGAAATCGTCCTCGGACCAGACGGGCCGGCCGGCAGGCGTCGGTTTGCATGCTGGCCCGAGAGAATGTGGCCGCCATCCCTAAAGCGGAAGAAGGCGCGGCGAATATCGGCGAGCAGCAAGCGCGTCGCCTTCCCCTTCTTCGGCCTACTTTATATGTTTTTGCCCCTGGCTTTTATCTTTTGTTTGTGGGTGCGCTTAGTTTTGACTTTAAGGTGAATGCCCGGGGGACTTAGGCCGGATCATCCCCTTCAAGTGAAGAGCATTCCCCTCGAGGGCGTAGGGTTTAGGGTTGGTTTAGGGCTTAGGGTGTATGGTTTAGGTTTACGGCGGTGTCGTCTGGGCCAGCCTTCGCGACGGTCGGCCCAGGCGATTCCCTTTGGCCCCTTCCTGTTCCGGGCCGGGGGCAGGCTCTGCCGGCCGCGGCGCCCTCGCCCCGCCCCCCTGTGTGTGTTCCCCCCTGGGCCGTTCGTTTGCCGGTGGGGCCACACTCGGTGGGGCCGGGACCCCGCTCGTCGGGGCCACACTGTGCCGCCTTTGTATGTTGCCTCGCTCGGGGGGCGGGGCCTTAGGCTGTCCCGGGCTTCTCTGGGTGGCTTCCCGCCCGTAGCACATCTGGAGCCAGGAAACGTATTGGAAGGCCTTCGAGCAAATACCAAGACGCCGCCCCGCCCTGCCCCCGGTCTGCCTGCCGCCGGCCTCGCTCGCTGCTCCCTGCCTGCCCCCGGCCCAACTCCTGGCCCCCCCACCTGCGTCTTGAGCTGGGTGATCCTTGGGGGGGTGATGTTGCCTATGTCTGTGCTTTGGTTGATTCCAATTGCGAGGCCGGTCACCGCTAAAGCACTGGAGCACCTGCGCCAGCCGTCGCGTCATCGTCTTATGTAATCGGCCGTGCGTCACCCACTTAGGACGTAGCGACTCTCTAGCTATGGCCGTCGTGTCTCGGATTTGCATCGACCGCCTTGCCTTTCCGACTGATTCTCACTCGCTCGTGTGCCCAATATACACAAGAGGCAGGCGCGCCGCCTCGTGAGATGCTAGAGCTTGGGCCCCGCCCTTCAGCAGACCGCGGCCCGCGGAAAACTCGACAGCGCCCGAGCAGTATCTCGCTTGCATTGAAGACGAAGCGAGCGCGCGCGCGGACTTTGGCGTTTTGGCTTTCAGCCTTTCGGTCCGTATTCTACTTTTGCGGTCGTCCTACAACTTGTGTCGGCCGTCGCCTTTAGTTTTTGCGTTTGAGGATTGCCCTCTTGGTTTTTGCGTTTAGTTTCTACTCCTATTTAGGCTCTGCCCTCGCTTCAGACCCCCTAGCGTTTGCTCTTTCTTGCTTTTTGGCTCATGAATTGCAAGAAACTAGTAGTGCCAGCCTCGCCGGCACGGAACCGCTTCGGAGCATTTCACGGGCGCCCTGCCAGTTCTAGCAGCGAAGCAAGTAGAACAAGAAGGGCAAAAAGAAAAAAAAGAGCGCCGCAGCGGCCGCGATCATTCGATCGCCGGGAGCGGGGCCGCCGACCGGATCCGGAACCGGCCGCCGGCAGAAGTGTCGTCGGCACCGGAATCGCCGGCACCGGGATCGCCGGCACAACGGGGACCCGGGGCCGGCGCGCGTGCTTCAGGCACAATTAGGCGCCGGCAGGCGGGCAGACGAGACTTGGCCACGATCCCCCTGGCGCGCACCAGCTCGGACCGCGGCCGGGCGCCGGCAGCCTGCTAGGGCCGGCCACGGCCTGGCACCGCCTCGGCGACGGTTTGCCTGGCGTTGGCGGGCTTGGGCCGCGATCTGGCGTCGGCCTGGCTACGATCTTGCACCGGCTTGGCCACGAGCCTGGGGGTCTGCCGTGCCCGTTTTTCGCTTGGTCTCGGGGCCCGCTTGGTGGATGTCTTGGAGGTGGCCATAAATATACATCTCGTCAATCGTAGAAAGGAAGCGAAGAAGACAACCTGCTACAACAACTCCCATGCTGCAACCATACATACCACGGAAAATTGGAACGGAAAACAAAAGGAGCTGCATGAACATCACTGAGACGGGTTCAAAATGATTAGAAGTTGCTTCAGTAATGAGGAAGGTTGAGGTTTTCACGAAAAAAAATGCGCTGGCGCAAGACCAGGTCGACGATTTTTTGCAGTCCGGGAAAAATTGTATTTCCGGGTTCCAGCATGCGGTTGTTGGCTCCTTTTTGTTTTTCTCTCCGGCGCCGGACGTCGGCACAAGTTCGAGTTTTCTGAATTTACGTTTGGCATTGCGGAGGTCTGTGAGCAGCCTCTGTGAGAGCGAAAGTCGCTGAGCGAGGGTCGGCGAGAGTGATCTATGTATACAACGAAAACCACCAGGAGCAGGATGGACCCGCAGCTGCCTTTGCCTCTGGCAGTGCTAGGTGGTCAACATGAGTGCAGTCTATCGGTACCCTTCTCATGCTTCAATCTTCTAGTTCTAGACCAGGACGGCGACGGGCAAGCAAAAGCAGCCTTGCATATCCTCTGAAGATTTCACCCTCTGACGATCTGCAGGGTGAGTGTCGAAGTCGCTCAGCGTTGCAAAAATCGGAACAGTCTTTGCGTTTTTTTGACTTTAGAGGCCAAGAGGGTTCTTCTGTATTCCTTTTCGAAGATATTTACTTTGGACATTTTCTCCAGATGCCAGGGCCAGGCGAACACCTGGCAAACGAAGTGACTTTCGGGCCATTCCGAAAAAGCAGTATTGGGGGCTCGTCCACTCATGATGAGAAGGCGAGACGGCAATGGACTATCAAGGATACGCAGAGCTACGGTGATGGTGATGGTGAAGATATGTGTAATTCCAAAATATGAACACACTTCTTCCATAATCCCAGACGTGTGTCTTTTGCTTTTTCGTTTGCTTGTCTGGCATGGAAATGTCTCAGCACTTTCGAGGTTCGGACTTCGGGTGCCCGCCAGCCGTAAGAAGAAATTGCCGTGGCTTCGGTGCGAGACGTCCAATTTTTGATAACCACAGTCGTTCTGTTCGAGTTCATCTGAACGAGGCGGCGGAAGTTTTGCAGAAAACTGCCAGTGTTCATGTGTTAGTTTACTTTTGATCATGATTGATTGATTTACGTGTGCCGGGCCATCGTAGCGCTCCATTTGCGACATCCCCGCGATATTCCGTTTTGTTGTCGTTCACTTTACGTTTTGTGCGTTTCGTTGAAGTTTCAAGGAAGCGTAAACTTGTGTCAGTTCGTTAAGCGAAAGAACACAAACTGGCTGTAGTTTCTTGCGAACGTCTTTGCAAGATTGGTTTTGGTACGACTTAGACAAATGATGAAGGCAGCAAAGAGGCAAAGGCATGAGTGGCAGCTCTTGAAGGTTCGGCTTCGATTTTCACATACCGGAGGGAGCTCTCGCGGAGTACGCTTCTACGTGCGCCATTTGTTGGAAAACTGGCGCAAGGGCAATCCCCAGGTTGAGCTAGTCACCCAGCATTCTCAATTTGATCATCCGCAACTAACAGCGGAATGGCGATCGGGAGAGTGTCAGACGATATGTTTACGAAATATGACAGCGAATCAACTTGATCAATTGCTGGAGCTGTGTCGCAATTCTGAGTCTCCAAATTTGTTTCTGAAGCATGGAGGTCCGCGAGTTTGGACTGAGCGTCGGAGTACTCCGGAAACCGAGATTAACGCCCACGCACGCATCAAGCAGGCATGTGTACTATTGGTGCTTCCCGAGGGGTCACACGTTCGTGACTAGATAGACAAGCGCCATCCCTTCCTCGTGGTGGCAGTGCCGCAGAGATTCGCTGACCAATGCCTGCGCAGCGCATGGCCCCTTTTTCCGTCTTTGAGCGCTTGACTGTGAAATGGCCTACGCATTCGCCGTCCTTAGTCCATATCAAAGAAATCGCTGCGCTCAGTGCTTATTGTGGCGCCAGTTGGCTTGATTTTTCGGGTATAACGTTTGCGGCCGTGGTTGCTAAATGCACCTTGCAGGCCTCAAAGCTAAACGGAGGCGCAGCCAGACGATCTCCGCCACCCGATTTGTTTCATCCGTTACGCCGAGGAGTAGTAGAACAAAGCGCGTATGTTTGGGATTATTATGCTGGCTCGGCGCCAAAAGGTTGCGCGACAAAGCAATAGATGCCCTCTCGGCATAAATTTAGTGCTGGAACGCACCGCCTAAGTTAGTCGCACGGGCGCAAACGATTTCGCCGACCTGGTCGCAGAGAAAAGTTGACGCAAAGTTGCGAGCAGGCCTCGTCTTGATTTTTTCTTAGAGTAGATATGCCCCAGCGGCCTCGTTTTTCAAAAGCTCAGCTCCATGCCTGGAATTTTTTCCCCAGTTCAGGCGTGGGGCCGGGCGGGTATCTCTGCAATGCCCCCGGTCGATTTCAAAAGAACGCACGGAGAAGTAATGACATTGTCGCAGCAGCGAACACAGACAGGCCGACTGTCCGCCACTGCTCCGCATTGAGAAGGCTCGGGGCAGTCTACGCCGCCTCTCATCGTGGGGCACAGCTCTGCGCGCCTACTGGTACTGATGCTCTTTCTTTGTCATGCACGTACTAGATAATGTTAGGGGGCTTGCAACTTTCTTCTGAAAAAATCCGTTCGAGGTCGTTTATCTCGGTATATCGAGTATCCAGGGCATGTGGCAGCCAAGTTATGAAGGCATGGCGCAAGCATTGAAATGGGCCCACCAGAAAGACCGGCGCGCTGCGCGGCTTACCTACGCGGCTTTTTCTTTAAATCTGTCCCAGCAGGCGTGGAGAGGAGAAGGGCGCTGGGGGGAAGAAATGCAGAATCGCAGAGGCTTCGATCGGGATTTGCTGAAAGCCATCTTTGTCGATCCTTTTTTGCCGGGTGCGAGACCGCTGGAGCAGCCTGGCCGCTCGAGGCCAGGTGTATCAGGAAAGCACTTCTGGTGGGGAGGGGGCACGAACAGACCCTCCACAGGCAGAAGTAAAGTTAGTACTGAAAGTAAAGTTAGCAGTTTGCTTACTATGCGCTAATGAAAGACGGAGACGGAAGTGAACAAGAGCGAGTGATCTTCAACATTGAGGGCATGGGGGCGCGCCGTGGGAAAAAGCGGCGTGGTCGCATGGTAACCCACGCTCGATTCTCATGTCTGTGCGATTGGTAGAGAGGACTCTGAAAAGGCAGACGGAGATCGAAATACGCTACCGCACAATCTCTATGGGTCTGGTACCGATCCACCATGAATATCGATGTCCAAATTGATGTTGCTTACCAGCACATCGGATTTACTTTACTTACATCCGATCAAACGGTAACTCTGTCGTGTTCAATTACAGTTGGAGCGCAGGATGCTGAGTGGTGTACTGAACGTCACAGATCTACCGCCTGCTGCTGGGGGTCGCTGCGTCTATAGATATGGCACTTCCAACATCGCGCGGGCGTTCACGACACCCGTTGGTTCTAGTAGCTTTCGTTTGAAGACATACCGGGTGCACATCACGGGATTTTTCAATTCCTTTAACGCCTTAGACGCGTGAACGTGATCCCTCTAGCGCACGCCTCATTCGAAATTAATTTCAGCGGCGCTCCTGTGTCGTGTTCGTTGCAAAGCCAAGCTGTGGCTTCTGAGTGGATCAGATATGCGCTCACGTTTCTGAACGACGTGGATGATCATGCTCAATATTTATAAACGGCAACAGCCTGGATGTTCACCACTGTACTACACTGCTCCTCCTCGGTTAAGTCGTTGCCTTTTGCTCTTTTATTCGCGTTGCGTTTTGCTCTTTGTTTTCGTTTTCTCACGTCGTAGCAACAAGATCATATGCAGGCCCTTTTCATCGGAGTCGAAAATTTTATTGGCCGTAGCATGCCGATCTCGGCATCGACAGCTACGCTTGTACGCGACTTCATACTATTTGTAGGCCCGCAGGCAGGAAGCCCAAAGAGAAGCAGAAAGAAGAAAGCCAAGAGGCTTGATCTCGTAGTTACATTGACGACCGCGGCGGTAGAAAAGTGAATGGTTCAGCAGACAAGACAGCCTGTAGTTGTGGCTTGCTGTCGAGGTAAGTAATAGTATCAGGGCCCGAACAGGAACATCGCACATGTGCGGCACGACTTGGTCTTCTGCGAAATGAAGAGCGCGCCGATTTGCACGGTCAAACTTGATTCTCCGGCCGAAGTGATCGCTCCATGCAGCGCCGGAGTGAATACGAATTTCGTTGTAGGCGGTCTATCAAGGCAAAATGAATGAGCTGCGTCTTTGCCAGCACAGAAGATGAATGTGTCTCAGAAGTTTGAGTTCGTCACGCAGAAAAATGCATGACGCTGAGCCTCAGCGTGAAATAGAACCTGATCAACGCTAGCAATTCGTCGCGTGGTTCTTTGGCCTACGAAAATCTAACGCGCGCTTCTCACACAAAACTAAAGGGCAAAAATTGCAAAATTCTCACACAAAACCAAAAGTGATCGACGACGTGATCGTTCGCTGTTTTCTCCTCATACAGACGCCGCGCACTGCAATTCGTCCGATTGACACAGAAGGGACCAGATGCGTTTGGGCAGGAGGAGCGCATTCGCTTTCTCGCAGACACAAATCAGAGCAGTTCAAATGAAAGCGACTTTTCGCTCGCAAATACTTCGAGTGGCTCTCTTGGCCCGCAGTCCTGGAACGATGAGGTCGCGCAATTATCCCTGGGTGGCTCCAGTACGACTGACGCGCGCTTTCCCGTGGCACACTTCGGCGGGCCTTCCGGTGGTTTTCGGTCCGTGACAGCCGAGCACCATCGAGGACTAGGGCCTCTGGGAGAATTTCGGAATCGCCTGCATGCCGAGGTGCGAACAGGGTGCTTGCGGGCTCGAGTGCAATCAGCTGCTGCGCTGCGCGATAGCAGTTTGGAGAATCTTACAACTGGGGACACAGTTTTACCTTCTAATTTTCCTGCGTCTAGTACTACGTCGAACTATCCGTATGCGCAGATATCTGGCACGAATAGTGCCATTTGGCGGCTTAAGAAAAGCACTACAGGAGAGAAACGGGTGACAGGAGCTTCCGCACATGCGCGCCGTGGTGTGCTTGGGCACTCCACCCCCGTAGCATATTCACGCCCAAACATCGAAGCGCGTGAATGCGCCAGCCGGGATGTTGCGCGGCTTTCTCATTCCACCTCCAGCAATGAAGACCTGCAGACCAAGGCAGAACAAGAAATCAAAGCAGCTGTCATCCCAAGCAACTGCTCATCAGAAGAAGTAAGGCAAATTTTCCAAAAACCGAGAAACAGAAGTTTGACCGAGCAAGATCAACCGCACGCACGTGCATTTCCTTTTTCAGTTTCACAAACCGATGGAGGTGTTGCTCCAGGAACCCCCGGGAGCCAACCTTTGCTGCGAAAGTTGGGGCACGACTTCGACGAATGCGACAACTGGTCGGTTTTCGGGCTGAACCGCCGAAAGACACGTTCTGGCGGAGCCACTTCCAGCTTGCCGTTCAGCTGGGGCGGTTTGCAGCGGAGTGGACAGCAGGATCAACCGCCGGACGTGCAGTACTTGTTTGTGCATTGATTTCGTTCCTCGGACGTTACGTGACTGCGGAACTGAGCAGCGCCATTTCTTGTATGTTTAAGTACATGAATTGACCGAAAAGTGGCCGTCCCAGCACTTTTCACACGCTTGGGCGGGGGCGTGTGCAAAGTCGGACGGAGAAAAGTAAGTTCCGTTCCACGGTTTATCCACAGAGCGGGTGAAAAGCAAAAGAGGTACGGGTGAAAAGCAAAAGAGGTACGGCAGGATTTGTTACGCCGCTCTAGTAAAGCCGTTTGCAATCCTCGGGTAAATTTCTTTCAGAATGAAAAGTGGCATGCGAGCAGGACTGGCTAGTAACTCTGCGCCCACAGAAAGCCGACTATCGCTTCTAGGGCGCGCTAGTACTTGTTGTAGAGGGACGAGCTTTAATGTCGTGAATCCGCTTCAACAATCCAAATTCAAGGGGATGCCCTTCCATGCCCCGTGGTGTGTGGGACGGCAGCGGTTCGGTGCGATTTTTTGGACCACGTCGCCCGGCCCTCGGGTCACATTCCCGGCCCAGATAGTCGCTGATGTAGTACGGATCCAGCTGGCGTCGACGCTTCTGTCGTGCCCCTACGGCCGCGCACACGGTTTCGTTCGCGACACAGAGAGTCTGCGGTATTGGGTGCCCAGAGGCAAGGACACTGATGGCAGCGGCCCGGTATGGACGTAGTCTTTGTCAGAACGAGCTGACCAGCGCGACCAAGGAGGCCCGCTGCGATTAGGAAAAGTGAAGCGGCCAGGATGGGCTGCCTGCCTGTCTCAGAATACACGGGCAGCGGCGGAGGCAGGTTCGCGCGACTTGGGGAGCCCACTTAGTGCCTGGCGTTCTGTCTTGGATGGGTGTGCTCCGCCTGCTGCCGCAGGTGGCGCAGATTTTTTTGCGTCGACGGCCAGTCGCAAAGTGTTGGGGCCGACTACCGTCGTGGGGCCCGAACGGGTGCTGAATTCGTAGGCCCGTGCTGGCCGGCTGTTCGTCGAGTCTTGGGAAGTTTCTGTCCGAATTTTCAACAAGGCCAAGGCGCTTTCCCATCCTTTGAAGGCCGGCGCCACCGCCAGTGCGTCGCCTCCCCTTGCCCTTGCGGCGTTGTCGCGTGTTTCTCTGGTTTTCTTTGAAACTCAGGAAAAGCTGGGCCGAGTCTGGGTCTTCGGAGGTCCGTTGCTATGCTTCCGAGCATTTGAGGGGCGTTTGCGCCGCTGCCGCTCTTTGCGAATTGAAGAACGAAGGTGTAAGGTTCAAGGCCCGAACTACACGGAGCGCCCCCGCCTCTTTTTCTACCCCCGTCCTTTCGATCTGCCCGCGCCCTACTATTGCTGCTCCGCGAGGTTTCAGGGGTTGGGCCGCCCCGTTCCGCGCGCATGTCTTTGCCCGCGTAAGTTAGTCCGTGGCGGCCGGCATTGTGTTTGTGGCGTCGGCACTTTCCTCAGCAGAGTTGCGTCCTGTGTCTTCGGGGCGAAGGTCGTTGCCCTGTCTTAGTCTCCTTCCAAATTTCGGGCACTGTGCGAGACATTTCGTTTTTGCTGAAAGCTTACAGAGAGCGGACGGAATTTGCCACCGCGCGCGGGGCCCGTTCTTCCAAAGCCTATCCGGGCTAGCGGCGGGCGTTGTAATATGTTCCGCGCCCGGCAGCCGAGTGCGTGGCTCCGGGTCCTCTTTGTAGCCAGCAAACAAAGTTCTTTAGGTGCGATTGCCAAAAAGGGAGCCGGCCTCTTCCTCTGCGCGTTTCAGGGTGTTCAAGTTTTGATAACGTCATCCAACATTCCGCCGCTGCGGGTATTTCATTCTAGGAGGGCGGGGCAATATGGTTTCATCCAGTAAGCGCGCAGGATATAGGCTCACCAGCTGCACCAGGCACGTTAACCTTGCCCGTGCTTCTGGTGTGGACCTCAGCACGCGCAACCGCAATGTCTTCGCGCTACGTGTTGGTTCCCGTAAATTTCGGGGCCTTCACCCACATTATGTATGATTATGATTATGTATAAGTATGTCATGAGGTAGTACAACTATAAATAATTGGCAGGCAGTGTGCGTTCTAGTGCTAGAGGAATCAATGATAAACGGCATCAGGTACTGTATCTCAATCGAGCGGAATCTTCAAGCTCGCCTTCGGCTTGCCACAACCAGCGTATGCTTACGAGCCGCTGAGGTGTTAAATCTTCACAATTTGGCTAGGCTCTTTTGCGCCAAGACTTGAACACGTGCATACATCAGGCACAGACGCCCGGCTAGCGAAAGCGTGAAGGAGAAAAATGCGAGGACGGAACGAAACACCAAGGTTGCGCGCGGGCCCCGCTCTCATCCTTCCTCTAGCCAGGAGGCGCAGGGATGCGTGGGGTCGAGGCTTTCGTGCGGGCGGTGATGGTTCGCGCGGTCTTGTTTACAAGGATCGACCTCCGGGCCCGACCATTATAGCAAGGAACCTGGGCTGCACCGCAGGGCTTTGGCCAGATCCTGAAGCACGATCGACGTGCGCGGTGCGTGGCGTGTTTTTTTGGAGAGGCCCAGGACCCCGCGGGAAAGTTTGGGACTTTTTTGGCCGAGGCCGCCCCTTCCACTATCTGGGAAGGCCTCTTTCGAGTGCCCCAGCAAAGTGCGGCCTCGCCTTATTTCCCGGGATCCATCCGGAGCTCGTGGCGGGGCCCGTTGTTCACGGGGGCTCCGGATATGTCGAAGCCGCACCCCGGGCGCCTTCTGGTATCATTCACGGACTACATGCGCTGCAGCTGAAACAAACAGGCGACGGCGGTGCTCGCTGGTTCCAGCCTGCGGGCGCCTGCCACTTCCTTGTTCTGTTTTCCGCGGAAGGGTCAATCGCAAAGGCCGGCGCGCGGGCCGGATAGATAGAAGTAGGGTACCAAGTTTGCATTATTTTGTTGCCCGTGCGCCCTGCCTAGCGTCGCTGGTTTTGTGTGCATGTTGCCACTCGCGAGAACTGCAACTGCCTGCGCGCCGGGCTATGAAGCAGTGGCGCATGACTGCAACGCGTACGCGTAGTTTGTGTGGTCTGGGATGGGTCAATGACAAAGCGAGAATGTGCCACGCCCACGTCTTGCATGAGCTGCATTATGCGATCGCGCGTTGCGACTACAGGCATTTGTCAGTGCCGTGGGCCATCAAGGGCTCCCTGAGAAATTTTAAGTTTCGATAATGCTGGAAGAGGAAGATTCAATAGTACCTGAGCGCGCCATATTGTTTCCACCCTGCTAGCGAGGGCTTTGTAGCCTCCTCCTCCGCAAACGGAATGCTCTGCCTGTGGGACGTAGCGCAAAGCGGGTCCTACTCTCCTCTGCTCACCAAATGGAACGCAGGCACGAGGCAGATAAATAGCATCTGCTTCCTGCCACCATCGGGATCCACCATGAGCCTGGTTAGCGCGGACGCTGCAGGTGCCGTGAAGCTCTGGACTCTGCCAGATCCCACACAAGAGATAGGGTGAGTTTTCAAATATAGTTAGTAACTTTAGTTTATATGTCGTGTACCAAGTATGTATAACTCCATTCCTACGTTTTGACCTCCTGCTGCACATCGCATCATATGCGTGTTCCGCAGCTCCCCTGCGTTGTTTCGTCCTTCTTGATCTACTAGAGCACAGTAGCAACTCCCTCCGTTTATTGATGGCTTCGTCGTCTCCATAAACAGTTCCTGGCTCGCCTGATAGTTTCCCAGCTCTGCCTCCCAACTATCAAAGAAGCTTGTGCTCGCCTTCTATTTCCGAACAGAACGCGAGTTTGCCCATCTTGCAATGCGGCCGCAGCCCAGGCGTGAATCAGCGGAAGGCCCTACATCGTCTGCAGTGAAACGATGCGAATCTTGATCGCTCTCGCTGTTTGCCGGTTGTGTGCAGAGTCCCAGCGCTATCTTGCACGAAGATGGATCATGGATGGAATGCGTAGAGTGGCGCTTTTGCCTATGACTCAATCCCTTGCTCGGTAGGCAGGCGCAGAGCTGCGCGTCTTTCGCGACGTGGCACGCGAGCACGAATGGCGGAAAGCATTTGGCGGGGCCGCCCCAAAGGTATCCGAGTAGATCAGGCACCCTGGCCAGACCAGGTGGGCCAGGTACTGTAGACCAGGTACCCGGTGCGCCGGGTTGTCAGCAACCACGTCTGCCGCGCACTCCGGCCGTCTGACGCCCGTTCTGGCCGTCTGACGCCGCCCGGCGGCCGTTTGGCGCCAGGTTTGGCGGCCTGAACAGGAAGCGCATCCTCATAAGTACATAGAAATAGCTAATCAGCTAATACGTTTGCAGGTACTACGAGATCGAGACCGACCCGGAAGGCTCTGAGCGATGGGGCCGGGAGTACTTTAAAAAACTCGGCGAGCGGCCGTGGCAGCGGGTGCAAGAGATTACCGACGGGGAGGCGCGCTTGATGAAGAGGTGCCCCGTCAAAAGCGTGCACTCGCAAAAGCTATCGCAGTCAACGACGCAGCTGCTGTTAAGAGTGGCCTCTTCTGTTAACGCACTCAGCGGGGAACGTTTCAAATAGAAGTCTACCAATATTTGCAGTGGCCCAAGCTTTCAGAGCGTCCGTAGCTTGTCAGCGGTGGAGCCATCTGGGCCGCGCGTTCCTGCGATGGCCCAGGGAGCAGCGATTTCGGGGTGGAAAATGATCTGAAGCGCGGCGCGCCATAGGGCTCTGTTTTTATTTCGATCCGCCCGGCTGCGGCCTGCTATGTTCCGTAAAGAGCGGCGCGCCGCTCTTTGTTTTCACCATGCGCGGGGGGCAGCGCGTTCTATCAGCTTGCTAAGATTGGGCGGCGTCCCCAAGGTTTGCCAGAACTCGGGGCCGGGCGAAGCCCCGCGGCGCCTTTGAGAAAAGGCGGGGAAGGGTTTCCCGGAATGGTCTATGAAACAAATTCAGGTGGGCGGCCGCCGCCAGATTTGCCCTCCTGCTAGACCCCGGCTGACAAAATGCCACAAGAACGAAAGCCGAAGCGCCCGCCGCCCGCCGGACCACTCTCCTTAGCTTTTTTCGAAACGTCGCGCCGCCCGGCTAAAGAGAGGCTGGCGCGGCCGGAAGGCTCCCCCGGCTGTGGCACAACCTCGGCCACCGCTCGCCGACATTCATCTGCCTCCGCGCCGCGCCAGGAATGCCCGCGGGCCGGCCTCGTGATTGCCCTGCCATGCCGCGTTTGCTCAGTTTGCCAGCTGCGTAGCCCTTGCCTGCGCAGGGGCCCGGGCCCTGGAGAAAGGAAAAGTAATTTGTTGAGCCTCGGAAAAACCCTAGAAGTTCGCGCGTGAACATCTTGGACAAACCCGAAAAAGTGTCGGAAGGTAGGGGCGAGGCTAAAGCCTGGGAAAGCCTGCCGCAGGGAAAAGCTTTGATTGGCAGGAAAGTGGATCTTTGGCACTACCACGCCGCTAAGTTTGCTACTTATTCGCAGCAGGAAAACCGGAGTTCGAATCCCGGGAGCTGAAGGGCTTCTAGCGGGGCTCCGAAGTGTCCTACGCCTGGATCTTTTTACAATAATTGCCGCGGGTCGGAAGCCCCGCCCCGCGCGGGGAGGTCGCGGGCTGGAGTCTTTTTCGGAGGTGCGAGGACCCCCGCGGGGCAAGCTTTTTCGCGTTCCGGCAGTGCGGCGCGCAGCAGGTTCGCCCGATCCCCCGCGGGGGCTTCTGCGGGGTGGGCGTGCCACGAACGCGGGGGCCGCATATCGCATAGCCCCCTGGCACGGCCTGCGAGCCCCCCGGGCCCCACGGGGCGTGGCTTTTTGAGGTATTACGCCAGCGTCGGGCGGCATGAAAACAAAAGCCCGGCAACGGCAAGCCGGGCGGCCCCCGCCCTCCTGGCGTGGCTGTTCGCGGGAGCGCCGCTGCTCCTCCGTAAAAGCAGCAGGCAAGCAAGCGGCGAGCGTGAAGTCGGGCAGGGGCGAGATTCATTCCGGAAAGCACCGGGGAGAATATTGCTGGGCATCCGCTTGGCCACAGGCTGGCCCGCTTCGGGGCGATGTTGACCGCCCGAGGCCCGCGGCCGTGTCGGGTGGAGGGCCGAAGGAACATCGCGTCGGCGGAACTGTTTGGCAAGGTTTTGGCGGGGGCCTGGATAGGTCGCGGGGGGATTTTCCGGAAGGCCCGGGAAGAAGTTCCGGCATGAGGGCGCTCCGGACAATTTTTCCGGAAAGCGACTGCGCCCCATATCTTCTGGCATTGCTTGCGCATTTCCCTCGCGGGCTGCCCCCGCCAATACAGAAAGATCGCAAAGGGCGCTCGGCTGCGCTCTCCAGTGCCAGAGGACTGGGGACCCCGCCGAGGCGCTTGGAGAATTTGGCAAGGTTTCGGAAACAATTCCCCGGCGAACGCGTTGGCAGATGTCCCATTTGTAAGGCTGACAGCACACGAGGACGGGTCCGTTCTGCTGTATGAGGGAAGCGCCTCCCGCTTTGCCAGAAAGAGCGCCTATCTTGTCAGTTCAGGCCAAGCAGTGTACTCAGTTCGCTTCAGTCCCGGCATCCCGCATATGTTTGCGGCTGGCACCCGTGACAAGAAGATTACGGTTTTTGATGCTCGGGAACAAGGCAAAAAACCGTGCACGCAGATCAAAGTGGGCTGCCCCGTCAGCTGCATTCGCTGGCGACCCCTGGCGAATGATCCTCACGTCCTTGCTACGTGCAGCAATATTATGGACCATCAAATTCTTGTCTGGGATATGAGTCGCAAGGTCGTTGTACTCGGCAAAACCCGCACGGCGAAAGCATGCTTATTGATGTCAAATGCCAGAAGCGCGCCTATGCGTTTCCACTTAGGTTGACAAACGAGGAGAAATCCGAGGCCGTGCTCCGGAAGGGGGAACGAAAACCGCGAGGAAAGGGGTGGGGAAGTTGGGTAAAAAAGGCAAAGGCAGCACTAGGGTTTGTTTTTACGTGTCTGAACCGAGCTGAAGGCTTAGGGCACTGCATTCCTGCGCCAGGCGCTAGGCACTGCCGCCGCGGCTAGTTTCCGGGCGAGCGGTTTGCTAAATCCACCGGAATTGGTGCCACCCGCCCCTCCGCGTGGCCCTCCTAATGTTGCCCGCGGGCGCGGAGCGGCCGGGAGGATTGAACCCCCGCAAGTGCCGCGACACTGGCAGTGCATGCTGGCTGGGGTTTGTGCGCGCCCCCCGGCCGCTTTTTGCCGGTGCCCGCTCCCGTGCCTATGGTATAGTCACGAGGGGCAAAGCAAAGGGCCTCCAGGACGCGCGCTACGCGACCGGCAGCTAGCCACGCTTTTGCGGCCGCCCGGCCCAGGCGCTTTGCCTGTGCCGCCCCCCCATTCCGAAGAAACGGTGCCGGCCGCACCAGCTCCCCGCCCCCGGCGGGCTTTTTGTCCGGTAGCGTTGGCGCGCCTCCTTCGCGCAGGGCAGTGCAAGCGCCACCACCCCTGCGGCCGGCCTTGCTTTTTTCGTTCGCCATGTCGCCCAGTGCCAAAGAAGCCTGCGGCGGGCCTGTTTTCTTTCGCAGCTCATACTGGGCCACTGCAGCGCGACCGAAGTCGCTTGCTTCGCCACTTCGCCGATTATGAAAATCTCGGCCGGCGCACGTTCCGGAAAGCCTCTCCAAAGATGGCGCCCCCGCTTTTCGGGTCAGGCGGCGGGCGCGCTCCGTTTGTCTGCGCCTTCGGATGCCGGCGAGGGGGCATGCTTGCGGGGCGGGGAAAGCAAGCGGGGGACGCTCGGCAGCGGGGTGCCCGACTGACAAGGCTAGCGCCTGAGGTGCGACAGGGCGTGTGTCGGGTCAGTTTGCGGGCTAGCCTGCGGGAGTGGATTTGGGCGGGGCGGTGGCCCGGGGCCGGCGGGTAGGGTTTTGGGGCCATGCTGCCGTGTCGTCATCAGGGCAGGGAAGCGCGGTCGGCTTGCTGCCGGGGCCCCCGTACGTCCTTCGTTTGGGGCGGCTCGCTCCGCAGCTGGTGGGCGGTCGAGCTTGGCTTAAGGCGATCCCTATGGTATCAGGACCAGGATGCTGAAAAAATACGTACCGCGCAAACCAGATAGGCCCCCGCAACCGAGACAAAAGGGGGCAATCGGGCGATCCGCCCGGCCCGGGAGGTTCGCTTCCGTCGTGATTTCGCGGACTCGCGTTAGGCAGTCGCTTTTCCAGAAAAATCTGTCGCAGAAACAGTGCGGCGCCCTGCTCCTATGTATTGACGCCGCCGCTGTTGGCAGGCCCAACCCGGGTAGGAGCCAGCGGCGTGCCTGGCGCCGTCGTCGTTGATTGGTGCAACTGCTGAACGAATGGCAATCCGCAAGCACAAAAACCCTGCGTGCGTGTCTCGGTGTGTTGTGTGTTGTGGGGCACCTGCGTGCTTTCGTGACCGTGCCGCGTCGCTTTGGCCGGTTTTCCACCTTATAACGAACATGCGAGCAACTTCCCTTCCCGTCTTTGTTTTCAATTCACATCGAAAGAGCGAGTTCGTGGGCGACTTCTTTTGGGCATCTCCGGACCATATTGTAAGCATGAGCGCGACTCCGACTCATTTATTTTTTTCTCTGTTTATCTTTATTGCTCTCAGGTAGATTGGGTCGCGGCCGCAGCTCCTCGCCTGCCGGCGCGCGAGAGAAACATCGAGCAAGCGGAAGCAGCACGATGGGCCATGCGATTTCAGTTGCAGAGAAGCACAGAGGAGAGAAGCAGGGGGGCGCCGTGGGAGTGCGCAGAGTTGCAGCGCCTGCTGCCTGCCACCTGGGAGTGCGTCTGGCTGCTGCCACAGTAGCCAGGATCCTGGTGGGCACGCAGCAGACTCTTTCTAGGCTGACTCGCTGCTGCTTTCTTGGGCTCTTAATTAAATGGCCAGCTTATCGCCCTGTGGCAGATTGCCCCTGCAAAGAGCCAGCGACTATGGGAAGCGCCTGGCTGGGACGTCAACCAAAGCAGCGAACCTACATGGCTCGTCGCGCGCCTTGGTTCTAGCGCCTGAGGTGCCGGCCCCCCGCCGCCGATCGGCCGGCGGCTGCCCCGGGTTTTGCGTTTTTTCAGGCGGACGACCCGGGGCGGGCTTCTGAGGTAGGCATCCCCTAGTTTTTCGCTAAATTGATGAGGGGCCCGGGCCGATTCCCGGGCCCCGCGTGCTTGCCGGCCCAGGCCGAGATTTTAATTTGGGCCGGCCCCATTGCCCCCGGGGCCCCCTAGCCGCGGATCGAAAGGGGCCTCCGAAGTGGCCGGCGGGGCCGCCCATGCGTGCTCTGTTGCAGGCTGGGACCGATTGCGCCAGCCCTTCGTGAGGTCGGTGGCAGCAGGAAAAGTTTTGGTGAGGCTTTGGGAGTGTTCGCGGCTCCTTGGCCGCCAAAAAAAAAGGCGGGACAATTACACTCCAGCTACATTCGAGCGAAGCCCCGGCCGAAATCCGGCAAATCGGCCAAAGGCCCGGCCAAGTCGTTGCCAGCTAGTACATTCCCGCGAGGCAGTATTGAAACAGGCGCACAGCGATGCACCGGATACGTGGAAAAGGGGAAGAATTTCGTCCCGGGACCCGTCGGGCACCCTCGGGCGCCCCGAGGGACCCAATTCAGATCAGCGCCCGGCAGTGTACCTGAAGGCGGGCGGCACTTTTTTCGCCGCCCCAGGCGGCGAAGGAGACAAAGGGCCGGAAGGTAGCAGAATCGGAAGCCGGGGGCCCGGCCGGCATTTCTTGAAAGGGCCGGCGTGGTTTGCAATAGATACCGGGCCCAGTGGCGCGGCGGCGCTTGCAATACCGGGGTCGGGAAGCGGGACACGCCGCGCGCGGGCCAGGGGCGCTCCGAAGCCACGCAGCTGCCGCAACATGGGGGCGCGTGGCGCCCGGCCTGCTCGGTTCCGTCGCGCGCCCGGAGTGGTTGGCTTGGCTGGTTCCGGGGAGGTCGTAGAATTCCACAGAGCTTCGCAATTTTCAGCAAGAATAGCCGGGCCCGAGGGCGGCGCGTGAAGGAGTGCCGCAAAAAGTGGAGCTGGGACACTTGGGGGGGCGCGGCCACAGAGCGCCCTCCTCCTTCGCCTGTTGAAGACCGGGGGCGACCGGTTGGCGCCGAAATTGCTCCGCAGAAGAGAATGCCGGGCGGCGAGCTCCTTCGCGAGCAGTAGCGATTCGCGCTCGTGCTTGGCGCGCGCCCGCACGAGGCGCGTTCTCATCCTCCCGCGAACAGGCCATACAAGGATGCGCGTGACAACTCGCGCCGGCGTGCGGCGCAACCTATCGAACCGTGCCCGCGCTTCGGTATCGGCATCGCCTACCGGGCGCGATTTAGTAGGGGGCGCCTCGATCCAGCGCAGTTTTGCGCCCCTGGCCTCACACACACGCAGCCGCGCCCCTTTGGAAATAATTCGGCGGGCTACCCCCCGACACCCACAGCGAAGAAAAGGCACTTGAACGAGGGGGGGGCGTCGAGGTGTTGGACCCGCGGGGTGAAGGCGCCCGGCGCCCCAGGAAAGGGCCGCGCCCGTTACGGGTGATACTTTCTTGCCCAGTGGGGCGTCATGACGCGTATGGCGAAGTAAGGGCAGGAGGTAGTGGCGCAACACGAAGGGGCCAGCGCAGCAGCTGCGTTGCAGTCTTGCGCGCGTTTTTTATCCCCTGCCGCATCCTATCGGATAGTATCCCTAGGGATAGTATCCCTACTAGGGGGCGGACCGCAGGTAGACGACAATCTGTAGCTTCCCGGTCGCACGTCTTCTGTTGTTTGTGATTTACGCGTGCATGTTGTTCTTGAGACGTGCCTTGCTTGGTGCACGGAACATGCTGGCGCCGCTTTTCAATCATACTCGATCTCCCGCGCCGAAGGCAAGAAGGCGGCCGCGCTAGTGCCGCCATCGCCGCGATTTTATCGAGTCGATTGCATACATCATTACTTCACTTTGCTTCAGGTGTCGACGGGAAAGGATTCGACGATACAACTTCACTCGCTTCGTGTAGGTTCTCACGAACCCTGGCGACACTTTTCCAACTGCAAAGCGGGCTGCGCTGGAAGCCAAGAAATTGTTTGTGTAAGTGCGCACGTAAAGCGAAAGGGCCGCGTCGAGCTTCACAGACAGGACGAATATCCTAGAATGTTGCGTGCGTTTCCCGTGGATCTCGTCTATGCTTCGGATCGTCATCGATGGCGCCACAGGTGGCAAGGCGAGCGAGGTCTGGCGGGTAGTGCTACCAAGGCGGTGGCGTCATCGGTTGCATCTTCGTATAGAAATGCTTTCCCTGCCATTGGTCATCGAGAACCTTGCGGTTTCAAGCGGTTTAGCGCATCTTTCACTTTGGAGCATGATCCCACGCGGTTTCTCCGTTTGGCCGTCGACGCGAAAGGTGGCGACTTCTGGAACATAAAGCATATACCGGGGTTAGCTGCTTCCACAGCCTTGGCGGTGTCGCCTGCAGCTTCTTCGCTGACTTGTTCTGGCGGAGATGCTGGCGCTGCGGTTTCAAATAGTTCAATGCGTGACGCACCCGAGCAGCCACAGGAGTCGAATTGCGATGGAACGGGGACAAGCGTGACACCAGAAAGTCACCAGATCGTCACGCAGGAGAAGCAGAAGGAAGCCCTTCTTGCAGCTGTTGAACATTGGCGCGCGTGGTCCGATGACAACGGGTGCCCAGGTCAGGCCTCGACATTTGCGGCCTTACGTGCGTGTGTTCGCGGTGAAAATGCTCGAGGTTCGGGCAGCGTTAGTGAAGGGAGCCCTGCTAGGGTACGATCTTCCGAACCACCGGGAAGCGGCAGTCGTCGAGTTCGTTCGAAAAGCGAAGGCCTAGAGGAGGTCGCTGATCGCGTTTACGAGCCGTTTTCTGACAGAGGTGACCTATCCGACAGTCTGGATCTATCGCGGCTCTCTGCCCTTTCGGTCTCCCAGCGGCGCCTGTTTCTACGGGTATTCGTAGCGCAGCAGTGCGAGAACGAGGTCGCAATGTGCATGATTATCGCAGCATTGACAGGGGGACGTCCTGAGGAGCAGGCACAGACGTGGGCAGGCTGGATCGCAACCGCGAGTGAGATGCTATCGCGCTTGCGGCTCCATTCGCTGCAGGCCTCAGTGCTAAAGCATGTTCCCGTTTTGGACGTTGCCGGGACATCTTCCCCGGATGCCCGCAGCAGCTGCTTCCCAGTCGCATGCACTTCATGCCACACACCCTACGCGCCGCCGCTTTACGAATACGAATGGAGTGACGCTCCCACTCGAGATCCTGCTTTGCCGAGGCACCTCTGCGGTCGCGCCAGCGCGAGGCCGACCACCTCTATCAGCTTCGTGCACGAAGAACATTCGCGGCGTGGAGATCAAGAACCCCAGTGTCATGCCCACAGCACGCACTGTCAAGCGCCCAGGTTGCAGCTGCAGCCGTGTGGCCGCTGCCACGCCGCACCCAAGGCAAAGTGCGCAGTGTGCGGTAAAAAAGTACGCGGGCAGTGGTTTGCATGCCCTCGGTGCGCTAGCGGTGGGCACCTGGAGCACATGGCCGAATATTTTGACCAGCACAACTCTTGTCCCTTGTGCAAGCAAACGCCAGGCACAGCCATCCGACAAGCTTCGTGAGACGCGGCGGGCCGTATTTCGATGTCTCGTCTGATGTGTGATTTGTCTGGCTCCATTGCCATTGGAGTAAACAGGGAGAAGTAGCACCAATACGACCGAACGCGCACGCGCTCGCTCAGATGTGATCTCAGGTTCCTTCTTTGCTTGCTCACTCATCATAATTGTATAAACTACGCAGGCGGAGGCGCTAGGAGAAAAGCATTCGTGACTGAGAGTGTAATTGGGACCAGGTGGTACGTACTCGGGTGTGCACCCTTCTTCTGTGAGACTCCGGCAGGCAGATAGCCAGATGGCCAAAATAAACGACAGGAACGCACTGTGCCACAGGTGAGATGAGTTGATATGGCTGCCATACGTGATTTTGCTAGTGAAGGCGATGGGCACGAGTCCATCTGTAGGATTGTGAAGAAACACGAGGCTAAAGTGTGACTGCGGGTGTAGTTCTAGTGGACAGCGCCAACAGATGAAAGACAACGAAATACCAAGACCACGACAGACACCGCTTAGGCTCTGGCGACTGAAACAGCAGGAGGTTCGTGCTTTTCCATTGTGTACGTACCTACTCGAGAGCAACCGGCTTTTTTCCTTATTGTTATTACATACAGATACTAATACTTATACATCCCCCAAAGCACGCCCCCCGAATGAAGTACATTGGTTGACCCTCGTTGTCTCCTTCTTGGTTAATCAGTAAACAGAGATCCTAATATGTCATGAGCCGCCAATCACCGCCTAGTTCCCGTCCCGTCCCTCTACACTGCTCTATCCTAGTCGTGTGCCAGGCTGCGCACAGATGTAAACCCGCTCCTGTCTATCGAGGGTTAGAGTAAGAGGCTCCGCCAATCACCACTATACTCCAGCTCCAGCTCTACCACTTAATGTCAATCTCAAACTAAGTCCCCGGCTCAGTCGCGAATGAGCGTGATCACTAAATTGATAATGCTGCACCTGTGGAGATGGAGAAGTGTGACGCAAAATTCAACTAATCCGCTAAAAAATTGAAAAACAAGAAATAGAACCAGGGCCGGACTTCAAACACCGCGACCGCCCGGCGATGGGCGTAGGGCGCGCCCGCCGAAGCATGTAGCGTTTGCCGCGTTCCCCGCGACGCCCAGATTGGCACCGTAGTGGCGGGGCCGGCTCCCGGAAAGAAATTTCAAATTTGCAAAGAACTTGCGATGTGTGTCAATTGGCCGCCTGCCCGTGCGGCGTAACGCCATCCACGACGGCACGGCGGGCCCACAAAAAGCAGGCGCACGGCCGGCCCGCGGCCAGGGCGGAGGAAAGAGAGCACCAATGAGCCCACTACCTCCGCCACGGCAGCCATATTTGGCATCAGACGCGCGCGCGCTGCCCCCCGTGCTAGGGCATTAGCCTCGCGACATCGTGCTCGGGACGATGCTCGATGCGAGCGTGGCTATGATAGTGTGGTTGCGCTCTCCGGTTGCTTTTTGGGCTGCGCACGGGCAGCGGTGTAAAGAAGTCGATGATGGCCCGCGGTTCAGAAGAGCACTTGGGGAAGGTTTTCGGTGGGTCCGGTCGGTTTGGCCAAGCTATTTTACGCCCGGGACTTGGCTATGACTGTGTGGCTTTAGCGCGTGGCTCGCGCGGCTTGCTCTTTGTAGCTTGCTGGGCCGGCCGCGGCCGGGCTCTCTCCTTACTCTCCACTGTGACCGTCGCAGGGCATCTCGCCGCGATGTCTACAGTGCGCAGTGGCACTGCCTTGGTTGAGTGTCATCGTTTCCGCGCGCTTTCGCTTGGTGGGTGAACTGCGCAGGGAGTGCGATTGCAGAGATCTATAAATAGCCATGGCATGCTATCAAAATCACAACCACGGCGGGCCGCACAACTAATGCCAGCGACATCAAAAACGCTAGAGCGTCGCGGGGTCTTTTGTTTGTTTGTAGTGAGGCCACCGAACGGCTCGAGCCAGGGAGTTTTTTTGACACCTCCCGCGCAAAGCGGCCGGCACTTTTCAAGCGGCCGGAAGTGTTTTCATACATGAAAGCTGTCCGCCTATCAAGAAGAAGGGGCCAGGGCTTCGCCGTCAATCAAACATGCCCGAGGGAATTCTATCGATTCCCGCTCGACAAAATGACTCAGGGGAGCCGGCGAAAGGGGCGCCCTTCTGAGGCGCCCACCGCCTTAGTTTCTGGCATTTAGGTGCAGCCGCAAGCTACTTCCGAGCAGGATTATAGATAGCATGTTACACAGGTGGTCGCTCGCCTGAAGAAGCGAGCACGCGAGTGATTTTGCTTATCTTTCTTATTCATATTCTCAGGAACTCACTTAGCACATACAGCAGTCACTCGCCGTTCTAAAGAAGCAAGGAAGCACGCAATGGGTTCCATCCGATAGCATGCGGAGTAGTAGTTTAGTTCGGAACTGCTCCTACCGTCGGCGAGGGATAGACCGGCCCCTGTGCAGGTGAGCCGCACTTATTTCCTGCGGGGAATTGCTTTGCTTACCTCCAACGGCGGGGTTGGGGAGTCTGTCAGAGGCCCAGATAAACTACCTGCCACGACTGAGATTGCGGCCGGAACGAAACACAGCACGCGCGCACGTATCATCCTTGACTATACACCGATGAAGCGCAACCGCAATTATTCCCATGCCTATGTATAGATATGATGCCTCCACCAGGAAGGGAGCTGGCATCGGGAAGCGAGCGCACACTCAGCAGCTCCGCTGTGGCATCGTTGGCGCCCGGAGGCCGAGGTAGCAGCCGCGTGCTCGGATACGCAACCGTATGTGCGGGATACTGGTATAGTGAGAAGGATTTCCTCACTTATGTTGCCCGTGAGAAGGTTGTTCTTGATGCGTGCGGATTTCTGGTCGCGGGCATTGCAGACGAGCTGGCCAAAGTGTCCGAAGGCGGTCAAAGTCAGACGCTATATAAGCACAGCATCCGGCCGCGCCCGCCACAGTCCAGCGCCATACTTTCGGTGCTCAACTCGCACCAGCGTGGGAGCTACTACCGCGCCCAGTGGTATCTGGTCAACGAACAACATGGACACGGAGTAAGCCTACTGGCATTTAGCTGCGTTGTAAATAATCTCGGTGACGGGAGCGCTCTTAAACTTAATGCCACAGAAACCGCAGAGCCAGAGGCTGAGGCAGACGACGCACGGCAGCACCTGCAGAAGGGTGTACTACCAAGCAGCAACGAATTTTACGTTCGAAAAAAGACCAGGTGGGGCCTTAGATTTTCACCCTTCTGCACATCAAAAGCAAACACAATGCACACGCGGTCTTTGGAAGCACGATGGACGGTCCCGGTATCGAGTCGCCCCCTTCGGCAACACCTTCCAACTACAACCACGATAACAAAGCGTGGGACCCAGGGGAATACTTCAACAAGCGACCTGTTTTTTTTTTGCGTGCGTATGGGCCTTCGGAGAGCTTCCTACCCCACCAAGCAGAAAAAGGCCATCGACCGCGCGAAGATTGTTCCGCTGAATGAGAGCTTCGCTCAAGTTTTCGTTCCAGAGTTGTTAGAACAGGACTCACTGCCGACCTTATCCCCCCAAGATAGTGGCGAGTTTTTAGATGAGCTGCTCGAGGACGTGAAGAACGTACCCGAGTGGTCGCTGTACGACGCCAGCCTCGGGAGGCTTCTGCAGGAATCAAAGTTGCGGACCCGAAGCTTTTACACTCCGCAGCAATTTATGGCCTCCCAGAATGCTGATCGGTCGCAATGCGACGTGCAACTCTAGGTCAAGCCCTACTCACTTTGAGTCTTCTTCTTCATCAAGCATAACGTACTGGCAGCATTTGCTGCGCAGTTCGCAGGTCGTCTCATTACGACAAACGAAAAAAGCATGTTGGATTTGTCGTGGAAGTCCAACCTTTGCAGACCCTACAAGCGCCGCACGCTTCGGCTTTGGAAATATGAGCAAGGAAGTGCGCGGCCATCGCATCCCGCAGCGGTTTGGAGATGGTTGCAGCACCGAAAAAAAAAGCTGCACAAGTAGGGTGAAAGGACGAGCCAGCCCAGCAAAGGAAACCGCAAAAAGGTACCAGGCTCCGGCGTGCTTGAGTCCGGGCCCGCCGGGCCGGCCCTTCGCTACCCGGCTGCCCACCGGATTCCGGTCGACCTACTACAAGCAAGCGTGGCCCCGCCCGTCGCGCCTGGCGGCCGCGTCTCCTTTGCGGACTCCTTGGGCCCTTTCCAAGATCGCCGACCGTTTATTTGCCCATCCAACGAAGCAGTGCCGTAGCCTGGCCGGCCACGCCGGGGCCCGCCGCTCGCACGCCCGGGCCCCTCTTCCGTGCTTGTATTGCGTTGCTTCGGGCCGGGTGAGTTCCATCGCCGGGCCGCCCGTCTGATCTGCCCCAGGCCGGCGAGGGCTTCTGCGACGCGTCCTCGCCCACTCCTGCGAGGGCGTATTGCCGCATAACCCCCGTGGGCCAGTCCTTCCGTCGGCTCTGCCGGACCTGCCGACTTCGGACGGCAGAAGGCCCAGTAGGATGGGGTAACTGCAGGCCGCCCGCGCAGCCGAAGGGCAGAACGTGGCGCGACCAAGAAGACGGATGAGCTTTGGCGCTGTTCTAGCTTTTCGCTTTGGGCGCTTCGATTGAAGTGGCCGACGCTTAGCTAGGGCGAAGGGGTGCGCCGAGTTAGCATAGCATAGCATCGGCGGGCTGGATTTTCTTCATTCCATCCTTTTCGTTCATTTCGCGGACGCGGTCTTCATTCTCGGCGACATGCCCTTCGCGTCCACAGGGTAAGTTGTTGTCTGTTATGCTGCAACTATGGATAGAATAAGAGACCGTTGAGTGCTGGGAGGTAAAAAGTGAATCACGATGGCACGCTGCGATTTGGGGCTTGCGTGGCAATAGCGGAAGTGTCGCGCTTCGTGTTTTCGGAATGGAGGCAGTCCGCCCGTGGTTGGCGTTGCCTCGAGCAAGGCAAGCCAAGAGCAAGGCAAGCCACGAGCAAGGCAAGCCAAGAGAGCAAGGCAAGGCAAGGCAAGGCAAGGCAAGGCAAGGCAAGGCAAGGCAAGGCAAGGCAAGGCAAGGCAAGGCAAGGCAAGCCAAGAGCAAGGCAAGGCAAGCCAAGCCAAGCCAAGCCGAAAGATGCGGACTAGCCGCCAAAAACGGCACGCGCGAACAGAGCGCGAGCACTGTGCTCGCGCTCTGTTCGTGGAGGCCGTAGCATGCGGATTAGCCGCCAAAAGCGGGCACGCGCGAACAGACGCGAACACTGCGTTCGCGCGCTGTTCGCGGAGGCCGTAGCATGCGGACTAGCCGCCAAAAGCGGGCACCCGCGAACAGACGCGAGCACTGTGTTCGCGCTCTGTTCGCGGGGGCCGTAGCATGCGGATTAGCCGCCAAAAGCGGGCACGCGCGAACAGAGCGCGAGCACTGTGTTCGCGCTCTGTTCGCGGAGGCCGTAGCATGCGGATTAGCCGCCAAAAGCGGGCACGCGCGAACAGAGCGCGAACACTGTGTTCGCGCTCTGTTCGCGGAGGCCGTAGCAGGCGGATGAGCCGCCAAAAAGGGTACGCGCGAACAGAGCGCGAACACTGTGTTCGCGCTCTGTTCGCGGCGCCGTAGCAGGCGGATTAGCCGCCAAAAAGGGCACGCGCGAACACGCGAACGCCGAGAACACCCAAATCCGCGGATTTCGGTGATTC